GCCATGTTTCTTACTGTAAAAATGGGTGGTCCATCTGTTAACCTAGCTAAGCATCAGGTGTGGGTTAGCTATAAGGGGGTGGGGCCTACTGGCCTTGGGGGGAAGAGCCCTGACTTCCTAAGCCCCTGCTGGACTCTAAAGGCTTCAATGTAGTGAATTCTCCTCATTGAAGACCAGTTCTTTATCAGGATTTTTAAAATACTAACAGCAAAAAACAAAAGCAGAACATTTTAAGCACAAAATGTTGGCTCACATATAAGGGATGCTTCAATCCATCCCAATAGTCACCCCAGGATGCAGTGAGAAGGGGATATATCCACAAGGCTGTAGTGAGTGCCAAGGCTGAGACTGGGATTTGCATGTTGTCATTTGTCATTGTCTAAAAGTTGAACTGCTCTAAAAAGTGAAAGTAGCAAATGCCTGGGAAGGGGGAGCACTCTGTGAAGTCCAAGAGCCGACAGTGGAACACCTGCCATCACCTGTGGTCTAGCTGAGCCCAGGCACTGCCACGTGGGCTGGAATCCAGGGCTCGGACTACAGGGACCTCCTCACCTACTTCCCTCTCCACCCCTACCYCCATGGGCCAGCGACTTCTCCACTAGTGGGGAATCAAGAACCAAGCTGCAGAGCTCAGCCCTTCCCCTTTTGTATTGCTCTGCTGCCAGCTAGGATCATGTCCTAATTCTGAAACTCTATTGCCAAGGAAGCGTCCCCTTCTCTCCTACCCAGTCCTTCTCCCAGAGAAGCCCAGCATGGCCTCCAGATCTGCCTGTCCACATTAGCAATTAGTTAAACCTCATGTTGCTACTGGTCCTTCAGAACCCCAGCAAAGCTGAGCTGGACAGGACCAGCAGGTGAGAGGCTGTTTCCACTCTCCACTCTCCAAGCTGCTCATGAAACCTGATCTTGCTGCTGTGAGAATTGTGTCCTTCAAATATAGTCCCTTTCGCCTTGAGGCAACTCTGAATAAGTTGACCCTTGCAATTATATTTTTCCCCAGGCAGAAGAACTGGTCCCAGGGGCTGAGTCATTTGTCTTCCTGCTTGTCTCCCTCATGTCCCACTTCTTGTAGGTATGACTTAAAGTAGAAAAAGACAGCCACAATCCTACCCATGACCAACCCGCCACAGGAAAGTGCAGTGGGATGGCCTGGCGGGTGGCAGAGCCACAACCAGCCCCAGGGCTGTGGCTCCATCCCACCTCCACCACTGGACTGCAGAGCCAGAAGCCTGCCCTGGTGCCAGGCGCCAGTCAGCTAAGCAGAGCAGGCCTAACTCAGTACCTTGGAGGCCGGGGTGGCTTCTGGCAAGAACTCCTGTCCTCTGTGGGACAAAAAGACAGAGGAGCAAGGCTTGCCCTGGGCTGAGGGAGTTCCTGGGATGCTGAATTTCCAGTTTCAAAACAGAGAAAGTCCTGGGCAAGCCAGGACAAGTTAGTCATCCTGGAAGAAACTCGGGTGTAAAGAATAGAATTGGGGGCTGTCTCCTAATTTTGGCTACAGCCTCACTGAACCACCTGAGGGTCTCTTTTGGTAAAACAGATCTGCCTGTCTTGAAGGGATATTATGCAGCTTCCATGTTGATACATGGAAAATTATGGACACTTGCCTTATTGGAAGGTGCTTTAACAGATCTCTCACCCTCCTTCTTCCCACCCCTACTTCCAATAGGTTGTCTTCCCCTGGACCTGGGGTTTAATCTGAAATCACTATTCTCCTTCCCATATCTGTAACCAGTGAGCAGAAACCTGGTGGGGTTGGAATGTCTCCTTTTCCCAAGGTCCTTCAGGCCAGCTTCCTTTCCTATAGCCCACAGTTTGAGACATGTGCCTCCCCGCAACTCATCTATGGTTTGAGCATCCTGTTTACTTTGGGGACTTGATTTGGGTGCCCATAACATTTTTCTCTGAGTTAGACGCTGAACCTATGCATAATTCCACACAGGATTGGATCAAGGGCTCCAATCCTAGAGGATGGTGCTGGGCAAAGAACTGAATACTGGTGTGGGTCTAAGGTTTGGTGTCAGAAATAATGAATATATGTGTAACTGAGGGGCTCCCCTAACTGGAAGTCACCACTACTCTTCCAAATTGAGAGAAGAACTGGCTTTGGACATAATTCTATTGTTAACCAATCACATAAACTTTAATCCAGAAGTCCCTCTTCTGTTGGTCTACCTGTAAAATGAAGGAGCAGACGACTCCTCTGGTTCCTTCCAGCTCAAAAGTTCTATGACTGATGAAAATTGTATGCCCATGAAGCAAGTCCAAAGGAATTATGTCTGGCGATTTGAAAGTTCGCAGCCAGCCCAAGGAGGAAGAGCACAGGGGGCAAGGACGATCTGCTCTCCAGCCCAGAACTCTTGCAGCGGCGTTAATGGACGATGATGGAACACAGCAGCGATTTATGAGAGTTCATGAGCAGGAAGCCTGAGGAGGCTGTACATTAGTCATGTCTGAGATTCCTTCTCACTGATACTGCAAGCCTAAGGAGCCAGCACGGCCACTGCCCAGATGAAGGACTTATTGATCCAGAAAAAGGAAGTCAGCCAGCATGCTTTATTTTAATAGCAAATAAAAATGACTTTTTCCAGGGAGGAAACCCACATAAAACTATTGGAGACAGAATTCTGGATCRAGTCAGGCTGTGATGAGATAACAAAATTACATGGTATTGCCAGTCTCCAATTTGAAAGAGGAAGCATAACACCTCTCAAAAACTCAGTCCTTCGAGGCTGTTACAAAGGGAGGTCTGCCTCCAGCTGCCCTGTACTGCTCCCAGCCCTCTCTGATTGTTCAGAGACGGTAGGGGGAACAAAAACTGTTCAATGACCCTTGGACATGTATGACCTGGGCTTAGAATAGGGCTAAGTGCCAAAAATTTACACAACCAACATGGCTCCTGCTCCCAAATCCCCATTTTGAAGAACGAGATGAACACTCATGGAATGAAAGAACATACTTAGAAGCTAGGCTGAATGTTATGGAGGGGTGGTTCTCAAACCTGAGTGTGCATCAGAATCTCCGGAGGACTCATTAAATCACAGATGGTTGGGCCTCCCTCCATGGAGTCAGACTCAGTTACTTTTCAGCAGGGCTCAAATCTTCATTTAGAGCAAGTTCCTAGTTCCTTCTGGTGCTGCTGGTCAAAAGACCACACTGAGGATGAATGCAACAGGCCAGTGCTTCCCATGCCTTAGTATACATGGGAACCACCTCGGGATGAGTTAGGCTGTAAAGTCTGATTCAGTAGGTCAGGCACAGGCCCAAGAGGCAGCATTTCCTTCTTGCTTCTGGCTTGCTAGGCATTGAACCCAGGGTTTCACACATGATAAGCATACATTCTACCACTAAGCTACACCTTTTCTGCATTTCTCACAAGGCCAGGTGATGCCAAGGCTGCCAGTCTGTGGACCACATTCAGCAGCCAGGGTGCTCTGTCTAGACCATCAGTGTCACAGAGATTGGAGAATGGGGGTGAGTGGGTTGATATTGGTGTAGAAGGTTTAATGGGAGTTGTTGGAACTTAGGCTAGTCCTTGAAAAATGAGACGATTTAAGTAAATGAGAAAAAGAAGGTGCTCCTGGAGAGAATACTTAGAAAGGCAGCAAAGGTAGAAAAGTGGACACCGGCCATTGTCACACGCTGGTGGAAGTGACAGATCGAGGCTTGGGGCTCCACGTGCAGGCGCCTCACTCCATTTGTGTCCACCTCACCCTCCCCATTCAAGAAGCTGGTCCAATTCCAGTAAGTCTACTGGCAGCTGGTCTTCATGATGGAAATAATTACTGTTCTGTGAGCCCCAGACTGACAGCTCCCATTCCTGTCTGCTCAGCCAACTTGGATATTTTTTCACCTGGCTTGCTAGTAATGGTTTGTTGTTTGGCAGCCTGAGTGACTCCCACTTTTCTCTTCCAATCTCAATTCAGAAGAGCCTCAGTTCTCCAAAAGTTGAGTGCCTCGAAGCCACACAGGGTGGTAATGAATTTCTCAGCAGGCAGCCAGAGCAAACCAGCGTGTTTTGTATGGTGCTTAGTCATGGGTTCCTTTCCTGATTCAGTCAGGGTCATGACCAAATAAAGAAACACAGCCCTCTCTCTACCCTCCCTTGCCTTGGAAATCTTTAGTTTATAGGCTAAACCAACAAAAGACCCACCCTTTTCTTAATAGAGCTTCATTTGTGGGTTCGAAAACACAAAAATACACAAAAGGTTTGTCGCCTGAAAATTGGATTATTTATTGGGTACTGTTCTTGTTTCCAAGCCCTGCCCTAACAAAATATCACAAACTGGGTGGTTTATAACAACAGAGATTTGTTCTCTCACAGTTCTGGAAACCAGAAGTCCAAAATGGAGACGTAGGGAGAACCATGCTCCTTCCAATGACAGGGAAAGAATCTCCTCAGCTCTTCCAGTTTCTGGCAGCCCTGGGGGTTCCTTGACTTGTGGCAGCATCACTCCAACTTCTTCTGCCATTTTCATAAGGCCTTCATGATGGAAGGCCCGTGACTGTATTCAAATGTCCTTTTCCTTATAAGAACACCATTCACATAAGGACACTAGGAATGGTGGATGAAAGATCTGGCTTCCATCTACATCATCTTGACTAACCAGATCTGCAGTAATCCCATTCCCAAATAACATCTCATCAGAGGTATCTGTGGCTTTCACATATCTTTATTTTTAAATCAATTCAATTAAAGCCATCACAGGTACCTGTTACAATGCTGTATTTTTTTAAAAGTCCCTGCTGAATTTGACCTCTTAGAGACTTTCTTCCTCTAAGTTAAACCAGAAGTGTAAGCTGTTCTAAGAAAAATGAAAACTTAACTACAAATTGGGTCCTTTCTCAGGGTCTTGTCCACCTCATACCTATTAGCCAGTGATGAATCCRCAAACTCTAGACAGCAAGTGCACAAGCAGATTCCAATTGAGTTGTTCCTTGAACCACTCCACACAGTTGAGGCTCTTCTGCCTGCCACACACAGTCCTAGGGGCTGAGAGTATAGGAGTGTACAAAGCAGACACAGACCCCTGCCCTACCTGCCAGTGGGAAGAAAACAGGCAGACAAAATACACAAAACGTGGTATGGGTAGATGGAAAAAAAGTACAGGGACATGAGTATGATCGGGATTTGCAATTTTAAGCAGAGTGGTCAGAAGAGGGCCAGAATAAGGCCAAGGGGCAAGCAATGCATGGCAGGAACAGCAAGAGCAAAGTTTCTGGGCACTAGCCTGAGATCTACCCCTCATTCTGGTGACTGTGTTGAAATATACTTTTCAGATGAAAGCAAAGCAGGAGACTTGTAAGGCACAGAGTCATATCCTGGGATGAGGAGATGGAAGTTGCTGGAATCTGGGTCTGCTACTGGTACACTGAAATTGAAGTCAGGCCTGAAGATCTGGTGCAGTAGAGATGCCATCAGCTACAGGCCCAAGACTGAAAGCTCRGTTTGGGATAAGGTGAGTTTTTGCCACATCAACTCTACTTTAAAAGAGCTCTATAATTAAGTGGAAATAGGTTCAAAACAATAGACTGCCAAAAGAAGATATTCAGAGGTATTCTTGGTAGTCAAAATTGCCTAGAAAAAACAGTCACTAAGGTAGCGAACAGAACTAAAAGTAATTTTTAAAGAAGTAACTGGCAGGAATCGGAAAAGGAGCTTTTAACCCATGGCTTCCCACTGTGTTGGTTAGAAGTGATTACTTCTGGAGGGGAACGTGGGGCAGGGTCTTAATTCTTCATTTACACCTCCTTGACTGTTTTAATTGTCATTTCCATATCCATAAATATACTTTATGACAAAAAATTGGCAATCATTTTTAAAATGGTTTTTAAAATTATAGGCCTAAGAAAAATGAAGTAGATTTCTATGTCTTCATGGGGAATAATGGCCAAGATAAATTATTTAAGTTACCGAATAATGGTACATACAACATAATCCTTTGCATGTGTGTGCACACGTGTCCATGTATATGTACAAAGAAAAAGGCCTGGAAGGGCAGATATGAACCATGGTGACCCAAGGGAGTCAGAAAGGGAGTAATGGGGAAACTTTCACTTTTTGCATTATATTCCGCAGCTTTTGCTACTTCTTAAAGGAGTACTTTCACATGTGTTTTAATTTAAGATAAAGGTCTTCCCTGTATTTTGCTTTACCCAGAACTCAATTAAATCTCCACACAATCCAAACAGGATTGAATATTTTAAAGAAACAGGCAACACAAAAATAGAAACTTTCAGTCCCCCTTTACTTTTATACCTGATAAAAAATAATRAGGACATAATAATAAGCTCTCCTTACGGTGTTTATTTCTTTCAATAACAGTGCTAAAACTTTGAAAAGTTAGGCACGGCTCCTAAAAGAACACGGAATGAAAATATGATAAATRTTTAACTCATTAATGAAAGAACCACCCAGGTGATAAGACAGCATTTGAAAAGCTAAGTATTTATGGGCAATGAAGAACTGGGAATAAAGTTGCCAGGTTAGATGAAAAACTGGTTARCATTCTTTAGGGCAACAAAACCATAGCTTTTAGGGTTATCTTTTCTACCAGACAGTTCATTTGCATCTCCTCTGAACAAAAATTGACAAGTTACATGTAACCTCAGAGTCTGGCCCCCAGTCAAGAGTAGAATTAAACAGTCCTCGGGTGGGTCTGTTAGACAGCTCAGTATGATGTCGAAAGAACATGCAATTCCTCCTTTTGCCTTTTTTCTAAGTGTTGGATGCTGTTTCTTAACATAAGATACAAATTTACATACTGGCAGCCACAGTTTTAAAGTTTCCAAATGGAGTTTGCTCATAATATTAATCTGCTTTTCACCATCCTTTATGTCTGTTTTCAATCAGAAAGAAAAATGACCAACAAGGAATTCTAGCATTGCAATAATGTTGCATTATAAAAATGAAATATATTTTAACATCATTTGGATACTTACCTTGATAAGTATTAAAACATTTTGTGAGCAATTTAAATTTTTTATCAGGACCCAAAAAGTCTATATATCTGCTTTGAGTTGATGCCTGCCCAGCAACAACAACAAAAATATCAAATTGGTACAAACTGCAGTTTCAGATATTTGTAAGGATTTGGGGCAGACTCTGAGCAAGTTACTGAATTTCTTAGTTGCAGCTTCCTCCCCTGTGAAAAAAGACATTCTTCTCTGCCCTGCTACACGCATGACTGTATGCTGATCCACAGTGCTATACCATGGTTATGTACATATTCACAGCCCATAATTTCTGCTTTTTTACTTCCTTACAGGGTTTTTAAATTGTCTTTTACTACATGGATTATTGTTTTTACCTATGAACTGTTTTTTAACCTGACAGTTTTTCCAAAAACTGTATTTATCATCTTCCTTTCCTTTTCAGAAAGAGTAAAATGTGGTCTTTTGAAGTTTCCTAACATTATATATGAAATGCAACAAGTCTCTCAGTCTCCCTTCAACCCCCGACCAAGTGCCATTTGGCCATTTGTGATTGAAATCCCCTTCCCCTAATTTACTGTCACATTTTTGAGAAATATAGGAAATGTTAAAATCTGAATTTATGTAGAAGCAGTTAAAATTACACACTTAGCTCACATAGCAACAGCACAGTCTGCTTTTTACTAGGCACTTGAAAAGTTAGAACACATGTATGTCAACAATCAGTTTTTTAAAAATAACAGTCTATTAGCCCAAACACCCTAAATAAATTCAACACCACAGCTGCAGGCAGAGACATACCTACTAATTTCCTTAACACAGCTTCTAGCCAAAGACTATCACATGAAGCAAATTAGGATCATGCTGCATATTTGGACAAAACCAGAAATGGCATCTTTGATCTGTTTTGAGCATGTGCTATTATGTTTCTGAAGCACACCCATGCTTGGTCTTTAATTTGCCTAAAGGTGCTTTTCTGTGTTATAACACTATTAAGTATAGTTTGCATACAGAAAGAGCACGAAACCCAAAAAGCTTGAAAAATAAATGGTGCAGAAACTGAACACACTTTAAAACCATCTAACTGTATATTTCAAATAGATGAATTCTATCTCAATAAGGCTTTTTTTAATGCATTTAAAAAAGTAAACATTCATGTTATAACAGTTTATGTGAAAATTGCTCACTTTCCAATGGTTACACTTGTTTTCATTGTTGAAACAATTTGTTTTCCTGTGAAAAGTATTATGGAATAAAATGGAATTCATAATTTTTCCAATTAAAAGTAATACAAATATTTTTTATTTAATGGCTTTTCAGTTAGAAAAAGCATTTTCAGGGACAAATGGAAGTTGTTAAGCAAGAGATAGGTTTAATTATTTGAAACTTCTCGTTAAATTTTTAAGGGGACTAGACTCAGCAGAGATGGGCTGTTGAGGCCAGAATATATACTGAACTGATTTGCCCTGAGTGGTGAGGATAATTATATTATTCCCACTGAGAAAGACTTATGACCTACAAAATGGCAGAGGGCCAAGCCTATGTTTAGGATAGAGAAGCTAGTAAAAGACAGAAACCCAACATAGATTCAGAAAAGAATAATCTGATGATGACTAAAAGCTGACTTGGAAATTTAAGCTTGCTTTCACCAGCTGTACCATAGTTTGCTATCGTAAAATCAGTCCAGGGTTTTGTTCAGTTCCAGACTTCCGAAAAAGACAAATAGCTTCATGCTTCTCAATTAGTGCTAAGAATAACTTTGTAATCTCAAAAGTAACATAAGTCCATTTATTCTATTTTACTGTATTTTGAGAAAGACAATTCTTATAACAAACTATAATTCTCTTCTACTTTGTTTTTGTAGAGGGAAAAAATGGAACAATTCAATTTAGGCACTTTTCTAGTAAGAAAATGAAAAGAACTGAACAAATTCTGAAGTATGGGAACAATAATGAACATAAGAGTATCTTTAAGGTAAATATCAAAGGTATTATTTAGGCAACCAAAAATTAGAACCCAAATGTATAATGCCTCATTTTGAAGACCATAAATGAGGTAAATGTATTATTCCCTTGTTATTTCCAGTAACAAGAAAAAAAATAAGTCCATCCATTCCCAATAAGGTAGTGCTGATTCTGAACTTCACTGATATTTTTCCTTTAAAAGGATGAAGAAACTTTGAACAATAAAATCCAGACAACCAAATGAAATTTTTTAAACAATTTTTCTTTTTCATATTATATCTGATCCGAGGCAAGAGTAAAGTAAAGAGYATATAAGCCAAGTTATATAAGTGGCATTTAAGTATTTGATTCTCTTGAACGGAATAGCTTTAAGCTCTCCCAAGGTCTAGAGACTTTGCTTTTTAAAAAAAAAAAAAAAAAAAAGTTTTCTTAAAAGGGATTTTTCTGTCTTCATGCAACTTTATAAGTTCTTTTAAAGACTTTCCAACAAACGAAAAGATAAATCAAATTGGAAAATGTGACTAATTCCAGAATATAGACTTTATTTCTGGCCATCTAACTTAATTTCCTCTTCATAGTCATTCACCTGCAGCCCAAATTCTCCATGTGTCATGCCAGATATTATTTATGAACTACAAACAAGACAATTAGTTTGTCTGCTCCGTGAGATCTCTTTTACTTAAAAATTAAGAAAATTATTAAGGCTGATGATGGTTATTGCATCTCAAAAGGCCACTGAAGCTTGGCTGCGCCTTCCTCTGGAGACAACAGGCAAACACACTTTCCTTTCTCCCCAGGAGGGTAATTTCCATTCCAGAACAGCTTTCCTGCAGCAGCAATCAACTAGTTTGGTAGATCTCAAGATGAGGGTCTGTATCTTTGAAAGCCAAACCACAACAATAAAAATATTCCACTATAGATGGGACGTGCTGGCTTTGGCTTGTTTTCCCTTCAAGCTCATCCCAGTTCTTGAGTCTCATCAGAGCCCAATCTCTTGTTGGCAGCACATGATAAAATGGAACTTTCAAAGCTTTACATTTACCATGTGTTTCTGTCAAATCCTTACCTCTCTATCCACCCCACCCCACCTGCAAAATCATTAATTTGAACAGTGCTATTTATATAGTAAGTATTCAGTAAAAGTTGATGACAATAATTATGGTCATTATCCAGAGACAGAAAAGTATGTGCAATATTTAAAATTCTAATGTCTTATCAATGATTTCTAGAGAAAACTAAGTATAAGTTGAGTTCTTTCAAACTGCTCTCCTGCAGGACATATCTTTATTTTTAAGCCCAAAATGTCTGTGTATCCTGGTCACATAAAACAGCTTTACTCTCAAAGCAAGTGGAATGGGGAAAAAATGAGCAGGGGATGAATGATTCTAGATTAAAAGAAATCAGAGACATAACACAATGCAATGAAACCTGATTGGTTATAGACTCCGAAATAAAAATCTACACATTTTGGGAATAATTTGGTAAATCTAATTTGGACTGGATATGGAGGGCTTTGTGACACTTTAATTCATATTAGGTATTATAATAATATTGTGGTTATAACAAGGATGCTTTTTATTCTTGGAAGGGACAGGCTGAAACACTTAGGGGTGAAGTATTGCGATGTTTATCTTATTATGAAGTGGTTCAGCAAAATGTATTAATTTTAGACATAGAGGAGAAACAAATGTGGCACAATGTTAACAACTAATGAATCCAAGTGAAGAGCTTATAGGTGTTGACTGTATTATACTTACAACTGTTCTACAGATGAAAAATTTTTAATTATAAGTTGGGAATTTAAAAATTAAAATGTTCCACTGAAGAAAATACCATACATTTCTTTAAATATTTTACTATAATTATATGCAATTATACATTAATATTACGTATTTACATTCAACAGTTTCTCAACCTGAAATTAACAACTTTAAATACATGAACTCTCAGTACCAATGCATGAATCTTTTTATCTTAAATATAAATCAAAGTAGCTATTCTAAATTAGAGCCCCTAGACGCAGATGTAAAGATCATGAATTAACATTTCAACTGAGTTAAAAATTTCAATAATTTTTTTCAGTATTTCTTCTTTGTTTTTCTTCTTTGTCTAAAATAGTCTGTTTTAAGCTCAAAATAGCATCTTGAAATCCAGGATTTAAGTCTAGTACTTTCTTGAAATCTTTCAAAGCATCATCAAAATATCCTGTACCAGAACCCAAAAAATAAAAGAGAAAAAAAGCTGAGTATTTGTGAATGTTATTCATAGCAAAATCTGGATATACAACTTTTATGTTTATGAGCTTTTGACCACTTGTAGTATACCAAGTTTTTACTCTTAATATAGGGGTGTGTAAATTAATTTTGTGTGTTCTTATGGCATAATTACACCTAAAATTAACTATGGAGGGCTGGGGGTAGAGTGCAAGGCCCTGGGTTTGATCCCCGTACAGCAGAAAAAAAAAAAAAAAATGAAGTTGGCTGTGGTTTATTTATAAGATTTAATAGGTTATGGTTAAGTAGCATAAGTCCTAAAATTTTAACAAAACTATACAACTGCAGTAAAATTGAGAAATAGGAAATTAGTTTTATTTTTAATTTTAAATGAGAAACAGGATCCACAGTCTCTTTAATAAAGGGATCTGAAACTTCTTCACTTTCTATTGTCTCAAGGGTCTTCAGAGATCTTAACTCAGAAAAGTGTCACAAGTGACCATCTCCATCACCTCATTATGCAGTTGGGAATGCAGAGGCACAAAATAATGGGGTGCCCCCCACTCCTGCACCCAGGTCAATTCCCACCCCAGTGCTCCGCTGTGATCTACAATGGCCATCAAAAGCCTAAAATAAACTCAGGTACTCTTCTTCCTTCCATGCTCCAAAYCTAAAGTTTGTGTTACCTTTAAAACTTGATGAGTGCTACATTTGTTTCACAACATTTAATAGCTCTGAAATAACAATACAATCAATGAAGGAAAGCAAAAATAAAGAGATAAATTTAAAAATTTCTTACCCAGCCTATACAGTATCAACCCTCTGTTGTAATATGGAACTTCAAAATTGGGTTGAACTTCTATGGCAGATGTGTAGTCATCCATGGCTTCAAAAAAATCAACCCTCAAGTACTTGATTTGCCCTCTGTTGTTATACGCAGTAGCCAAATCCTCAGGGATGCATTTGCTTTAAACAAAAAGTTCACATTAAAAACACAGTATTACCAAATTCCTCTCATTTCTATTTTCATATTCTTTTAGGCATTGTCAAACTTCATAACCTATAACATGCTTTGTCTATCTACACTGAGAAATCATGCAAGTAAATAAGGAACTGAAATGAATTTTTGTCTAATCCCATTACTTTTGTAGGGCTACAGAACTAAGATGTCAAACTGAAAAGCACATGAATTTTATAGGGTGCTCAACACTCCTATTCACTGCCAACATGTTTTGCTGAATATAATATTAAAATGACTTCATTTTCTAAGCACACACCAGCAGGGCAAAGAAGACAGATCAAATCATGTTGAGCAAGAAGGGAAAGGCAGCCCAAAGTTCAAGTTTGCTACGGATGGATCACAAAGTGAACCACCAAATTTACTKTCAAAATTTGAAGTGACCTTAAAACAATGGGACTTGAAATCATTTTCCACCAAAGAAATAAATACTAGTTAACCCTAGATGAAAATTCAATACATTGATTCCAGAGAGTGATCTCCAGCCTTAGCTGAAGAACACCAGGCTGGCTCCTGAAGGGAGGGTAGATTCCGGTTAACTTGGGAGTTCTGTGTACAGAATCAGTTCTGCCCGTGATAGGCTCCAGAGACTGCCCCAAGAGCTTGAAGTGAACAGACTTTCCTAAGGGGACTGGACAACCTGCAGTTCCAAGAAGCCACCAGTTCAACAGGTCTCAGTCCCCTCCCTATTACTTGAAACTCTCTGTATTGGACAACTATGCGCACAGAGAATATTAGAGATTCTTCTCTGAGTCAGAGATGATTCTGTTTCTTTTTTTCAAAAGTGACTCTCAAATTCAAACCAAACAGGAGCTGCAGATTAAACTTATCTGTCATTTCTTCATTATACCCCATAGTGCAAAGTGTAGTCCTTAGAAAATATCTGTGACATTGGTCAGCTACTTAACATATCAATTCTTTATCTTACATAAGCACTGTAACCACTGGTCAGCTAAGGTACTCAGTCTAAGTTTGCTAAAAATGGAGAGGAACTGCCACAATTTTAGAAAATCTCTGTTTCGTAAGCCCTTACAGATTGATACAAGACTACTTCTAGATGCCACTAACACCACTGTTAAAAGTTGGAGAACCAGAGGGTACAGGCCCTACATCTGTCTGTTAGGACACTAGTCGAACTGCTACCCAGTAGTTTAAAGAAAAAAAAGAAGTGTCAGGACTTCAGTAAGGTTTTAGTTATAAATTTGAAGGTTCAGAGTTTTGCTATAAATTCTTATATTCAAAGGATCACACAGAATGTTCAATTTAGTTAGATCTCATTACAACAAATTCTAAAAGCCTACTTTTTCATGCAGAAGTTTTGCTTCCAATTTTAAAGAAATGGGATAACAGTTGACACTGAAATTTTTTTTACGTTAGGATTTCTGTGAAGATAGTATTTCTTGTCATGAAATTTAACCAAGTTACCTAATCCAAATGTGGATTTTTAGCATTTGCTAGCTTTGGCAAAGACAAAGTACTTGAAAATTAGATTACAGCTATGATTGCACCTTTGAATATTAAAAAGAAAATGTGATAAAGCATTCAGAGTAAAAGGCATTTAAAGATTGCAAATGGGGGCTGTGGTTGTGGCTCAGCGGTAGAGAGCTCACCTACCATGTGCAAGGTCCTGGGTTTGATCTTCAGCATCACATAAAAATAAAATAAATATATTTAAAAAAAAAAGATTGCAAACGGTGTTTCAAAACAACTCAGGGCCCCAATATTTTAAAAACAAGTTTAAACTCTGAAGGATATAGTTAGAGGGGAAAGTTAACAGAAYTTAATTTCAATTCATGACTTCCTAGAGGAATTTTAGAGCTGTTAGGAAAGTGGAGGCTTATTTTACAGATGAGAAACTGAGGCTGAGAAAGGTGCAGTCCTGCAGCAAAGCCAAGATGAGAATACACACATGATAAAGTCCCTTCAAATAAGCCACAGCCAATTTTTTTTCCTGTGTTGGTAAAGGACCAAAATTACATTTGCTATGGACACTTGGGTTCTGGGCTGAGACATGCAATGGAGGAAGTCTACATGACATCCACATAAGCTACTACTGAATATATTTTCAAACCTACTAGACAGGTCTATTCTCAGAGATCAAAACAAGGATAGAAAACTAAGTTTCCTATGTTTACCTTTTTTTTTTCCCAAGGGGGGCAGTGTAAGGCAGAGATGGTGGCATCATCTCACTGTCCATTCCGAAACTTTATTAACTATAATTCTAATGTATTCTTGAGAGAACAATTTTATCTTTCTAGTTTAATTCTATATGAGTTTAACACGGTAAAAATCAAGTCTTCGGGTTTTTTTTTTATTAAACTTCAAAAGACTACGGGCATCTGAACAAGAAAAATCAAATCCTCTAGGGCAGAGGAGGAGGATGGTGCAGATCTCTCTCAATTGTCAAGGAAATCCAACCAGCCCCTTTCTGTTCTTTCCTCACCTTGGTCCACTCTACACCATCAACAAGTAYGACAGAGGCAAAACTTGAAGCAACAACAAATGCTACACATCCAAGCATAAACCCCAAAGATGTTCTGGACAAGTGGATGTGGGCAGGTGAGGCCGCTAAAATCACAAAAAAAAAAAGAAAACAACCAGACTTTACATACTTCCTAGCAGAACCACACACATCTGCTTATAAAATGTTCTTGCCATAATGTTCAATTAAACCTCAAGATTTTACTACCAATTCACAGATGACCACATTAAACGACATCAGAGGGATGCATTCAACAGATCCAAAATATGGAAACTCTCAGGACACAAGATTCAGTTTTCTCAACAACTAAACTGCTGGGGGGTGGGGAGGAGGAGGAGGAGAAAAAAAAACACGGAGGAGGGCATTAAAGATTTGGAGTCCAGATATGCAACCTCACCGGAATCAATGGCTAATGACACACCAGGCAGTAACAGTAAAGTACTTTAATGGCCATGGCAATCRGGAAAGTCCAACACTGACGGTTATTTGGTATCAAGGATATCACGGTTACTTTTTAGGAATCCTTAATGTGAGGAAATGCCTTCCTAAACACCCATGAACCGCGGTCTGTGTTAACTGACAACGTTTAAGCGAGGCTGCGGCTGCGGCACGGTGTTCCCACGAGCCACCTCCCCCCGGGGCTCGGATCTCGGCTAACTGCGGACGACAGCCCGCTGCGCTCCCCGCCTCGGGCTCGCGGAGAGACCGGGCGGCCGGACCAGGGGTGGGGGGCGGAGGAGGAGGCAGAGGCTGCGCTCGCGCGCGCTCCCGCGGCGGCTTCTCSAGGCGGGCTCCTGCCTCGGGTTCTCCCGGCCACGTCCTAAGCCTCGCCTCGGTCTTTCCGAAACACAAGCGGCCCCGGAACTCCGGTGAAGTACCGTGGGGACTAGACGATCCCAGCCACGCACCCTTAAGCCGAGACGCTGTCGCCCCACCTCTCGCGATAGTTACCTCCCCGAACGCGGGCCGTTGGGGGCTGCACAAGCGCCCTGGCGAATATAAGCGGAGTACAGCGCCTCGGCCTCCGCGTACTCGCCCTTGTCAAAATGAGCCTGGGCGAGTGCTAGGGTAGCATGGCTTCCTTGCCCTTGGTGTCCTTCCATAGCGGTCGAAGGCCTGGCTCTCGGAGGGGAATAGGGATTTACTTCTGAGGGATTAGAGGCGGCGCCACAGAACTCCTGCTGCACCCCGGAATTTAGTTTACAGAACCTCGGCGTTAAGGGGAGGAAGTTTGAGTCTTGTGAGGACCCTTCTTCTCGCGAGATAATTGGTCCGCTAACGGAACGCGCGGGAATTCAAGGGAAGCTTGAACAGGTTTTAATGAAGTGTTTGCCTTGTTATGGTTGGTTCCACCTGTCTCCCTTCCTGGAAAAATCAATAAGTCGTCCCAAAGGATTTCTAAATCCACGTCTGACGTCGCGAGGCACGTGCGCTCAGTCACAGTGCACTAGAGCCCATTGTGCTGGAAGCGGAAACAGGAAGCCTGCCGTGGTTCTACGAGTGGCTCTTTGTTTTGCAGCTGGCTTCCGGTGCAGCGCCCCGCTTCGCAGAACGCGGAGTTTGGGGTGTTAAGTAGACAGTGGTTACCCCGAGACTGGGGTTGGAATCCTCTAGGCTTCGTGTCCCACGGCTCTGAGCCCGAATTCAAACCATACCCAAGGTTAGCTCCAACAACGGAAATGGCGAAATTTTCCACCTTAACCTCAGGACTTGTGTATCCAGAGTTTGCAGTCTTCGATATTTTGTTGTTTGTTTTAATGGCTTTTAACATATGCAAAAAGATAATATCATTTAAATGTATGCTATTGGGAGAATGAGTTAACCATTTGAGGAAAAATACTTTTAAGCATTTAAGTTACCAGTTCACAATAMTCTTATTCCAGGTGAGTTAGAAACTTAAAATATTTTTTAAAGTCTCCAAAAATAAAAAGTAGGATGAAAGATAATTATCTCAAATATAAACAGGTCTTTATACATTAAAAAAAAAAAAAAGGAATGCTATGGTTTTATTGTGTCCACCAAAGTTTGTGTGTTGGAAGTTGAATCTCCAGTGCAACAGTGTCTGGAGGTAGATCTAATAGCAGTTATCAAGAGGGTTCCACCCTCATGAATAGATTAATGCCAGTTATTTAAAGGGCGTGAAATTGAGGCAATTTCTCTTGTTCTCTTGCCATGCTATGCCTTCTGCAATATTATGAAGAAGCAAGAAGGCCTTAACCAGTTAAAGTCTCATGACATTGGACCAGGCTCCAGAACTGTAAACCAAATAAATTCCTTTTCTTTACAAAATTACTTAGACTGGTATTATTACCGCAACACAAAACTGAAGAAGACAAGAAAGAAAAAGTTACAAAGAATCTGGTATAATTAACTATAAAAATCAGGCAGAGAGAAAAGAAATTTTCAACTTACAAAAAATTATCATCTTTAACATATACAGAACTTAATGCTCAAAAATCACTTCTTGGGCATCTACAATGTGGCAGATTAAAAACTGGGAATAGTGAACAAGATGAAGTCCCCTGCCCCCACTGAGCTTACAGCCTAGCAAAAAGACACAATTTTAAAATCAGTGATTTAGTGACTTGGAAAAAAAACAGTATAGGGGATAGGGAAGAGGTGATTTCTGTTTTATAAAAGTTGGGTGAAGACTTCATAGAAAAGGTTACTGAGTACAGACCTAAAGCAAGTGAAGGAGCAAGCCAAACTGAAATGGGTGAGGAAACCAAATATAAAAGTCATGTAGTAGAAGATTTGCTCAAGGAGTAACAAGAATATTCATGTATCTCAACATCCAGTGATCTGAGAGGAAGAATAGCAAGATGTGTACAAGATAGAACAGAAATAAACTWGTAGGAAACCAAATATTGGTTCTTTGAAAAGATCAACAAAAAATAATAAGCCTTTAGCTAGTATAAGTAAAAAAATTACATCAGAAGTRAAAGTGAGGACATTACTTTTAATTCTACAGAAATAAAAAGGATTATAAGAGCACTATGAAGAACTATATGCCAAAAAAATTGATAACTAGATGGAATTGGCAGACTCCTACAAACAGAATACCAACCAAGATTGAATCCTGAAGAAATAGACATAACTAGTAAAATTGGATAATTTAAAAAAAAAAAAAAACTCATGCTTATACTGATGAATTTACCAGTTGAGACAATTCTTAAATTCTTTCTAAAAATAAAACAGGAGGGAATACTTGTTAACTTTATAAAGCTATCTGTTCTCATATTAAAGCCAGACTAATATCACTTATAACACTGATGGGGGAAAAAAAACAACAACAAAAGACTAGCAAATCAAATTCAACAGCACGATAAAAAGAATTACATACCATGACCAAGTAGGAATTATTCCTGGAATGCAAGGCTGATTCAATACATGAAAATCAATCACCATAATATACCACAATAACAGAATAAGGAGAAAAATTACATGATCGTCTCAGTTCATACAGAAGAGGCATTAGACAAAATTAAAAACTCATGATAAAAACAAGGTGGAAATAGAAGGAATCTACCTCAACATAGTAAAAGCCTATACGAAAAACCTGCAGTAAACATTAGATCATCAGGTTCAACAGTGACTGAAAGATTTTTCTCTAAAACCAGGAACAAGGCAACGATGGTGGTCACTTCCATCACTTCTACTCAATGTAGCAATGAAGATCTAGCCAAAGCAATTTAAAAAGTAAAGTGAAAAGAAAGAAGAGTATCTCTGTTCACACACACTCATGCATATACATACATGCATAAGTATACATACATGTTTGTGTCCCTAAAGATACCACCAAAAGAAAACACTGTTAAAAACTAGAAAATGAATTCAAGGAGGTGAAAGACTTGTCCAATGAAAACTGCAAAACACTGTTAAAGATAGTTTCTTAAGTTYTGCCTGTTTATTCTCTTAAATCACACTAAAATATAAATTAATGCTTTTATTTTTAAAAAAGTTTTTTACTTTCTCATCTATATTCTTGTATATTTCTGAAATTTTCAACCATGAACATGTTACTTTTATATTTAAAGCAAATAAATATTAGTTTYTAAAAGAAAAAATAATGAATTGAGAAAGTAATCATAAGAATAAACAGTAGGGGGCAACATAATATTACTATTTTCACTTTGGAAACCCAGAAGCAAGAGCTTAGAGCTGTGTCAGCAAATTTAGTACTCTTGATTTTTTTTCTCAAAAGTTTGGTAATGTGATTTTTCCCCTTATTTCTAAATGAGAATATGTGATTTTTAAGGAGTAATTCTCTGCAATGTCAATCATCTGACATTTGCCCTGTACCTGTATAAGGGTTGGGTTTTTTTCCCCTTTGACAGCAAAAATGGTGCAGTACATCTACTGTACCTGCCCTCTCCATTGTGCAGCACAACTCCCTACTCAACAACCCCCACCAAAATAGATAAATGAAGACACAAGGGGCTGGGGATGTGGCTCAAGCGGTAGCGCGCTCGTCTGGCATGCGTGTGGCCCGGGTTCAATCCTCAGCACCACATACAAAGATGTTGTGTCCGCCGAGAACTAAAAAATAAATATTAAGATTCTCTCTCTCTCTCTGTGTCCTCTCTCTCTTTAAAAAAAATAAATAAATAAAACAAATAAATAAATGAAGACACATAAAGAAAACCTGGGATAAACACAAGTCCTTTTTTCTTCAGTATTTATTATTTTCACATAATAATAAAAACCAAAGGTTTCAGCAATTTCAAAATATAAGCAAAGCAACTTAAAATGAAGTTAGCATTTTTTGAGTGTGGTAAGTCAACAATACTACAGTGCTTATTAGGCACATTGCTTATGTGTACAGCTGCATCAGTTGGTTCTGTCATTTGAATACTTATGCCTACACCATACCATTTTAAAACGTAACGTAATTCAGAATAAAGAATGACTCAGCATTGCTCAAAGTAAGTCCATGCTTATGATGGCCAAAAAAAAAAAAAAGAATAGCAATTTCATTATCCTGTCTCCAGTACACTACCTCCGTCCATCCAACTTCTCTTCAGGTATTTGTTTTATATAGCCACTTTTGCTTCTCTCTGTCCCTTTCATCAAGGGAGAGTTGAATAAAACCAATCAGATCAATTCATACTATAGGTTCTAGTACCATTTTTAAGTTGAACAAAAGTCCCAAGACATAGTGGCAGATCATTTAAAAACTTCCACAGATTTAGATCCCCAAGAATCATACACATTTTTACAATAGTAGAACAGATGTATCTCTTGTGTGCACATACATAGTTATATATGTGTGGATGAATATACAGATACATATACATATATGAAAATTAGATCCACAAGGTATCAAAGTTTATCTGAATCAAAACTGAACATGAAGTTCAGCTTGGCAGCAACTCGGGATCTATCTAAAATAATTAGTTGGAGGAAAAATCCAGGGCTTAGGCAGATGGAGCTAGATGGCTTCAAGAGAAAGTTCCTGAAAGGTTTATTAGGAGAGGCTTAGGAGTTAATGAGTTCTCAGTAGATTCCTGGGTAAGAACGGGATAGGGAAAGAAGAGACACCTAGGCATCAGACCATGGACCAAGACTCACAACTAAACAGAGTCCTGCAGGAGCTTCTCACAATGATGGAACTAGTGACAGGCACACTCTCCCTACAACTCTGAAAATTTCTTTCATTGATAAAGYAGAGAATAGTCTCATCCCTAAAAAACAAAGTCCTGTGGAAAGATATAATTAAGTTCAACAGAAGATAAGTTCTCTTGGGCAGATATCCTGTAATGCACAGATTATGTCAATCTCTAAATTCAGCTTTGCCCATTCCCATGCTTACCCCATTGCCCATCTACCTCCCCAAGGTTGTATAATGAATTAGTAACCTTGGCATGGGGAGAGAAAATATTTCTTATTTGGAATGTTGCCATAGGATCATGTAACCAACCATGAGATAAATAAATGATAGCAAAAAAGATAGGAAAAAAATAAGACTGACTTGCATAAGTTTTATATGAAAGTTAACCTTATTATTTCACAGTTGTACCTCTGCATAAAAGCTATTTTATTACATAAATTTTGTACAAAAATCCAACTATAAAAAAACGAACCTTATTTTCATATAAAACTTATAGAAAAGAAACCTTATTATACATACACTTAGAGCTTTATATGTTACATGTATTTTTAAAATTATATACATTCGTCTTTCTGTTATCCCACTGAACTATGGCATAAGGGACAGAAGTTGTAGTTGCTGATTTCCTGAGCAAGAACACAGTGCTTGCACACAGCACACATCCAGAATTGATACTCAGTGATTGGGCTTCCTGTGGCAACGCATGTTGGCAATTTCCCTTCTCCCCTGGAGAAACAAGAGGAAAACAGTTAATTATACTGTAAAATTTCCAATGAATCTAATAATGCAATTAATAGCCTAAAAATTGAAGAACAAAAAACATTTCAAAATAATTCTTACAATGAGAAAAAGCATTAATATGCAAATAGATTAAATAAAAGAGTTTATTGTTAAGGTACAAATTGAGTGCTTTAATTATTGTATTACACATCATACACACAGAAATTCAAGCTTCAAACAAGGGAGAATGGTAGCTATAAACAACAATTAGCCTACCCTTCAAGAAGGCTGTCCAGTTCTGATTTTCTGTTATCTTTTGGACTATGTTTGGTGAAGATTTCTAGAGCGAGGTCTTCATATTGCTGTTTCTGTTCCGAACTGAGTGTCTCTAATGATTCAAGTTTAATGAAAGCTTTGGAACAAGTACCAAAAGCTCTACTGGCACATGCACAGAGTGCTAACAGAGAGTATATCTCAACTGCAGGGATGATGTCTTCATAGTCTCTCAGGTGAAGAGCTAGGAAAGAGAGAACAGTGTGAGTATTTAAAACTAATCATGATATCATGAACATGCATGGGAAAGAATGTAAATAAAGGTGCTGTCGTTTAATCCACATGAACTTGAATGAACTTAAAATAATGTTGAGAGAGAGGAGTACTAATAGAAAAAGTAGGGTCCATGATTCCTAGGTTCTGAGAAACCAACTCACAGCTCAGTCCTGTGAAGATTATAACCACCAAATGATGCACATGGCTGACCCACCCAGAAAGATACACAAGAGAAAAAAAAATGCCTTGATGTTGAAAGACACATCTTTTCTTCCATTTAAATTATAAATTTCTGGGGCATTCCATAGAAAGTAGATTAATATTACACTATTAATATTAATCATAACTGTTAATCATAACTCTTAAAATATAAAGTAGATTAATATTACACTATTAATATTAATCATAACTGTTAATCATAACTCTTAAAATATCATGTTTATTTTTGCAAAAATAAAGGCAAAGAAGTATGAAATCACATGTTCTCTCTTATTCTTTTTAAAAATAGATCAACCCATAAGGTCTCAAGTTTTCAATTCTGCAAATGTAAGTTTTCAAATAGTATTTCAAAGTTACCATAGTGGTATATATGTTGCTCAATTTCAGTGTTCAGATGTTCCACATCTGGGATGAAAGGACAAAACTGGTKAATACTTTTTGTTTGTCTCATTGAAACAAGACTCAGAAAAAGGAATTGAAAATGAACCTCTAAATCGTCCATTTAGACCATTTATTTTAATAGCTATTACATCTTAATTTGCAATGCTTCTATGYTAAAGACATTGTAATCTTTCTTTAAAATGTACCGTAGTACTAATATTAGATTTGTACCTAATTTGTATCTCTTTCTTCTGTAGATCTTGCAGTCTTAAAATATCCCTTTTATCATAATATACTGAAATGTCACAAAACAAGTGTAAAATAATATACATGAGTATATATAATTAGATTCCTCAGACTGGTTTTTGTTGACAACAAAATTTAGTGAAATGTATAAAAATACATTCATTTAGTTACAATAAATAATACATTCTAATTTCATATCTGGCACATAATAGGTTCACAGGCAATTTACAGGACATATGTTGTTTCAAATCATTTTATAACTGAAAAAAAAATTGGAAGTATATGGAAATCTCCACCCAATAGGTAAAAAAAATCTGAAGTTAAAGGTCTATTTGTTCTTTTAATTTGTCTACAAATGGTACATAAATTATTAAAATATGACTTTACACAGTGCTTAATTTATATCAAACATTAGAATTAAGATTAGTTATAAAATAAAATATTAAAACTTATTTTATATTACTAATAACCAGTTAGACTTTTTCATAGACCCATTGCTAATGAAAACAAAAGTAGAAATAAACTACAAATATTTAGAGCATAAGGAAGAAAACTAAGAATCTTTGGAAAGATTGCCAGTAAATAGATGGAAYCGGAGACTAACATGTTAAGTGAAAGAAGCTGATCCCAAAAAACCAAAGGTGGAATGTTCTCTCTGATATGTGAATACTGACCCACAATGAGGGGTGGGGTAGGAAAGAACTGAAGTACCTTGGATTAGACAAAGGGAAATGAAGGGAAGTGAGAAGTGAAGGGAAGTGAGAAGTGATGGGAGTAGAGAAGACAGTAGAATGAATCAGATCAGACATGACTTTCCTCCTGTATGTGAACACACAACCAGTGAAACTCCATGTCATGTACAACCACAAAAATTGGATCTAATAAGAATAAATTATATTCCATGTATGTATAATATGTCAAAATACACTCTACTGTTATGTATACCTAAAAAGAACAAATTTATTTTTTTAAATAAGGCCACAAAATAAAAGACATGCAAGACAATTGCAACCTAAAAAAAAAATAATCTTTGTAAAGAAAAACAGATACAGTGGAATGCAATAGGCATCATTACCTTAAGTACAAGTATTTAGACACTAATGGTGTGACTCTACTTTGTGTACAACCAGAGACTTGAAAAATTAGGCTCTATATGTGTGCTATGAATTGAAATGCATTCTGCTGTCATGTACAACAAATTAGAATAAATAAATAARTTTTTTAAAATACAAATACACCAATGGTTTTTAAAAACTGATTCTTCTGGATGAAAAAAGTCACAAATAAATTGATACTAATATTAATATATTAACTTAAAGCAATGCTAATACAAAGTCCAACAGGACTTCACCAAAACAATTCCTAACCTCAAAAAGATTATGAAGTTGATCTGGATGAACTAACATAAGAAAATACCCTTTAAAAAGAAGGGCAACAGCTTAAATCCCAGATATTGAAATTTAAAAATAAATACAAGCACAGTACCAGCATAGAAATACATAAATAGAAAATAATAGTCTAGGAAGGGATTAGATACATGAATTTAATTTCATAAAGGGAGAATTTCAAATCTTCGAGGGAAGAATACATGTTTAATAAGTGATTTTCGGYTAACTAAGAAGTTACAAAAAAATATAATATGTAATAACTTTAGAGTGAAGGACTTATTAAGCATGACTCCTAAGTGAAAAATATGAAATCAGACTGACAGAAATGACTATATCAAAACTCACTATTAATATCATCATCATGCTGTCACTACTCATGAAGTCTAGGCACCATAACAAGTGATTTTTCTTTTCAGGAACTTCTCTCTTCATCATTAAAACAATGAGAGGAAGATACTATTACTTCCACTTTACATAAAAAAGAAACTACCACCCAGTGGTGGCTCACACCTATAATCCCAGCGGCTCATAAGGCTGAGACAGAAGGATCATGAGTTCAAAGCCAGACTCAGCAAAAAAGCAAGGCACTAAGCAACTTAGTGAAACCCCKTCTCTAAATAAAATACAAAATTAGGGCTGGGGATGTGGCTCAGTGGTTGAGTGCCCTTTAGTTCAAACCTGGGTACTAAAAGAAAAAAAAAAGAGAGAAGAGAGAAACTCTACAGCTGGAAAAGGCTAAATAATGAAGTTATAACCGCTGGGGAAATCAACATATATGATAGAAGCTTGTTATATATAATCTCATAAGAGTTCTTACACAAATAGTGAAAACATGAAAATAGTGAAAACATGACTGCTATCATGTCAAGCTAAAACAGCAGTAATGTCACAGTAATATCACTATAGAATTATAGAAATATTCAAATAAGAGAATTTCTCTAAGATTTTTTAAAAATAATTCCACCAGAATGCAGATTAATGATTACTCAGGATTAGCGAGTGATATGCGCTTGGTGATAATATGAGTAGCAGATGAGTGATATCACAGTGGCCCACCCAGTGCAGGGGGGAGGGCCCATGGGAGAAGTGTGTTGAAGAACAGTGTTTGCACTGCTGTCATGTCAAGCTAAAACAGCAGTAATGTCACAGTAATGTTTTAACCATTCATATGCTTTGGTTTATAACATAGATCTCATAATTAGTTCTTAGGATTTAATATATTTAAACTCCAGCATACTGTTAAGCCAAAATAAGTTCTAGATTCAGATCCTACATGTAAATAATTTTCTATAAATTATAATCCATAAGTAGCATGAAATATTAGATGACTATTAAAAGTGATACAGATCTATGTTTACCAATGAGAAAAGATAATTACAACATACTGATGGGAGGGAAGTAAGCTCTGGTATTATGAAACATCTGAAAGGAAGTTTACCCAAAGGTCAGTGATGATCATCTCTGACTTACAACATTATTTTATAAATTATTATTATTTATATGTATTATATTATTATATTAATATATGATATTATTTATTATTATAGTTTTTTGGTTGAAATTATTAAGAATCATTTTATAAAAACAAGATAAATACCATAGAAATGTGTACCACATGAAAATGTCTTATATCATTATTTTTTTAAAGTAAACAAAATTATGCCCTTTTACTCCTAATATTATAAAAAGAATGTTTTTAAAAGTTTTATATAGATACAGATATCTCCAAAAGATAGAGACTGGTCTATCAAGTGTCTGGCGTTGAATGGACAGCATATAAATACTACACACATTCTTTTGCTTATCTCAAACTTCTGATATTTCTATGCACTGTATGTGCTACCTTCGACATATTAAAAATATTTTTAAACTTCAAAAAGGGGAATGAACAAAATAATATATACAATAATCCAAACATATAAAAATAAATCCATAGCAAAAATGTTATCAAAACTAAAACAAAGACAAGCTGAAGGAATTGGCCCTTCACTCAATTTAAAATTTTTCGGACAAACTATATACACAGTTGAAATGCCCACCTGTCTTCAGTGCAGTGTCAACATAGCCCTCATAGAGCTGCCTCTGCGCAAGGATAAAGAAGTGGTAAGCCTCAGCCCCTCTCCAGGCATTGTCTGTGAAGCGACTAGTTGTAGACAGAACTTCCTCTTCCAGCAAACCAGCCAAAGCAGAAGTGGCCTTCAAGAAAAGCAGACAGCACTCTGGGTCAGCTCAAACACACACCATGCCAGCTACCGCACAACCTCATCATTACAATGAAGGTAACCTCTGAAACTGGCAGGAGCATATCTAAAGGACCAGATTTATGATTATAAAACTTTTTTATGGATTTTTTCCATTATAATTCATATTTTGTTAAACTGGTATGATCAAATCTTAAAGTAGGATTGATTAAATTTAAGTTGATATGAGATCCATTTATACATTAAAATAATATACATATTCTAAAAAAGATTTCTGTATTTGTTGTTTTTGTCTCTGGTGCTGGGAATTGAACCCAGGGCCTCACACATTCAAAGCAAGCACTCACAACTGAGCTACATCCCTAGGCCCTAAGAAATTTTTTTAAAATTCTCTGATTAGAAAGGAAGATTTACTAGGTAAGTAAAAAACTTAACACCAAAAAAACAAATAATTCAATCAATAAATGGGCTAAAGAACTGAACAGACACTTCACAGAAGAAGAAATACAATTGATCAACAAATACATGAAAGTGTTCAACATCTCTAGCAATTAGAGAAATGCAAATCAAGACTACTCTAAGATTTCATCTCACTCCTGTCAGAATGCAATCATCAAGAATACAGGCAACAATAAATGTTGGCAAGGATGTGGTGAAAAAGCTACACTCATACATTGCTGGTGGAACTGCAAATTGGTACATCYACTATGGAAAGCAGTATGGAGATTCCTCAGAAAATTGGGAATGGAACCACCATTTGACCCAGCTATCCCACTCCTTGGTTTATACCCAAAGGACTTAAAATCAGCATACTATAGTGACGCAGCCACATCAATGTTTATAGCAGTTCAATTCACAATAGCTAGACTATGGAACCAACCTACGTATCCCTCAATAGATGAATGGATAAAGAAAATGTGGTATATATATTCAATGGAATATTACTCAGCTTTAAAGAAGAGTAAAATTATGGAATGTGCCAGTAAATGGTTGAGTTGGAGTAAATCATGCTAAGCGAAATAAGCCAATCCCACAAGACCAAAGGCCAAATGTTTTCTCTAATATGTGGATGCTAATTCACAATAAGGCAGGGGCACTAGGGAAGAATAGCATTACCTTAGATTAGGTAGAGGGAAGTGATAGGAGGGAAGGGGAGGGAATATGGGGATAAGAAAGATAGTAGAATGAAATAGACATTATTACTGTATGTATATATGTGACTACATGACCAATATGATTCTGCAACATGTACACTCAGAAAAATGAGAAATTATATCCCATCTATATATGATATACTGAAGTGCATAAATGCATTCTAATGTCATGTRTAACTAAGTAAAACAAATTTAAAATTTTTAAATAAATAAATAAAGCAAAGACTATGTATTTTTCATGTTGAAAATAATTTTCAATATTTCTAAGTAGAAATTTCTAAATTTGAATACCAATTTTAAATCACACTGTACTTTGTGTCATTTAAAAGAAATAAATGCAGGGGGCTGGGATTGTGGCTCAGCAGTAGCTTGCTCGCCTAGCATGGGTTTGATCCTCAGTACCACATTTAAAAAAACAAATTAAATAAAGGTATTGTGTCCAACTACAACTAAAAAATAAATGTTTTAAAAACAAAAAGAAAGAAATGCAGTTGTACAAATTAAAGGGCTTGTCTATAAAGAAAGGTTCRCCCTAAGCCCTTGAGGGGATCTGATGTCATTTCAAGTTACACAGTGCTCCACCTTACCTCKGAATTCTTCCCTTTCACTTTTCCTCGCTGGGCACTCTTCATCTGCTCATGGTACTGCTCTATAAGTAAGGCTGACAGTACATACAGCTTCTTCACACGTAAAGGTTTACTTCCTTTCTTTGCCTCTTCATCAGCAATCTTTAAACAGAATTTGGGAAAGATACTTCTTAATCTGTATTTGTACAAATACAATCATTTTCAAAATTAACTGAAATTTGATTATCTAAAAAAGGAAAAAGATCAGTAGGATGGAATATAAATACCAAGTATCTGTGTTTCATATTTTAAAAGCCATTTTCCTTTCCTTATWACTAACATAAATACTCAGTTCTTTCATTAGTATTCAGCCCATGGAGTTAAACCTATTAACAATCTTGAAATATCTGCTGTAAAATAGCTAAGTCAGAACAAAGAAAGTCATGATAGGATGGGTATCTTCCACAACACAGAGGTTTTATAAATAACTTTCCAAATACACAGAGATACAATGGCATTAACATGGTACATCCTTCAGAAGTTTCTTTAAATAATTTTGAGGGAAATTTTTCCTTTTTCATTAAATCAAACAGGAAAAAAATAGAATGCAAATTTTTCAGAGATTAATACTGTTCTAGTTAGTTATATTTCCTCCAAATGGATATTATCAAAAGTGTAACATTTGCAAGGACTCAAAAACTCTATTATCAATAGAATTCAATTCCCAATGCGGGGAATGTGTGCTTGGTTGTTCCAGCAAATTCTTTAAGTCTCTGTTAACTTGAGTAATAAATATATAATTGTTTAGGAATCAATAAGTTGCTAATAATAATAAACACCCTTGTTAGTAAAAGGTAATAATACCAAAACTACACAATTACCTTAAAATTATTACCTTTTACCTAGTCATAAAACCAGGAGTTTGCTATAACAAACATTTGTTTCCAAAGAAAATGGAAAATATGTTCAAAACTATACAAAAACAATTATAACCTGRACAAACCAAATACTCACCAAAATTATTACATTACCTTAAACATCAGTTTAGCAGCATCAAAAAAGTAACTGGCTTTCCGATAGAGTTCTATAGCATCAAGAGTTTTATTCTTTTCCAGTAAGTGAGATGCATAYCTAGCTAATAGAGATCCAATTTCTTTCATATTATGACTTTTAGCTAATTCAACAGCTTTGTTCCACTAGGAAAAAAATTAWATCATTCGGTCACCCAAGTATTTATTTCACATGTCATAAAATTCACACAATAAGAATTTAAGTTTGTAATAACTGAAGATACTTCTTCAAAATAGAAAAAAAATGGCATATGGTTTTAAAAATCACTTAAAATCAGAGAAACTCTAAGTTCTACAAGTTAAATGTGTCAAAAGGATTAAATGATTTAAGACTAATTTAAGAAGTGCACCTGAAAGAGTTTATGATCACATTAATCTTATAATTCTATTTTTGAACATAATGTGAACCAGAAAAGATTCATTTTTTATTTTTATAGTAAAATAAAATATCTAGTTTCAGTTAAGAAAATATCATTTCAGATTTAACATTTAAAACTTATTTTTATACAGTAAATGCAGCTTTATAAAATAAGAAAAATMCTAAAAGAACATACTAATAGTCAACAGTTTCTATAATAATTCTGCACTTTCATTTTAATTAAATTTCAGTTCTTAAAAATGTCAAATACATGTTTTCTATAAAGGGAAAGCAAGGGCTGGGGCTGTAGCTCTACAGGAGAACGCTTGCCCTGCATATATGAAGCCCTGGATTTAATCCTGAGCACCACATAAAAATAAATAAATAAATAAATAAATGTAAAGATATTGTGTCCATCTACAACTAAGAAAATTTTTAAAAGAAATAAATAAAGGGAAAGGAAAACTGATTTGCCAAAATAAATATTGATAAAGTAACCAGATTCCTTCCTCAGGCAATGACCAACCATTAATTGGTCCTTCTTTGGAAAGAAAACCTAACCCTAAAAAAATGCAGAAAATGGTGAAATTACTTCCAGATAAAAATTTGCCAGACTACAARCACTGGTTTGTTCATGTTCCCTTATTGAGTTAGAGGGTCAATAATGAGTGGTTACCCTTCAAGGTAGCCCTTCAACAAACTCCAACACTTTCTCTGGCTTCAACTCCAAGGGAGACATATCTGGCCGCCTCCTTTCACAAAATTCCCTTCAAACCATCCAACCCTTGCACTCGCCATAATCTCTACAGGATCATGACAGTGACTTTAATTTTACTTTAACTTAAAAATGCCTAAGACAACCAGCTGCACAGACATAAGTCTCAGCTCCTTACTTGGTTCAGATGTATGCAGGTATCTACAGCTGCCTTTGGTTGATTACATTTCAAAAACGCAGTCACTGCTTGTTCACACATTCCAACTCTCTGAAACATTTGTGCTATTTCCTGTAAGGACAAAACAGTACTACCAGATTTCACAGATAAAGGAAATCACTTATATTTTAATTTAGCAAAACTGTGCAGGGACATATGAAAATTAAATTGGTAGTTAAAGGAATTTTCCTTTTAAACAGACAGGGGCAGAGGCTACAAATCAGAACAGATGTTAAAGTACCTCCAACAAAACCAGTATTTTACTGGAATCTTAACCAGTCTCTGAAAACACTGCACTCCTTTCCTCTCTCAGCTCAGTAACTAGTATATAGAAATGTCAAGCTCCAAAACATATCCCACATTAGCAGGTAAAAAGAAGACCTATAAGAGAACTGGCAGTATGTTTGATGGTAATCATTAATTAAAAGCACAAGAAAAACTTTTCCATTCACAGAGCTCTGAAATACCTCTCTAAAGAAATACCCTATGCCAGGCATGCTGGTATACATTTTGGTACATCTATTCATAAAGTCAAGGCTCATGAGGATCACTTGAGCCTAGRAGGCTAGAAGATCAAGACCAGTTTGAAACTGGAATATCCCCCAAAGACTCATGTGTTGAAGACTTGGTCCCCAGAGCAGCAGTGTTCAGAGATGGGGTTTTAGGAGGCTACTGTACCCTGAGAGTGCTAATGTCATCAAAGACTGAATGGACCATGAGCAGGTGAGAGAAAGTGTAAGAGGTGGAACCTAGCTGAAGGAGGTGGGTCACTAGGAGAGTGCCCTAGATGGGTATATCTTGTCCCTGGACCCTTCCTGGCTGTCTCTGATTCCCAGCTGCCAGCCTGATGTTCTGCCTCACCTCAACCCAGAGCAATGGAACTGAGACCTCTGAAAGTGGGAGTAAAAATCAATCTTTCCTTCGTTAAATTGTTCATGTCAGGTATTTTGGTCACAGCCATGAAAAGCTAACACAACAAGCCTGGGTAACAAAGGGAGACCCCCCATCTCAAAACAAAATGGGAAATGCCCTAGAGAAACATGTCATTCATCAGTTCAAGAAGCTAGACCCGAATCGCTCCTTTGGGAAGCTGTGACAGGCAAGGAGAACCACCACATCAAATTTGACCTGTTTGGCTATATTCCCCACTTTCAGAAAATCAATTTTTTGTTTGTTTTGGCATTTCTACTTAGCCAAATTGTTTCTCTCTCCACCCTGCCACCCCACTTCCAAAATACTTTTGGAAATATAAAAGTATGTTTTTTTAATCCAACTATCTCTTTAAAATAATGCTTCTATTTTTCTGATTAAAAATAATATATTTTAGACTGGACACAGTGGTGAATGCCTATAATACCAGCAGCTCGGGAGGCAGAGGCAAGAGGATCACAAGTTCAAAGGCAGCCTCAGCAATTTAGCAAGGCACTAAACAACTCAGTGAGAACCTGTCTCTAAATAAAATACAAAATAGGGCTGGGGATGTGGCTCAGTGGTTGAGTGCCCCGAGTTCAATCCCCAGTGCCTGCCCCCGCCCCCGCAAAAATAATAATAATAATAATACATTTTAGTAGCAAAAATATTATAAAACATGAAAAAGTAAAGTTACTCATAATCTTATTACTCATAAGTAACCTCATAATAGTCTATGTAATTTCCTAGTATCTTTGTCCTATGAATGTACATGTATGTGTATTCATATATGTATTGTGACCATACTATATGTAGTTCTGTATCCTGTACTTCCCACTTCAGTATTATGTACATCTTTTCATTCTATTAAAAATTCCTCTAAAATGTGATTTAAAATTTATAGTACAACTTAAAATTCATTATCTTAGTCATTTGGTTAGTATTACCATTATAATTATTTAGTATTTTCTTAGTAATATTATTATTCTGGATACTCTACAGGAACATTTTTTTTTTTTACTTCATCAGACACACCTCATAGAGAACACTAAGATAGGCACTCCAGGTGTCCATACCCAATATTCTAAGAAATTTTGTTGTCCTTCCTACTCAAGAAAATACTTAAGATTGAGAATAAAGGTAAATGACAATGCCAGTAAGAAAACTGAATTATCACAACTCTATACTTACCTATTAGTTAACAAACAAAATTTTTGAGGTGGAACTCACAACTGATACATGTCCAGACCCCACAGTTTAGAGCTACAACTTCATAGGTATCGTACAGCTCAGTGATTTACAAATAAAATATAAACATCTTAACAATATTCAATAATTAATTAAAAGAGGCTTAAAAGGAATATTCAAAAGAAAGAGAACTCTACTTTCAGTTTCTCTCTCTCTTTTTTTTTTTTGTATGGGGGATTCAACTCAGGGGCACTCAACCACTGAACCACATCCCCTTCCCTATTTTCTATTTGATTTAGAGACAGGGTSTCACTGAGTTTCTTAGCACCTCACTTTTGCTGAGGCTGGCTTTGAACTCTTGATCYTCCTGCCTCAGCCTCCCAAGCTGCTGGGATTACAGGTGTGCGCCACCATGCCAGGCTCAGTTTCTCTTATTTGACATTAAATACTTTTAATATGTAACCTAATAAATGCTGAGCTATCTTTTTAAACTTAAGTTGCAGCAAATTTCAAATTATTTTCAACCAAACACCTGACAACAGACATTTCATTTGTTACAGTTCATGTATTCAGCTAACTTTTTAAAGCAATTTTATAAAACTGAAGAAACTATACAAGACTATGTTAAAGTATTAAGAATATAATTGATTTTCTCCTCTATTTTCAAACATTCTATAATACTGATATATTATTTCCTAATTAAAATAAAAGCACTACTCCATGTCTATAATTAATTAAAATTAATTAATTAATTTATAAAATTATAAATTTTTAATTTTCTTTATTACAGAGGATATTTCCTGACTATAACATAAAAATTTAATAAAATAACCTAACAACTTCAACAACTAAAATTTGCAATACCTACTGGAAGCAACTTGTGGTTTTCTGGAAGTGAATTGACAAGATTCTCCAATCCCTCATAATCTTCTAACATAAAATAACATTCAGCTAAGCGTTCCTGGTTCCGGCCTTGTACATAATATTGTACAGCATTCAACCTACAAAAAGAAAGAAAGAAAACTTTTTAAACTAATGTGAATCTTAATAAATAAGTCCTTCCACCAAAAATGTTCATTAGATTTACAAGTAGTGGTACTATCTAATTCATCATCTTCAGTCACACAATTGCTTTAAAGCATATAAATCAGAGAGGGAAATCTAGAGACTATGTAGCATATTCTAGTTGTAACAGTCTTTGAATGCTCTTATGAAATGTTATTTTAATCTAATATACCACTACAGTATCTCCACTGACATAAAACAAGCACACTGATCAAGATGAAAACTTAAGAATAAAAGCAATGATTCCTGAAAACAATCTATAATAACGAAACAAGCAAATATAAAATACATTTTAACTTTGTTCAAAAATAAATCACATAATATCTTAGATTTACACACCATGATCTCAAACAGTGGAAAAATTCCTGGAGGTAAGTGCAAGTGTTTTGTTTGCTAACTCCAAAGTTTTACAATGCTCATCTCACAACTTCAAGGATCTCTTGCTCTCTAATGTCAATCGAGAGATATCTGAATTTTAAGACTCAGGAGAATGGTCCTCATTTCCCTAGCATTATTTCCAATTCTAGTGGAAATAATGGAAGTCCTCTTACAGTGCCAAAGCTAAGTGTTGTGTGAATGCATGAGGTGCTCCAGATAGGTTACGTACCACTTTTGTCGATCAGCAAAGTAGTCTCCAATGGCACTGTGGGCTTGTTCAAGGAGAYTGTCATCTGCATCACCAGATCCAGTTTTCAAGAGCTGGAGTACTCTAAACCAATCTCCTAATTTCAGTCGGAGGCCAATAGCAAGATCTCTGCAACCAATGGCATTCAGTCACTCATCCATTCCACAAATATTTATCAAGTGTCTACCTTTTGTTAGGTATACTTCTAGGTACAGAGAATAGGAACAGATAAGGTAACTCTCCGAACACTTTAGAAACAGCCTGACCAGGTAAGAGGCAATGAATGTGTGTCCCCTCCAAAATTCATGTGGAAATATAATCCTCTTTGTGGTGTCAATAAGAGATGGAGTCTTGTCTTTTCAGGGCTTAAGTTGTATTAAGGATCTTCTGGGAAGATAAATAACATTAAKAAAATATAGACATAATATTTACACCTGAAATTAAGTTTGTACATTATTTTATATGAATAAGAATGAAAATATAATAACATAACAGTCCATAACACCTTTGATTTTGATTTTATGTTTCCTGACAATGGAAAATTAAATAATGGCCTAAACCAAAAAAAGRGGACCAAAATTATGAGCCGTATGATAAGTGATAAAATCCCCTACTCTGTAGTTCCATCAGTATTTTCCTGCCAAGTGAAAAAGTCTCTATAGTGAATTATTAATAGTAAAAACATAGAAGCAAGCAACCCCCAAATTATAAAAGATAAATTAATGTGTAGAATATCTAGGTTGTATTCCAAACTAAAAATTATTTTTAAAAGAAATGATATGATACATTCACTTTTAAGCTATTATGAACAAAAGTACTTGGTGACACCTGATCCTTTGTCACCTACCTTCTGTCCATATCAAGATACATTCTTTCAGCCTCTTCAAACCTACCAAAGTAGGCCACCACTTCCGCCTGCTTCATTGACTCACTTTGCAGATTTCCCAGGCGCTTCACAAACTTAATGCCTTGGTAATCTTTGCAGCGCACAAATGCTTGCTCTGCAGTGGGCAAATCCAGTTTCTGAAGAGCTGCTTCAGCCAGTAATCGCCTTTATTAAAAAGAAGAAACAGAAAGGCTACTGAAAATTTCTGATAAACAAGCCTTGAACCAGAATTCAATGATTATGCCTATTGCTTCTGGTAAAGCGTGGTGGGAAGTATTTATTTTAGCACATGCAAACATTTTTCGTATAACACTGCTAATATTGAGGACTTCCACATCTAAAATGAATTTCTATATTTTCAAAAGAAGAGCAAGAAAAGTCTGTTCCCATCAGGAGGGAGCAGGAGATGACAGAGCTGGGACTTTAAAAGCATGCACCTGACATCTTGAGAAATTTTAGGTTTTTAAAATACCAAAGTCGGGGGTGTGGATTGTCCTCTATGAACTGAGATGCATCTTCAATTCCAACCTTCTCAATTAATGCTCGACTATCTCGAAGAGACCGAATCTCAAAGTTAATTATATAATCCTTGTTTGGATGTTCTGGATTCTAAAAGTAAAAATTAAAACAAAGGATTCATATAGCTGCTAATAGAACATGTTTCTTTTTTTTACAATTAAAACAGACCAAAAAAACAAACAAACAAAAAAACCCTACATCTTATGGTAAGCAAAATTGGGAAGAAAAGAAATCCCCATTGTTATGGTTTCATAATGAGGTATCCCCCAAAAGCTCACGTGTGAGACAATGTAAGAAAGCCTAGAGAAGAACTGATTGGGTTATGAGAGCTTTAATCTAATCAATGCATTAATTGCCTGGTAGGGATTAACTGGTTGGTAACTGCAGGCAGGTAGGGTGTAGCTGGAGGAGGTAGGTCACTGGGGCCATTTCTTTGGGGGATATATTTTGTCCATGGTGATGGGAGTCTCTCTCTGCTTCCCTGTGCTGACCCCAGCTGCTTTCTTCTGCCATACAATTCTGCCATGATATTMTACCTCACCTCAAGCCCTGAGGAATGAAGCTGGCCGTCTATGAACTGAGACCTCTGAAAATGAGCCSCAAAATAAATTTTTCCTTCTCTAATTGTCAAGTCTTCTTGTCAGGACTTTTGGTCACAGYAGGAAAAAAGCTGACTAAAATACCCATGTTTGGATATTATGAGTTACTTGGAAAACCCCCAACACACAAATTAAGTCTTTCCTGAGCAATCAGCTGCCTATGGAAGAAGTGCACAGTGGTGGAAGGATCCTTCCCAGATCTGCGTCCCTGTTTCTCTCTGCTTAATTTTTTYCCCCAGGCGATTCTTTTTTCCCCTCCAGAATGCTCCCTGCCCTCCACTGGAGCAGAAAACACACAYGCAGCAGCCTCCACTCTGTCACTCCTTCAGCAACTCTTTCCCTGCCAGAAGTAATAAACTGTTGTTACAGTACTTTCAGGCAGCCAAGAGATGAAAGAAAAAGGGYCAGTTGTCATCACTGCTTTCCTATCATAGTGAAGCAGGCTGACTAACACCACAAAACAACCGAAGGCCTGCCTTTCAGGAAAGAGCTAGCTAATGGTCAAAGACAGGAAAGGCAGCTATAATCAACTTACTGATATACACATCCCAAGTAATGGAAGAATGGAGCACACAGGGCAATCAGACCATGAGGGTAAAACAGCAGAGGGTGATCTCAGACAGGAGAGTTCTTTGAAAAGGTAAACAGAGCCACAGGCACCAACCCCCCACCCTGCGACGAAAGCACCATAGCTAAAGCTGCAAAGGCGTCTGGGAACTCCTGAGCACAAAGGAGGAACTGGTAAGGAAAAGGCAGAMGATCTGGATTCAAACAGCTAAGCTCTAATCCAATCCCATCACTCACTGGCCATGTGACAACTCCTTCTACACCTCCCCACACACCAGCCCACCCACCCAGGAAGCCTGGGCCCCTCTTCTCCAAACAGAAACACAATCTCATCCCTCCACTGCTTCCCCACTGACTCCAGGATAAAGTGTAAACACAAGAACCAGGCTTCAGGGTCCCTGAAGACCCACCCCAACCTCGCACTCCCAGCCTCATTTCTGCCAGTGCTACTAATTGTATATGCCAGCTTGGAAGCCTCATCACTTGGAACCAAGTTATGCCTCTGCCAATTGCTAACTGGGTGACACTGGCAAATTAGCTTCTCTCTCCAAGCTCCACCTTTCATCCCTAAAAAAAGCAGAGAAAGTAATCAAATCTGCATCCTAGAATTGTGAGGATTAAGAGAGAACACTCAAGGGGCTGGGGTTGTGGCTCAGCAGTAGAGCACTCACCTAGCACGTGCAAGGACCTGGATTCGATCCTCAGCACCACATAAAAATAAATAAAAATAAAGAATATTGTGTCCATAAAAAAATAAATAAATAAAGGTATTGTGCCAACTACAAGTAAAATATAAATAATTTAAAAAAGAGAGAGAGATCACTCAGACCTTGTGCACAAGGCTCAGCCATGCTATTCACATTATTCCCAGTCTGAGAACTGACCCAATATTCTCTACATCAGAGCTTTGAACAGGAACACCCCCTGGCGAATCAGCACCACCAAACCTCTTCTGGTTGCTGAATTCCTGGTCTATCTCCCCTGAAGCCAGGAACTGTGTTTACTTACTGGCTCTTTATCAGTATTTCCCAAATCAATGGATAGATGAACTTTGGATAAGCCATTTTAYTCACCAAGAGCCTTCCTCATCCAAAAAAGAGGTATGTGTAATACCTATCAGGTACATTATAATGACAAACAACAAATTTAATACCTCATTTGAAGGTACCATAGTAAACATTAACCCCTTCCTTTTTCTTTAATATTTCCTCTTCTCTCATCCTCCAAAAAAAACTTCTCTATTATTCTTAAAACTMTGCTTGAATGAATCTGTGGTCCAGCTAATCCACAACCCTGGGTGAAAAAGAACCCAGAGAGAAGTATGACCATATTCTTTGGTAAGCTTTGCCTGTAGTAAGCCAAGTAGGTAAGGAGCCATCACAGAAAATTTGGTTGTGGTTACAAATTAACTCCCCACCCCACCCCTATTCTTTCTCAAAAAACTGGGCACCAACACTGCAGGCAGTCTATCCTAACACTAGTGTATCCACAATYTTGGAGTATACCTAACCAATTGAAATACATATTTTCTGAAACACTTCAGACAATCACTAGATACAGTGATGCATTTTCAAACATTGTAAAGTTAATACAATCAGCAACTATGAGCCCTTCTTAAAAAACACTACTAATGACGAAATGCAGCCAACTAAAAGACTAATCAAAATTAAGAACTCATGTATAGAGAAAATATAGTAAAAAAAAAAAAGACTAGTACTGTGAATTCATTTAAATATAAGAATCAACAACTGAACATTAGGCTTACAAAACAAAATTAAAATGTTCTGAATTTTGACAATGTGARCATAATAATATGGCTAACAAAAAAGGGGAGAAAACAAAAGAATGTCATCTTTTAAAATGAAAAGTCAATCCATCCTATTAAAAATTAAAATATAGTTTAAACTGATAACTTAGTTTTCCACAAATTTTCTTCTTAAACTTGGTGAAATGATATTGTTTGTAGTGAAAAAGAAATTACCTAAAAGGCCAGAATGACTTTATTAACTTTTAGATTACTTAATTAAAATTAAATTCAGCCAGGCATGTGGTAAACACCTGTAATCCCAGAGACTCCAGAGGATGAGGCAGAAGGATCTCAACTTCAAACCCAGCATCAGCAACTTAGTGGGGCCCTAAGCAATTTAGCAAGACTCTATTTCAAAATTTAAAAAATAAAAAAAAGCTGAGGATGTGGCTCAGTAGTTAATACCTCTGGGTTCAATCTCCAGTACCTATCCCCAAAATTAAACTTGACACTAAAATTGTGGATTACATAATGATTTCATTTTATAAAGYTACTTCTGTTCCTCTATCTAACCTATCAAATCTGTCCCTCCACRTATGGCTCATAGCTATATGGAATGGTAATGGTAATTATGAAAAAAGCTATCTGGTGGGATTTTAGGTGCTTTTTAAAGTCTTCCTCTTCAGCAATTTTCCATAWTGCTTGAATTCTATATAATAATATCCACCACTTATTAGAAAGTGACAAAGTCATTATTCATTTTTTAAAACTCAGTGTAACAAACACTTCCTGAGAACCAAGTATATAGCAGACCCTTGCTGGATGCTGGGTACTCAAGAAGCTTACTGTCAAAGCATTAATGCACAAAAACAGGTGAGACACTTCAGCTACCTTAGGWGGACTTTACCCACCTATGTCTCTGTTTTTAAAGGATACAGGCAAAATCACATCTTCTAAAAAGAGTTCCCAAAACCTAAGTCTTTTGGAAAAGAGGTCAAGACAAACAAAAAGACTATTTCCCAGCACAAGTGAGGAAAGGGGGAATAGATATTCTCTKATGTTCTCACTTGTTTTACAGATTATATACCTTAAATAAGACGAGATCTCTCTCCTTATCTTTGCAGAAGTGCTATCCACACACAAAAGAGCCRGTCAACATGGAAAGCACACAATCCTAGGGTGCAACAGACTCAGACTCCTTCTGATGTTTGACTGCTGGCAGCTTCTTGAGCTTCATCCTTTTCTCCCTCCCCTTCTGCCTCACATGGGCAAGCTGAAACGCACAGGTGCTCCCTCCTTTGGGGCCAGCCAGAGATTCAAACCATATTAGCCCCTACCCATGGGAATCAAAGCACAATAAACAGAGCAGGGTTGGACCCCAGATCTGTATGACCTCCGTGTCCCCACTTTATCTGAGATGTCTGACCACCTGTTCAAACACGAATCCCAGTTAAGCTGGCAAAAGAAATATAACTTTTTTAAAATTACCTTTAATATCTCATCCAACAGGACAGATTTGATTTCTAAATCCTCAAAGTTACAAATATATCCAGAGGTCTGAATGGGTTCCTTTAGAGACAAAAACAAATGTTAATGTTTCATCATGCAAAATGTCGCCTCCTTTAAGGAATCTGATTTTAAATTTTATCATCAAAACATTCAAACCAACAAAAAAGTAGAGAGAATACCATTACCACCATATATACATCACTTAAATAATTACTAACATTTTGCCAAATATACTTTGTTTAATCTTTTGGCAGAAGTATTATAAAGTAAATTACAGATATCATGACATTTCACCCCTAAACACCCCTAAGTACATTTCTCTACAAGATGAGGACATTTAATTCTTAGTAAAACCAATAAATACTATATTTGTATCATAGTACATCCATGACAATAATACCATAACATACTGAAAAGTCTGTCTTCTGTAACGTAAGTCAGAGAATGTTCCTGACATATCTCCTACACAAGATTTTATTTGCAAATATGTAAATACATCTGTTATATGTCTATCTCTACCCTAATATTATGCAGGCTTATAGAAAGAAAGTATAAGAAATGCATACTGTAATRTAAAGTAGCTGCCCTAAATCCTTAGTAGAAAAAAATAGGTATCAATRCCAAAATAAATAAACTGCTAATATATTTAATACCTTTATGAATAATATAAAAGAAATCTGATATGTTATAAATAATAAGAGATGTAAATAATATCAAAATATAATTTTTAAGAATATATCTGCAGGTATATAACATATAATTATACTATACAATACAATAATATGAAACTAAGAAGTAAAAATGGATTCACATTTAGTTTAGTATGTTTAAGTTTAAGAATGAGGTTGTTGTATGCACAGTAGATGTGCCCAATCAACCAATTATCTTTTATTTTCCAAAATTCATTATTCATTCATTTATACCTCAATTGATTATAAAGTTTCAGATCAATGGTCTATAAAGCTAAGCAGTATGCAAGATATTTCTATTTATCAAAATAYCAAAAAGAGGGCTGGGGTTGTGGCTCAGTGGCAGAGCACTTGCCGTGCACATGTGAGGCGCTAAGGTTCAATCCTCAGCACCACAATAAACAAAATAAAGAAATTAAAATATATATATCAAAARGACACTATCTAAAGTTTTCCATGCTGTTCCAAGAAACCTGCTTCCCTTAACCAGCACTAACTCAGAAGGTCTCACAACTCATGTAATACCACAGGCATTCTCTACTTTTCAATCTTGCACATTGTAACATACTGGAGTTTGGATATACCTAATTAAGTGGCTTGAGGTATTATACAATCCACTTTTAGCTACCCCTCACAGATTGGACAAGTATAATAAAAGTTTCTTGACAAAAATTKGTGAACTCAAGGTAATATTGGTAATGCAAGTGCAAGCAAATGGAAAGGCAGAACTGACTGCTCTGGCATGCCCAGTACAAGCCTTAGGTCAGCCACACTACAGTGTGAAAACAGRGACATTCTCTCCTGTCCTCACAGGGACAAAAATATATTTGGTTTTAACTGTTAAACAATAGCTCATCTCCTGAATGATAATACCAGCTACTATGTCCTGAAGTTATATACTCTTCTGTAGTTCTGCAGATCTGTTAAATTCTTTCCTGAACTGGGACTGTGGCTTAGTGGTAGAGCACTTGCCTGACATGCACAAGGCCCTGGTCAATCCCCAGGACACCATGAACATACATACACACATAAAAAAAAAAAAAAAAATCTGTTTTGAGAAGTATGTTTTTACATATCAATAAGCATCTAGAGGATGATTACTTATAACTAAACAAGCAGGGACCAGAACAAGCCAGTGTCTTCATGAAAGAACAGAAGCACAGAACAGCATGGTTTATTTAAAAAAAAAAAAAAAAAATCTAGACAGAGAAGGTTGTTCAAAAAAAATTCATCTAGCTTTAAATCTAATAGAAATTGAACTTCATGCCAAACCCCAAAATAAACTCAAATAACGAAAATAATATTTTTTAAAAAATAAAGGCTGTTCTGTTAGAACTACTTAAGAAACACTTTCCACCAGGCAAAAATTTCACTTGGTGCTAGATTGGCCACATGTGCTCCACACATTAAGAGCAGCCAGCCATAACAAACACTCACTTCTCCAAGCATATGATTTCCAGCTTAATGTGAGTGGAGCCAAGGATAGAAAAAAGGACTCTAACATTCAAAAAGTATTCTACTCCCATCTTCAAGGTTATCCTGTGGTTACCTGTCAAATTTCTATAATTGTTTTGTGGCAAGGGTCAAATGCCCCTTAAGTCCTGGGAAAAAGCCCATGCTTGCAGGTCAAATGTGGCAGTCCCAAATGTCTCTTCCTTTGAACAATTCCTCAGGGTCTAAGAATTACAAAGGCCCTCAGACTTCCTAAAGCTTTAACAGAGCCTTTCACATCAGGTTATTTGCCAAAGATCCTGAGTAGGGCTAAATGGGGAAATGTAAAAATAATTTAGGATATTAAAGGGGCCAACAGCTTAACCACTAAACAAATCACCATACAAAATCTTTGGCAGCTCAAGGGCCAAACATACAATTTCTTCCAAAGGAAGCTATCAGTGCAAACAGAAATGAACAACGCAAAGCAWTTATTAACTTGCTCCTCTTATTATTTCCCCCAGTGAAGTACAACAGAAAATTCCAAATTGAAAATCATTACTAATTTACATATTGTTTAAAAGATTTATCTTCTTGATTGGGCAAAAGTGGAAAATCAAAACATAAGCATAAAAATCAGAGAAAAGGGATTCCTGATACCAGGAGAGAAAAAAGAATCAGAATCCACCTAGCATATTTGCAAGAATATCTGGGTTAAGAAAGAGSCTGGATTAATGGGTGACATGGTGAATATATAAGAAAGACAAGGTCCCTGTGAAACTAGACTCAGGGAGAAGACAATGAAAGAACAAGGCAACTTTAAAGCTATATTTTTTGGGTTAGATTTTTAAAAGAAATTTTAGCAAATAAGGCTATTGATTTTCTTTTTTCTTTTCCTCTTTGAATTTTGATTAAGAAAAAGACCATCTAGTGACCATAATTCTGTCTTTTAAGAAAAAAACAGATGTGCCTTGGTGGTAGAGTGCCCCTAAGTTCAATCCCCCAGTACAAAAAAAAAAAAAAAAAAAGAACAGATAAATGCTTAGGCAGTATCTTTCAGAGAAAGGGGAAGAGGAGAACATCTAAAAGATGAGTATTATTCCCACTTCAGATCAAATATTTTTAACCTCCACAGAAATGTGTTTACTTTCACAAATTTACATAGCCAACACCAATGAACCTCTTAAAGAAACAAAGGAGAAATATCCAGATTTTGATCTTTGGCTCATTATTTCTGGACTGTTAGCACTCATTTCTTGTTTTTACCTCAGGATCCAAGTTTCTGAAAACATACATTCTTGTCTTCTCCATCATTGCAAACAAATCAGGATTATCCTTGGCCCACTTCATATCCCAGACATCTCTCCTCTCYAATTTTAACAGCTCGCCGACTACTTGCTGTCCTGTACTGTCTGTTACCCGAGCGTCCAAGTCAAAGAACACTAGAACTCCTGAGATGTCCATGATAGCAAGACGACTACAAAGGATACCATCAGGGAAAGAGAAACAAATGTGAAATTACCATCTTGAATACAACCTACAACCATTATTCAAAATCAGTTTATCAAAAACCTGAAACATGGGGCTAGGGTTGTGGCTGGGGCTGGGGTTGTGGCGCAGTGGTAGAGCGTTTGCCTGGCATGTGTGAGGCCCTGGGTTCAATCCTCAGCACCACATATAAATAAATAAAAGATCTAATGACAACTAAAAAAAATATATCTATATATTTTTTWAAAACCTGAATCATGGTAAAAATGGCTTTAAATTTTTTTTATAAATTTGACAGGAGATATASACTATTCTCCATTTTGCTTCCTTGTAAGGAAAATATATCCAGAGAGATTAAACCAACTGATAGGAAAATATAAAATACTCTCAAAACACTTAAGCTTTAAGAATAAAAACTACATAAGGATTTCCATATATATCTAATAAAAAGCATTTAAACCAAAAACTATATAGTTTACAAGTTCATAACAAACACAGTTGTCTTCACATTTATTACATAAACCCAACAATCCCAACTGATAACTTCTAACRCCCCAGAAGGAGAGTTTTTATACTTACCTAGAGTTGCAATTTAAGGATAACTGGTAGGCTCGACAATTAAGGGAATATTTTTGAATCAAACCAACATTAGGAAGACTGTATCTCTGAATGGTGCCAGACTCACGACCCTATAGGAATTAGTTGTGATTACTAAAACATTTACCATAACAATATAAAACTACAACTGCAGATTTCTCTATACGTCTACATGTGTGTTTTAAAACCAAAATGACATTGTCCTGCAAGTTTCCAATTCTGATACTGAATTATATCATTAAGTATATACTTATCTCCTAATTTAATTTAAACCTTTTTAAAGTGGCTAAAGATGGAATGATTTTTTTTCATATAATGTTCAAGAAAGTAGTCAAAAACCTAGTTCTTTAGTAATATGTAAATTCTTCCATCACAAGGAAGAAATATCTACAGTTGTTTCTAGTTGCTATCTACGTTAATATTCAAGATACATTAAAGCTAAAGCATAAAGCCCTTGCTGATTTAAATTTCATATGAATGAAAAATCAATAAAAGATCATGGTATGAAACAGCTGTTTGCAAGTCTTGGATTTTTATCCTATAGCCACTTTTCTTTTTTTTTTTTTTTTTTTTCTATAGCCACTTTTCTAACTCTAGTTTTGGTAAGGAAAAAAAATGACCTGAAAACAGTTACAATCTTGAGTATTTGTTTAAATATGTTTTTAAAAATAAAACTAAATATATTTTTATGTAATTCTGGGAAAACATCAAGACTGACAGATTGGCAGCAAGTATATCAGACARGAAAGAGCTACGGTTTTTCAAGCCCTGGCCAAAAGAAAGAGTGGAAGGTCCACACAGCCAGTCTTGACCTCTTTCATCTAAACCAAGAGGAGCCTGTCAAAAAGGTGGGGATACTATAGAATACAGGGCACTTTGGAGTTTTTTCCCCCATAAAATTAGCTAACAGCTAACAAATGTTAGTAAAACTGGAAATATATACTACTTAGTCTCTGTTTCTGTAATTCCAATGCAACTCCACCAGTATTACTATATTAAAGTAAGCACTTCTTTCTAAAATTAATATTTTCAAATGTCAGAGCYCAGGAAAAAACACTATACCATTGATTCTATTTGCAAAGTTCAACAGACATTTGCAGCAACCTCTCTACCTTACTRGCTGGCAAACACCACCTCTTCATTCTAAGTTGTATGAAAGTAGTTGAGCCAAAACATTTTCTTCAATATAAAATAGCARACGACAGAGAAAACTTTCTAAATCCCATTTGATAGCACATCTTTCAACCCTTTATAGGGCTCCTTCAACCTGGTGTCAAACTCTACATGTACTTTATCTTCTCAGATAGCCATCATTTTACTGCCTTTATAAATAGCTTTTTTTGTACATGATTAATTTGTGAGGTTAGCTAGAAAACGTTCTCCTTTCCTAAATTAGACTCAGTAAAACATGGGGTACTCACAAGATGCTATTCATATCCAAAAATCATTGCTTTAACCTACTTTTAAAATTTAAACAATTATTACTTATAAAATAAGTTTTTTCCAACTTACCACAATGAGTGTCTTATCAGATGCAGTTATGGCACAAATTGGATCTCTTGTGCCCTAAAACAAATAACCAATTATTATTATTCAATAAATACCTATTGCATGCTTAATCTATAAAAGATAAATGCAATTCACTAAGAAGAATATGGCAGGTTGGGGGTACAGCTCATCAGTAGAGTGTATGCATATCATGAGGGAGGCCTGGGGTTCAATCCCCAGRATCAAAAAACAAAAGAAGGAGAAAGAGGACAAAGAAGAAGAAAAGAATATTGTCCATAAAGTATTTATTAACTTAAAAAGAAACTTACTTACTGAGCACTTATTATGTGCCAGCCACATACTCAAATTAAATCTTTACTCTCAGGTGTAACTCAAAAGTGTACTGGGAGAGATGCTGAACTGAACACTTAATTGTAGACAGCATGATAGAAAAAGAGGCACAGACAGGGGTTATGAGAGCAGAGAGGGAGAAGCATCTAACCTACAGCAAGATGGGTGAAAGTCTAGCTCTAAAAGATGAACCAACAACAGCAGGGCCAGCACATGCCAGGAGGAAAAGTCAAATGGCATGGCACTGCAGGGCATCGTGTCTGCGGGGGGGGGGGCATCTCAACAGGTTACACCCTGTGTAATTCCATTCACAAAACAGTCTCAAACTGATAAAATTATACAGGTGGAAAACCGATTAGTGGTTGCCAGGCAACATGGATGGGCTGGGGAGTAGATGAAAACATGCRTAAGTAGCACTAAAAGGAGTACTTTTCTGATGATAAAATTCTATACACACAACTGTATGTAAACACTGGTGGAAAYTGAATCAGGAATAAGGCCCCAGTCTAGTAATAGTATTGGATCAATGTAAATTTCCTTGTTTGGATGTCATTTTACAATTACATAAGATGTCACCATTGTGGGAAGTAGAGTAATGGGACTATTTCTTCAACTTCCTGGGAGCCTACAATTATTTCAAAAYAATTTTTTTTAATAAATCAAAAGAAAACATCAGCCCGGCATAGTCAGGAAACTGCAAGTTATTTAGCACAGCTGAGGAATGTGCAGGAGAAAAAGTGGGCAGGAAGGGACAATCTAAGGGAGGGGAGAAGTTGGGGGCATCTATATTTTATTCTTAAAAATATGATAATCTGCTGAAGATTAATATTTGGTGAGCAGGGGAAGGCAGCTGYGGTGCTGTCTTGCTCCACCATGCCCCACCCCAGGTTTACATTTTATACAGTGCACTGGCCAGCAATATGACAAATGGGTTGGCACTGGGAGGATGTGGAAGCCTGAAAGTAAGAGACTATGCTGTGCCATTAGACATCATAGCCACCCACCATATGTCACCATTTAAATGTAAAGTTTCATTAATTAAAGTGAAATAAAATTTTGGACTCAGTTCCTCAGCAGAACTAGCCATATTTTAAGTGCTAGTGGTTACTGCACTGAGCAAAGATGAAATATTTCCATTGTCACAGAAAGTTCTCTTGGGTGATACTGAATGGAAATTTACTGCAATGATCTAGACAGGAACTAATGATACTGAACTAATATAGAGATGGGACACAAATTTGAGAGAAATCGGGGACTTGGCAATTTATTAGACACAAAGAGCAAGAGAAAAGGAGTTCTCATGATTTTTGCACAGATGGCAGAACCAGTCACTGATATGTATATGCATATGGAGGAATGGATTTGGAGGCAAGATGAATCATACTCAGGTTAAATTTGGGGTGCTTTCAAGCCATCCAATTTATTATACCCAAACAGCAAGAAATATATTATTATAAACTAGAAACATTAGAAAGATATTACAGTCATCCACATAAGATAAAGAGTGGGTTTCCAAAAGAACACTGAGAAGAGATTATTAAGAGATGGTCTAGGTCCGGAATGAGGGGACACCACAGAAACAGAGGGTAATGAGCCCTTAACAAAAAGACAAGGAAAAGACAGGTACAAAATCAAGAGTATGGTTTCATGAAAGCCAAACATGAAAGAGTGATCAAACCTATTAAATGTCACATACAGATCAAAGAATACAAAAAAATCCTATCAGAGTTGGCAATTCAGAGGCCTCTAGAAACCAAATGGCAATGAAGTGAAAATGGAATGTATAAGGGAAAGAAAATGAATGTAAAATATTCTTTCAAGAAGTTTAGCTCTTGGGCTGGGGATGTGGCTCAAGCKGTAGCACACTCGTCTGGCTTGTGTGCGGCCCGGGTTCGATCCTCAGCACCACATACAAACAAAGATGTTGTGTCCGCCGAAAAACTGAAAAATAAATATTAAAAAAAAATTCCTCCCTCCCTCCCTCCCCCCCCCCCCCTCTCTCTCTCTCTCTCTCTCTCTCTCTCTTTAAAAAAAAAAAAAGAAGAAGAAGTAGTTTAGCTCTAAAGGGATAAAGAGATAAGGCGGTGGTTAGAAGAATCCATGTGGCTGACAGTGGAACTTGTTTTTAAGATGGGAGAGATTTCAGTCTACTTTATGTGAGAGTAGGGGAAAGAACTGCTTGATGATGAATGGATTTGGAATTTCCCAAAAGTTTCCTAATAGAAGAGACTGTTTCTTATTCACCAGAAGATTCCAGCATCCAATGTATGACACATAATAGACATTCAGTGAATACCTGTTGAATAAATGGATGGACACTGTAGATGACCAGAGGGACTCCTGCATATTCTAGTGAACAGATCTAGATCTGCTGTCAAAAGATCTAAATTTGAATCCTCACTTTGCTACTCTCAGTTTTCTTCTCTATAAGATAGAGAGGAGACTCCATACTATCTGGTTAGATGCATCAGATAAGAAAATAGATAAGAAAGAGCTTTAAATACTCTAAAAAAAAATCTTACCAAAAACAMAATTGCTTACTAAAATATTAAATTACATTAGCTTATAAACAAAAGTATATTTCCACAAAGAGAGAATGAACTATGCTACCTACAAAACTTGGTATACTCACAAATATGCCAGAGATGACAGGCCAATCTATGGTCAGTAGACCAACTGATAGATCCACAGACAATAAGATAGACAGACAGATGCTGAGAGAGGAGGGCAAGAAAGTGAGGAGAAAGTATGTTCCCCAATGCTTTTAGATAATTAGTTTTTCTATTATCCTATTAGCTACTTATCACCACTTTCATTTTCATTGAAGAGTTTTTAAGATTTAAAAAAAGTTTTTCAGAATAGAAAAAAAATTTTTTTAATTAAATTTAAAAAAATTAAAATAACATCCCATTCACTGGAAATGAATTCTTTTTTCAGTTCTCCAAATAAAATTACAATATTTCCAAATCTACAGATATAAATCTTTTCTGRGAAAAATAAAATCACCTACTTGAATGGCTTTGCTATAATCAAGGACCCCATCCACTGATCCAGAAGGAGTATCATCAACATGATAAATTCTGTTAAAAAAATAGAATTCCAAAGAAAATTTAATAAAGGTTATATTATTTCATAATCTTTACAACAATGAAAGGATTGGGTGACACCACTGAATACTGTTACTTAATAAAAATCCTGATTATTTTAAATAATTCTTGATATAGCTTAGTTTCATAAGGTATCTACCAGATATTTACAGTTAAGTAAGCTGCTTCTGATAGCTGTGCCCCAAATATATCTGACCATTCAATTACATATTCCCGTTGAATTTCATCAAGCTCTGAGGAAGAGGTCACCTTACTCTGTCAGGATTAACTCCTACTCCGTGAACTTTCTCTGTTGTTTCTCCATAATTTCCCTTATGTCAGTATGTTTAATAAAAATAAAGCTTAAATGGACTTGAGAAGCACTAATTAAAGAAGATACGCTCTTCATGGACCCCTGCCATCTCCCTGGCACCATATTACAATACTTTTTCAAATTGCAATGGAGCGTCATTGCTGGTTTACTCGTCCACTGACTCCCACTAGGTGGTGAGATTCCTGGAGGCAAAGACTCTCCAGTCCCCAGCACAGTGCCACGCWCTCTCAAGTGCCATAATATCTGCTGAAAAATTATTAAAATGAATAAAAAAAATTTAAAGAATTACTAAAATACTATCCTAGCTCCAAGGCCTTGGGCAAATTACTTCATTTCCCTGAGCCTCAATTTCTCTCTCTGTAAAACAACAGTAAAGATCCTCCTCTAGCGTTTCTGGAGGCAAAAATAAAGTGATGTTTATAAAGCACATAATAAATATAGAGCCTAACACAAACAGGGGCTGGCTCAGAAATTGCAGCTATAATATAATTACAGAAAAAACCGTGCCATTATCTATTTTTAAAATACCATAAAATTTTATAATTATTCTGAAATCATGATTGTAATCACCAACATAATAAGTACATCGAATTTTAAAGAAATTTAATAGAGAACTACTAAATTATAGAAACAGGGTATGTCTAAATCCATACATGTTTCTGCGTTTTAACACATTTCTATTAAATATATCTAGGCCTGCACAATTATTACAAAAGAAGTSAAAGATTAGAACAGCAGTTCCCTCAAGAGATCACGTAACCCAGTGCCTTCTCTTAAAACCAGAAACACACAAGAAAGGTCAGTCCCAGGAAAAGGGTTCCAAGTCAGATTAACTACATCTACACTTAGCACCTGATGACCTYTGGCAAATAATTGAAGCTCAGTGTCTCAGTTTCCTCTATGAAACAGGAATAATACAAATACCTATTAGATTTACGAAAGGATCTGGCACATAAGAAGTGTTCAATAAATGTTGGCTATTACCACCACCAGCAACATATTTTACAGATGAGGAAACTGAGATCCGAGGAGAACCAGCTCCAAATACCAGTAAGCACATCCCAGGTAGGAAGATAAGGAAGTGCTGTCTTCTTGATTGAAACAGAAACTAGAATTCCTACAACTGGCTAACAGAGGACAATGGCTACACAGAGATGYTGGGTCTTTCTCTCCCACCCTCTGCAACTATGTCCAAAGATCCAGCTTCTCTACAAAGACTTCAGGTCTCTGCTTATCATCACTACTACAGGAAGTCCTCCAGAGGACTACTGCACTACCCTCAAGGAAGCCAAAGACCCTCTCCAGCTAACCTTCTAGCACTGCTGATATTTACTTTTCAACAGTTTCTTCTTCCACATAATTCGCAAGTCCCAAATGCTTTTACTGGGGACAAACCTCCTATTTTGTAATTGAGTAAGTCATGAAAGGACAGGAAAGTTGAATTAAGATATCAAGTGTATGTGAGGGCAGAAGATGGTTTGAAAAAGCAGCCTGGGATTTCTGAGCTGACTTGTGCAACCCAGTGCCACCAACACATGCCTGTACCCTCATTCAGAGCTGTCAGCTTAACACACATGACAAAATGCTTTATTTAAAGACTTAGAGTAACAACCATAGAACAGCAAACAGAGACAAAATAACTTAGAAAACACTGTATATGCATCTTCACCTAGACTTACTATAAGAAGTCTCTCCTGCAGGCTCCTCACGTGGAACAGCTTACCCCCACTTACCACAGCCATTCCAACTCCAGACTCCTTGGAATCCAGAGCAAGGGAAAGAAGCCAAGTCCCCAGTGTACCACACTCAACACCTCTTCCATACCTGTGCCTCAGGACCTGCCTGTCCTCTGTACCACTAACCCAAAAGAATGAAGCTTCAGTTAGATCCTTGGACTACAAATGAATAATCATATTTCAGTAAACATAATAACCTTAGTATCTTGGGGGTAGGTGAGTGAAGACAGCAATTTCATTACAAAAAACAAAGGTCTCTAGCCTTTATCTCCAAGGGTTTTCTTTTATTACACCATAATATCTGTCTTTTATTTTGAGAAATTTGAAATGGATCAATCTGAAAAATATTCATATTAATGGAAAAATATTTTGTACTAATCAAGGCAACTGGCATTTCTCAAGCATGAAAATTTATAATTACTATATCTGGTTTTAATGTGATATGGTTAAACTATTAAAATATGTATCAAAAAAGATACCTTTCTCTTCCTTCTTTCCGAGATCGAGTTATCTGATTAATTTCCAGTGCTGTGAGCTTCTTTGCCACACGATATTGCCAAATATAAAATGCTTCTTTCGAAGCTGCTATCACGTGAGTTTTGGTCATTGCAACAAATAAGGGCACTGTCAAAAAGAACATTAAGACAATTAAGTAATGGTTACACAGAATCACAGAATGTCCTCCTGAATGTAACTTCAGGAATCACAGAGTCCAACTCCTCATTTTATAGACAATATACCTGCAGTTTCAAAATACCCACACACAGTCTCTCAAACCAGAAAATAATCTAAAGCTCATAGGACCATTCCATACAAAAAGAATGGATCCAAGCACCCCAAAAATGCTTCTTTTGAAGCTGCTGTCACATAGGTTTTGGTCACTGCAACAAATAATGGTACTACTGAAAAGAGCATCAAGACAGTTAAATTAAGGAATGAATCAAAGGCCTAAATACAAGAGCAAAAACTATAACACTTAAAAGAAAATGTAGGAGTAAATCTTTGTGACCTTGAGGTAAGCAATGGTTGGTATCTTAGATATAACACCAGAGCACAATCAACAAAAGAAAAAGTAGATAAACTGGACTTCACCAAAATCAAAAACATTTGTGATTCAAAAAATACCATTAAGAAAGTGAAAAAGTCCACAGAATGTGAGAAAATATTTAATCATATATTTAATAAGGAATTCTATCTAGAATATATCAAGAACACATAAAATTCAATAATAAAAGATGAATAACCCAATTTAAAAGCAATCAAAAAATCTGAATAGACAGTTATCCAATGAAGATTTTTTTTTAATGGCCATTAAGAAAATGAAAAGATGGTCAACATCATTAGGCATCAGAGAGATGCAAATGAAACCACAATGAGATATAATTTCACACCTACTACGGAGCTAGAATCAAAAAGATGATAACAAGTATTGTCAAGAATGTACAGAAATGGTAGAAATGTAAAATACACTTTGAAAAACGGTTTGTCAGTTCCTCAAAATGTCAAATACAGAGTTACTTTATGCCCTAGCAAGTATTCTCTTAGATTATACCCAAGACAGATTAAAACATATGTCCACATAAAAAGCCATACTCAAATGATCATAGCAGCATTATTCATAATAGTCAAAAGGTAGAACCAACCCAGATGCCCATCAACTAATGGATGAATAAATAAAATCCAACCTCTGCTTTCTCTCCCTACAACCAGTCATGACTTAGTTCAGAATTTATCTTTTCTCCTGACCTCATATGTGTTAAATCCCCATTGTAACTCAGAAAAAAAATTATCCCAAGTTCCTTCCTAATTTAGAAATATAGTTTTCTAAACAAATAACTTTTTCATCTGTTTTCTCTCTTAAAAAAATGTTCAATCTCCTACTGTRGACCCTTTTATGAAGTAAACAAGCTAATCAAATCCTATTATAGATTTGAATTTTGAATATAGAACTTTTATACTAAATAAGTCAGTAAAATTAAGTCATATTTTAAAATGTTATTTTCATAACTGTCAAAGATTTTTCTGTTTAAAATCTGTACTAYTAACAACCACTAGAGGGCATTCCAAGCCTCTCCTGGGTGGGGAACAAAAGGTAGGCTGAAGAATGGCCACTGGGCCTCCAGGGGGCGTTCAGGGCAGGCCCAGGCTCTCTCCTTCACTTTGTCGTTATTAAATTCTAAAACATTTACTAAATATTTAGTAAATTCCACCATGAATATGCGAATACTGGTAACCCTTATGCTCTTAGAGTAATCTGAAGTAAGTTCACAAACCTTTACTGCTTTCTAATATAAATTTTCCTAAGCACATAAAAACATTTTTCCAACCAATGTTTTATCATAATTATAAATCATACACAAGTTATTTCTTTTTGTTAGCCTGACTGATTCAAAATTAGGATATCAGTGGTTCCAGGTAAGAGTCAAATTTCTTGGATTCAAATCACAGGCACTTGCTAACTGTGGCACTGGATAAAGTATTTCTTCTCTCAAAACCTCAGATTATTTATAGTAAATTAAAGATAATAATGATGCCAATCCTATTTATAAAAGAGAAAATAACTATAAAGCATAGCACAGTGCCTGGAAGAAAGTAAATACTTAATAATTTTAAAGCCAATATTTATTGATTTTTAAAAATATATGCCAGGCCCTCTTCACACATTACAAATATTAACTCAYAATCACCCTTTAAGGTAGCCATTATTATCTCCATTTAGCATATGAAGAAACTGAGGCATAAAACAGTTATAATTTGTCTATGACATATGCTAGAAAGTGATAGAGTTGGACATGAACCCGGTCGATCTGACACCAGGTTTAATGCTCATAATCACTCCTCAGTAAGGATTAGGAAGTATTAGGCACGGATGATATTCTTATTCTCATTTTTACTATCTAGGTAGGTTTTTAAAATACAACCATATAGGGCTGGGGTTGTGGCTCAGTGGTAAGCGTTCACCTCGCATGTACGAACATAAAAATAAAGGTATTGTTTCCAACTACAACTAAAAAATATATATATATAACCATATATAAATTCTCTAGTCAATACAAAATTAAACCCAAATATATTGGAAATGTGTTCTTTTGAGTCAATATAGTAGTGATTTCAGTAAATTTATATGAGTAGTAATGCCATCAATATAAATTTTGATACATCTTTATTTTAAAAATTCACTTCATCCAGATTAAGCTTCTAGAAAAAACAAGGCCAAATTTCAAGGGATCAAATGTTTTAGAAAAAGAACATTTTTCTGGACAAAAACACCTCATGCCCTCCTGAACTATTTAATACTTGGGAAGAAAAAATTCAAAACACCTAGAAAGATTATTGAAAAAAAATTTATGAAAATAATTGTGCTTCCATTAGTTGCACTTTGTAACACTAAAAGCAGTCATTTCTAGTCAAGCCAGGATGTAAAATGATTTAAAACAATTTAGGAATTCACATATAAGTAAAACCTGCTTGTAATATTTTCATGCTGAGCCCTGAAATAAATGCCTGCATTTGTAACAGTCCCTCCCCTACTTTCCTACTCATTCATTTCTTAGTCTTTTAAAAGAAGCTGGTAAACTGAAACTGCGCTGAAGAGTTTTCATCAAATTAACTTTCTCTGGAATACATGGAAAACACAGTGCATGTGTTAGAGACGACCATTAGAAACCTGCTGTGCTCCACCAAAATGGCTGCAATACGGGCAACCTGGCACTCTCTGGCCACTTTGCATGACCCCATGCCTCTGTAAATGCTATCTTCTCTCTTTAAAATATCACCTGAAGAAATACTTATCCCTCAAAACTCAGCTCAAATGCAACCTTTTCTACATAGAAAAGATGACTCTGAGGCCCTTATGCCCCAAGATTCATTTATCCAAATCTTTCATGATACCTGGCCCACAGCAGGGGAGCAGTAAGTCATCTTTCAATGGACTGATTCAATCTTAATAACTTGTTTATAGACATCATGTAAGAAGTGTCATAATTTGCCAGACGCAGTGGCACATGCCTGTAATCCCAGCAGCTTGGGAGGCTGAGGCAGCAGAATCACAAGTTCAAAGCCAGCCCAAACAATGGCGAGATGCTAAGCAACTCAGTGAGATCCTGTCTCTAAATAAAATACAAAATGGGGCTGGGGATGTGGTTCAGTGGTCAAGAGCCTCTGAGCTCAATCTCTACTACCCCCCCCCACCAAAAAAAAGAAATGTCATAATTAATTTCTCATTATTCCCAGTTATCACTGAAGTATCCAAAACAATATATACTTATTAATGATTTGCTTTACTCTATATTTACATGATAGAAAATATCTTCCACATGTTCAATAAACATTTACTACAGGCCAAGCAGTGTTATGTACTGGGGATACAAAAGTTAACTAGAAAAAATATTTTTAAGAAGTTCAGAATCTAAAGGAGAAAACAGGCAAGAAGATCAATAACTGCAGCACAAACAAAGAAGCACTTTGGGGAATGGGGTTGTGGCTCAGAGGTAGAGCATTTGCCTAGTATGCGTGAGGCTCTGGGTTCGATCCTAAGCACTACATAAAAATAAAATAAAGGTACTGTGTTCACCTACAACTAAAGAATAAATATAAAAGAAAAGAAGTACTTTGAATAAAAGTATACCACAGATATCATAATGACCCCATGGAAGAGCTCCAAAAGAGGGTGCCCTAACCCTAACATGTAGAGTACTACAGAGCTCCACAAACCATACTCCCAAATAATGTGTAAAATCCTTTTTTAAAGGTTTCTATAGAGACTGTTAAGAGCAAGAGTACACAGCAGAACAAGAACAATATGTTTCAGAATAGAACCAGTCACACGTGTTTTTTGTCATTTTAGTCTCCAGTCCTTGTGAAAATTTGGCATAGAAACTTTATAAAGAAATTTTACAGGATATGTAAGAAAAARAATGTTGAGATTTTGGCTGTGTTTGCTATAGTGCAATGAAAGAACCGTTTGTTAAAATGTCAATCTGCAAGACTGCAAAAAACATTTTGAGACTCAAAAATACGAATAATCATGCCCTCACGTATTTGCCATTTTATGAAAGGGAAGGATTTGCATTTAGCTTTATTTATTTCACAAACAGTCTAACCTGGTGCAGCTACTTGGGAGGCTGAGGCAGGAGAATAGCAAATCCAAGGTCTACGTGGGCAACTTCGCAAGATACTTGATCAAAAATGAAAAGTAAAAAAGGCTGGGGATGTAGCCCAGTCATAGAGCACCTCTAGGTTCCATCAGAAACAAAAGAAGAAAAGTCAACCTGAGACAAAAATTACTTAGAGGCTAACCCTATCATCATATGAGTCTATGTTAGAACTTTAGTTCTTAAAAGAAAAAGAATATAATCTGAAGATTAATAGAATTTACCCCTTAAAAACTGTTATGCTTCCAATAAATAAGATATTTGTGACAAGAGTCAGTAATACTAAGTCTTTCAACAAGGAACACTAACATATGTAGACATACAAATGAACATACCTATATAACAATGGACATAGATAGGCAGTTGAAATATTTCAATATATCAAGGTGAATGAATTACCAACACCCTGACCTTAGAGCATAAAATCTTAAGGCCAGTAAATATTTTTCACATTTGCTTGTTATCAACTGAAGAACCTAGCAAAATGCAAACATTTAGAGGTGACATTATCATTTCATTGCTTAGATTGAATGTCCAATACAGGAAAAAAAAAAAAAAAAGAAAGAAAGAAAGAAAGAAAAGAGTAGTTCTCAGAGTCAGAAAATAATTCAATGGGGTTTTTCAAATTTTTTGTTTAAATGATTTTTTTGTCATATTATATCCAATAYACTACCATAAACTTAAAAGAAAACCATTACTTTTCAAAGTTCTGTGAAAGGGCAACAAAATATTTGTTAGTGATTATAAAAAAGCTTCTCTGAACAAAATTTAAAAATTTTTGGTGGATTATTTTATAATTGTTGGATAGAGAAAAATGCAAAATTAAAGAAACAAATGAACTCTGAAAAAGGGGAATTTTTTAAAGCTGTCCCTATTAATAGACTTAATTTCATTAGAAAACTCTGGAAAGAGCAAACTCAATTTTACAAGCAGCTAAAGTGTTTTTATGGGAGAGGTATTTACAAGCAGTTATAAAAGTGATTTAACAGCAAAATTCTTTCTATAATCCTCAGATTATTACACTTAAGCATTATGTAGCATGCCAACTTCTGTACAATTATATTTCCCACTTAAAGCAAATAATGGCAATTATGAATAACCATGGATTTCAGATACAGTAACCTTTTAATTTATTATCTTAACTAGGATGCTTTTGAGAGTGAAATGGTGTGTTAATAAGTCTACCATGAGAACAGGTATAAGCTGGTACTGGACCTGACAACCAGAAAGTATGGACATTCTAATTAATATCATAGGTTTTTTAATTAGTGTTACAAATAAAACCTGATTGTTGTTCTGGGGATATGACTCAGTGGTAGAGTGCTTGCCTGTCATGCCCGAGGCCCTGAATTCAATCCCTAGCACAAAAAAGAAAAAAAAAAAATGAGGAACTAGATTATAGAGGAAAAGAGTAAACAAAATAAATATTAACACTTCCTTACCAATATCAATGTATTTGGGATCCAAGGGTGTGCCGATAGAATTACAAAGAACTAGCACAAACTGTGAACAAACAAAACAAAAACAAATATCACAACTCTTACTTACAACAAATAAAGAAATATATTTCATACTTATCTTTTTCAAGTATCATTAACTGAGAAATAATTGATAAAATTGTTAGGTGCAAAAAATAGCAAATAAAACAAGACAATCTAAGGCATTAACCATTTTAAAAATACAAATTAAAATTAAATGAAGGCTGATTTCTCAATATAACAGAATACCACAGTTTTTAAGAGGACATTTTAGAAATACTGATACACTGGCTCCTTTTCATCATGTATACTTCTAAAATTCCTGACCAGYTATAACATCAAAATTCATTTTTATCTTATTATAACCAGCTATATAAGAACTAACTTAATTTGTTACCGTTGCACCAAATGTCTCCATTTCATTCTCCTCCTTTGAAGCAATATATAAACAACATGAGAAATTCAGAAAAATTCAGTTAATTCAGAAAAGACATAATCCAACCTAGTAAAAATGACTTATATTCAAATAATTATCAATGACTAATATTAGGAAGATAATAAAGCATGCTTTAGATCATACTGTTCTAAAGTGATAATTTCATTTTTCTTTCACTGTATCCTGTACTAACAGTACTATTCTATTTAGATGTTTTCCTGATCAGAATAATAATTTCAAATAAATCAATTTTATACATATTTTTGATACATATTTTACCTTTTTCAGCATCTCAATTATCTCAATTAAAACCTGTTTAATTAATTTCATAAATATAAACCAAATGATAAAAGGTATACTAAAAATACTATAATTTACCCTTCCACCCTTTAAAAGCTTATTTACTGTCCAAAATACCACAAGTTATATTTTTAATTTACTTTTCGTTTTCATCAATTATATTTTCAAAAAATAATTCTACAGGACTTCTTGCTAAAACTGGCACAGCATTCCTTTTCTACTCCCTTCAACTCCTGCTCTTGCTATTTATCTCTACAAATCTAAGTAACATATTTCTAGAGCTATTTCTGGTTTGGTTTTGTTTCAATCCAGTGCATTATCTGTCACCTTCCCATTATGAAAGATAAGAATTTTACTTTTTTTTCATCCTCTTTCCCAAAACCTGCCACCCAGGGGCATACTTCTATCCCTTCATCTTTCCACTTTTCACATAATTTTGTTAGATCAGAATTAGGGGGCTGGGATTTGTGGCTCAAGTGGTAGGGCGCTCATCTGGCACGCATGCAGCCCGGGTTTGATGCTCAACACCACATACAAACAAAGATGCTGTGTCCGCCGAAAACTAAAAAAAATAAATATTTTAAAAGATTTTAATTTAAAAAATCAGTGATCACATTATTTTGACTGTGTAAATGCTACTCAGCTGAGACTTCCATTATACCATGATTTATTTTCCTTTCAAGCATAGTTTGCTTTCCCTGTAGTTTATTATTATCTTTATTCTTTCCTTTGTTTAGCTTTCTAGGCACCCATTACTAACTCAAATCCCTGATTTTCCTCAGTTAAGTCTATCTCCTCCCAAGGGTTCAAACATTCTAGGGAATCTAACAATTGCATATGTTTAAATTTCTTCTGGAACCTTCTGCCCTTCTCTCACTGGCCTCCCTGGGCATGCTGCAGAGCAGCCAATTGGTACCACTCTTCACCAGGAGTCCTGTGCTCCTGTTTCTTCTTTCTTCCTCTTTCTTGGTTTATTCCTCATTTTCATGGACATTATCATCAAGTAACTAACTCCCTAAGATGGAACACCATGGAAGGTAAAATTTTTATAACCTTGCAYATCTGAAAAAGTCTGTATTCCACCCTCACACTTAAGTGGTTTTCTTAGGATGTGGAATTTTAGATAGGAAGTCAGTTTCCTTCAAAATTTTAAAAGCGATTCTCCAAAGCATTGCTTTTCATAAGTCAGATGTCATTATGACTCCTTATCCTATGAAATCTGTTTTTCCTCTCTGAAATCTTGTAAGACTCTTTTTTTTTTAATCCCCAGTGTTCTGAAATTTCACAGTGATGTGTCTTGATGTGGAAACACATTTATTCAATCTAGAATCTCAAGGGAAATTTTCCTGGATTTTTTTTTTTTAAACTCATTCCATGCTATTTTGCTTTTACAGTTTTCTTAGAACTATTGTTCAAATACTAAACTTCCAAGACTAAGTTTTCTAATTTTCTTCTTTTTCMCTACTTTCCATTTCTTTGTCTTTTTTGCTGTACTTTGTAGGGTATTTTCATSCAATTTCCTAACCATTCTGCAAAATTTTTCAATGGGATTCTCATATTTGTAATTTCTAAAATTTTCCTTTTCTATACTATTCTTATTTTATAGATGGAAACCTCTTAACTCTCTGAAGATAATAATGATGGTTCTTTGCAGAATACAGAATCTTTGAATTTTTCTTTTTGTCTAGTCTTTACTTCCTCCGAGTTCTTTTCTACTTGTGGTTATACTGGTATCTGTCTGTCAAATTCAATGCTTTCTTCAAATGTCTGAGAATTCTAATCTATCTGCTGTATTTAAAAGTGGAATGCCAATCAATAAATAGGCAAAAGAACTAAACACAAATTTCTCAAAAGAAAAAACACAGTCAACAAACATATTAAAAAAATGTTCAACCTGTCTAGCAGCCAGGGAAATACAAATAAAAATTACACTAAGATTTCATCTCACTCCAGTCAGAATGGCAATTATCAAGAATACAAATAATAATAAATATGGCAAGGATGTGAGGGAACAGGTACACTTATACATTGTTGGTGGGAATGCAAATTAGTACAACTACTGTGGAAAGCAGTGTGGAGATTTCTCAAAAAACTAGGAATGGAATCACCACATGACCCAGCTATCCCACTCCTCCATTCTTATCCAAAAAAACTAAATCAGCATACTATCATAATGTAGCCACTGCAATTTTTATAGCAGCACAATTCACAATAGCCAAATTATGGAATCAACCCARACACCTGTCAATGGATCAAGAAAATGTGGTATATGTACACAATGGTGTTTTACCCAGCCATAAAGAAGAATGAAATAATATTTGCCAGTAAATGGATGGAAATGGAGAAAATCATGCTAAGTGAAATAAGACAGACTCAGAAAATCAAGGGTTGAAAGTTTTCTCTTATATGTTGGAGCTAAAGCAAAATAAGGGAAAGAAGTCAATGGGGAAAGAGATCAGATATCATAAAATATAGGGAAGATCAGTGGAGTAGGAAAATGAGAGGGAGAGAGGAAGAAAAACGGAAATACATTAATCAACAAAATCATGTCATATACATATATAAATGTACCAAAGGGAATTCCACCTTTATATATATATATATAGAAAGCACCAATCAAAAATAAATAAAGGAGGGGCTGGGGGTATAGCTCAGAGCTAGAAAGCTTGCCTAGCACACGTGGGGTGCTGGGTTTGATTCTCAGCACCACATAAAAACAAACAAATAAAGGTATTGTGTCCATCTAGAATTAAAAATAAATAAAATAATAAATAAATAAAGGAGCCAGGCACCGTGATGCATGCCTGTAATCCCAGCAGCTCCAGTTCGGGAGGCTGAGTCACAAGGATCTCAAGTTCAAAGCCAGCCTCAGCAACGGTGAGATGCTAAGAAACTCAGTGAGACCCTGTCTCGAAATAAAATATAAAATAGGGCTGAGAATGTGGCTCAGAAGTCAAATGGCCCTGAGTTCAATCCCTGGTACCAAAATAAATAAATAAATGAGTAAAAGGAACATCAGTAGAGGAGGGAGGAGGGATGGGGATTGAAATCAAATTCCTTGTATATATAATTTTATCCAAAGGAACCCAAATACTATGTATAATTATAATGCTCTAACAAAATTTTTAAAAAGTGGGATATTAAAAGGCTACTTGGAATCTATTTGTCCATAAATAAGCCTTACTGAGCATGGCTTTTACTGTGAAGTGATCAAGCAGGGTTATTTTCTTGGAGATTCCCAATCTTAGTCTTTTCTCATGAGCTGATCAGATTCTTCAGGGAAGATTCTTTCAATCCGATACCTCAAAGCCTGATGCCTGGCTGCCAGTGCTCTGGGAACCAAGTAGGGATAGAGGACCAGGGGTAATGACAAATCATGAACTTCTCATTTAATTGGTTTTCAGTTGAGTTCTTCCACCCTTAGCTATGTGTGGTGCCCTTCAGTGCAGAGATCCCCTTTGATCCTCCCTGGAGATTTAAGCCCAGTCTTAATAGATGTTAAGCAAGCAGCTGCCYGTGTTCTCTTTCTATGGGGATCTGAGAACTTTCTTTGTTATATCTTTTTTTATATGTTAGTTTCTTTCTCAGGCACTCCCAGTCCTGTTCCTCTTCAACATTCTGTAACTAGATGCTTCTTTGCTTTTTCCATGAAAARTTTATGGTTCAGCTTTTTTAGACCTGCTAAGGTAATTATCACTAATCCACCTATTCTCTAACCTCCAAAATTTGTTGCCATTTCCTCTCCATTTCTGGTCCCTATGGGCTTGTGACTTTAAAAAAAAAAAAAAACAACTTTACTGTTATTCAGCAAGTTTCAGAAGAGAACAAAGCCAAATAAGGCTGTTCAAATGGTTACCTTTAACCAAAAATGTAATAAGGAAATAAATTATAACCTAGATAAAGACATTGGTAGTCCTATTTTGGAATATTTACATTTTTCTACAAATACTTAAATTGTTAGTACACTTTTTAACAAGATATTATATGTACTATTTATTTTGTGCTCTGAGATGACTTTTAAACTAATATAATTTCAAATAAAAGATTTCTCAATGTCAAAAGCTTCCCAAACTGTTACAAATAGTCATTGTTTTATCAGTTCTTTGGTATTTATTGCAGATATCTGGATATTCATTGTTTGCTTGTGAAATTTTAACTTGGAAAAGGATTATGGTGTTTTAAATATATTTCAGAGAAAAAAGCTTCAGTACTGAACCAGTCAATATGAACTGCCAATGATCAGCTGAATGGAGGGGGAAAAAAATCAGAGAATACAGAAGCAATGGAGTCATAGAGTTTTCCAGAACAGGTCTAGACTAACATGGCCAACAGACCCCGTGTTTCTGTACTTGCCGGTATCCAGGCCATGCTTGTGAATGTAGATAACTCTGGCACRATTATGCCAACCAGTTTGTTCACCAGTCTGTGCTTTAAGATACCAAGGAATTCCTACCTGAGGATGACTTTCATCAGCTTTTGTAGCCAAAATGCAGAAATCGCCACAAGTGGTAATGGAAATGATACTCTTCACATATTTAACATATTTCTCATTGTTTTTAGTGTCCCAAAAGACAACACAGTACTCAGGACGATCTGGTCTGGTATATGCATACACCACAGTATTTGAACAATAGCCCCACTAGGAAGAAAGGAAACAGAAAAGGGAAAGAATAGGAGGAGGAAAGAGGGGAGGGAAGAGAGAGGAAGGAAAGAATATTTAGCTTTGGGAGAAAAAATGCAATTTATTTTATTTTTACTCTAGGAATAATGCAGATAAGTACTTTATCAGTACTGACAAAATACATTCTTCAGAAATGGTAGAATTTCTGAATTCTGAATCTTCAGCTTCATACCTACCTTTTTTGCACTAAAATAACCAAAAAGGTAATAATAATACATTTTAAAAACAAAAAAAAAAGTGATGCCAAAATAAATTCAGTGTGATTAACCCTCCTTATTTTTAATTTTTAAGACTTAAACTTCAGTGGTACCATAGCTAGTGTGAACCATCAATAGTGTTATCCCTGTCAAAATCTTAGATTCTGAGTCCACAGTCAATACTTAAAGATAGGTGTTTTGCCTTTCCCCATCCACATATTTTATGAAATTTGTTCTTATATCAAATCTTTCTGCATGATTTATTTAAAACAATAACAAAATGCAGATCCCTCCCCAACTTCCTGTCATGAAGAGCCTATAACATCTTTAGCTGTAACTATTCTAGTATTTATCATCAYACTGCATAGCTATTGATTATGAAACTTAGGCACTTACAGCTTTCCCTTCTAACTCTTATAGTATACTTACATGTAATTTTAAATAAATTAATTCTCATTGTCCACATTACTTTTACTATTAGTAGCTAATAATTGTGTTTACTTTTAATGCCATGATTATTTTTTACAATAAATGTTGACTTTAAAATAGTTTTAGATTTGCAATAAAGTTGCAAAGATAATACAAAGTTCCCATATACCCCTCATCCATTTCCTTATTAACATTTTACATTGCCATAGCACATTTGTCACAATGAAGAAACCAATATTAYTAACTAAACTTCACACTTTAAGTTTCTAGCTTTTCCCTAATGTCCTTTTTCTATCCCAGAATCCCATTTTAGACACATTATATTTAGATAACATGTCTCCATGGACTCCTTTGGGCTGTGACAGTTTCTCAGTCTTTCTCTATTTTCAATAACCTTGGCAATATAGAGGAGTACTGCTCTGGTATTTTGTAAAGTGCCCCTCAATCATGGGATTGCTGGTTTTTAGGAAGATCAACAGAGATGTGACATGATCTCGACACGTCCTATTAGGAGGTACGTGGTATCCACATGACATCACTGTTGATGTGGTGTTCATGGGGATTTCCCACTGTTAAGCTACTTTCTCTTTCCTCTCTCCATCCTCCATTCTTTGGAAGTGAGTCACCAAGTGCAGCCCATACTCAAGCCAAGGAACTGGGACTATGCTCTACCTTTTGGAGGGGGAGTACATAAGTGAGATAGTATACTTCTGTAAGTAAGATCTGTTTCTTCTCTCCCATTTGTTTTTCATTAAAGTAAGTTAATTTTATCAGTATTGGCTCACAGACATTAACTTCATAATTTGGGTTATAATGAACTTGCAACATTTGTTTTATTCCTCAAATTGCTACACCTTAAGCCAAAGAGAGCTCTTCCTAGTTGTCTGCCATGTTCCTTTGACGTGGCCACATTTTTTTTGTGTTAGGGTTCTTTATTACTGTCTGGCATTGTTAAGATGCTCCAGACTTATGTTATATTTTCCTTGCTCTAGTCCTAGAATCAGTCATTTCTCTGAGGGGCTTTGCCCTTTAAATGAAATATATAAGATTCTTCATAACAGATAATTTATCAGATCATATTTCAAACTTGTTTTGGATCAAATATTAAGTTTAAGATAAAATAGTGATTAAATATCAAGTTGCTCTCTCATTTTTCCCCCTCCTAATCTATTCTCTACCCTTCTCTATTCTGCTGAGCCCTGGAAACTGATTTCTATGAACTCCATCACCTGGGCTACCTTGCCAACTGGTGCCTAGTTGGATTTGACCAGTAAAAGGCACATGAAGTAGAAAGATGGAGTATCTACTCCCCTATCTGTCTCTGCCTGGCCAGTTGGTGGTAGCCAAGCCCCTGCTGGGCAGCTTCTCTTACACAGCCAAAGCTCTCATGGAATGTTACTCCCTTGCCCCTTCCAACTGGGGGCACTGGTGATGGCATCTATCTGCTAAGCACTGGGTGCCTGCTTTATCTCCCTTGCTGTCCCTTAATGCTACCCACACATCTGTAACAAGCCCTTCAATTACTCTGGTGGGTGGGCCATCTGTTTCCCACTGAGACCCTGACTCATAGGGTCATTTTACTAATTATACACAGTATACTAGAAAAGCTAGTTTTAAAGTCCTTGTGGACAACAAAAGCCTCCTTTCTGTTAGTTTCTAAAACAAAACCACTATGAATATAATGAGTTATAACAAATTATTTAGTTAAAAACACTTTATTTTACAAATGTTCTTAATACCTTATAATYGGGCCGAATGTTCGCAAAATATATATAGGAATCAACAGTTAGTGCAATTTTCAGTCCATCTCCTTCCCAAGATAGTGCAGACATCTGCTTTCCAGGAACTTTCAAAGTGCCCAAATGCTGGGGGGAAAAAAAGTATTCAATCTAAAGTATCACAATGWACAAATTACCATTGAACATTTCATGGAGATCAAAAGTGGTATGAAGACTCTCTTGTGAAAGTTTATCACTAATTTTAAGATCATTTTCCTTACATTTTAATTACAAAAAAACATGAGTATGATTGGAGATATTTACAGGCTATATCCAAAGAATGTTAGCAAATGTCATCAAATCTACCATGTCATAGATTAAAATATACATCTTTACTTTTATGTAAAACTAAGAAAAAACATGCTAATTAAAATATGATCACTTTGATTACATGATGTGTGCCAATTTTTTCTTTGTGTTCTCAGGATTGAACCCAGAGGCATTTGTTTACTGCTGAGCTACACCCCCAATCCTTTTAATTTTTTATTTTGAGACAGAATCTTGAACTAAGTCATGAAAACTGCTCTTGAACTTGATATCCTCCTGCCTCAGCCTCCTGAGTTACTGGRTTTACAAGCACGTGTCATCACACCTGGCCAATGGATCCAAATTTTAGACTTGTAAAAAGCTATACTTTTTAGAGTCCATGAAAGTTTATAATAGTAACTTCAATACTGAAGTCCTACCTTTCTCTTTCCTCCCCAACAAACAACCAATCACCAAGACCCATTGCCTTTGCTCCTTTCAATGGTCACAAAGAAACAATTGTGGAGAAAACTATGGGAATAGCCTYCCTTTCATCTCTTTCCTTATTTCTACCCTCTTTCCCCCAGATTCCCTCTCTACTCTGCTATTATAATTATCTTTCTGGAACAAAACTCTAATCATAACCTTCCCTGCTTTAAAAACATAATAATACTTTTTAAAAATCAATAGCTCCCCATTGGTCATAATTCTTGAGCATGGAATACAATACCTTTTTCCCATCTGGCCCAAAAGTACCTTCCTTGCTGAATGCCCTACCATACAGCCATAGTTATGTGTGCCCACTTGTGAGAGAACTACTCTGCCACCATACCTTAGGMCCATATTGCAGCTCTTCTGCCTGAAATCCTCCTCTTCTTTCCCCATGCCTCCTTATCCTTACTATTCCTTGTCCTCCTGGAGAATCCCTCTTCATCCTTCAAATATAACTCAAATAGCTTCCTCAGTGAGCCTGGCCTTCTTCTCTCCATGGTTCCAGGGAATGCAACAGTAAGTTCCTCCAGAGCACTCACTTCATGGTCAAATTAGTTTGTTCATAAACTAACATTTGATGAGTGACTCAATAAGCAAGTCAATGAACACAGCCCTTTTAATCTATGGTTCTCATTTGACAGGCCAGTATAATCCCCCAAATTAGAATTAATTGCACTGGCATCCCTTATTCTGAAGCAGATGTATCTAAAGTCAAATTTCATGTTGCTTATGGTCTGAATGTTTGTCCCTTTCAAAATTTATGTTGAAATTTGACCTGGAAACAGTACTAAATGGGGTGGCTTTTAAGAGCTGACTAGGAATAATGCCACTGGAAAAGGGTGATTCGGCCCCTGTTGTCTCTTTCTTGCCCTTCCTCTTTCCTGTCCCACCCTCCTCCATGTGATGACACAATAAGAAGGCCCTCACCAGATGCTGCAGCCTTGATRTGGGACTTCTCAGCCTCTAAATCTGTGAGCAAATAAACTTCTGTTCACTATGAAATGTCATAACAGTCTAAGACAAATGTACTGAACCCCATTTTGCCAAGGAAACCAATGGAAACAAAAAACTCAAGTTTTAACCTAGAAGGGTCCATCTTGCTGCCTACATGAAACCAAAAGGGAACTGAAAGTTTTTATGATCATACACTTGATATTGACCCATTCACAGAGAGAGAATAAAGCCATCTCCTAAATGTGCAAACCAATCAGGTGTTAGCCGCAGCAAGGGCAGAAACCAGACTTAGTAAGCACTGGTTATGTGCCAAGCACTGGCTATGTGCCAAGCCCCGGCTAGGTACTTCCTCATTATTATCTTCTTTCATCTTTATGATAGTACCAGGAGGCATTACCCTTCATTCACAAAACAAGTAAACTGGACTTCGGTGATTAACTAACTTAATACAAACTACACTGTGGAAATGGGATTCAAAGCCAGTTCAATCTGACCTCAACCACATTACCCCGAGACTACAGTGCACAGCTAAGACCACAGTGCAAAACTCAGTGAGCCCTAACCTTCAGACTTGAAGCAGACTCTTCTCTGAGGCTTCTTTAAGTTTGAACCTTAGAGATCCTCTTTCTAARTATCTTCCCAATTTTAACAATAAAATAGATCCAAAGATAAAATCCCCCATATGTTCACTCATCCAAAAAATATCAAGTTACTAATATGCCCTGAAGAGCTACAACTGATACTTTTAAGTACAGTTGAACCAAAACCTTCCTTCTTACATTTTTCAGGATATGCTTAACATACTGTTTTGCAAGATAAAATATATAGACCTTAGGACCCATGTTTTTCTACCTGGAAAAGGCTGAAGTAAAGGGGGGAAAAACAGATAAAATAACATAATGTTAAATCAATGGGGACCCACAAAAATAATCAACAAGTATGAGTGAAGATTATAAGCATAGAAATTATTAGAATTCAGATTTTTATTTAGGTATCTTAAAAACTCTGATTTTGTTTTTGTTCTTTGTTTTAGTTTTTACATCTACCAGAAATACTGTTAGCCAACAACACACAGAGAGTGCCTCCTCTCTGCAATACATTCACTGGGTAACTCTGAGGTACTGATTGAAAAGCACCAGATAATACCATTTATTATCCTTATAGAAAAGTTCAAAATACATAAAAGTATTAATATTAAAATACAAAAACAACTAGCATGAACTTTTTTACTGCCAAAAATTCTCATTATTGCAATCTATGGTGAATTTACAAAAACTAACAAGGTATCCAAAAGGACAAAAATAGAGTATAAGGTTGCCAAATAAGACAGGCAAATATATATTAAGCTCTCATTTTCTAAATTCACAATACATTAATTATCTTTTTTTTAAATATTTACTTTTTTTAGTTAGAGGTGAACACAATATCTTTATTTTTATGTGGTGCTGAGGATCAAACCAGCGCCTCACGCATGCTAGGCGAGCACTCTATCTATGAGCAAMAATTCCAGCCCAATACATAAATTATCTTACCTGAATGTTCAATGCTACTTCAGAAAATTATCTTTAGAATATAATTCATTTATAATATCATTGAAAGTAATAATATATGCTTATATTTTAATGTAGCATCATTTAAGAGTGATTGTTCTTGGGGCTGGGGCTGGGGCTCAGTGGTTGAGTGCTCGCCTAGCATATGCAAGGCATTGGGTTCAATTCTCAGCACCACATAAAATAAATAAATGAAGGCATTGTGTCTGATTACAACTAAAAATATATATATGTTTTTAAAAAAAGATTGACTGTTCTTGTATAATCTGGAGATTAATGCTCTGTCTGAGGTATGAGTGATAAAGATTTTCTCCCATTCTGTAGAAATGCTGTTCACATTCTTGATTGTTTCCTTTGCTGTGAAGAAGCTTTTCAGTTTGATACTATCCCATTTATAGATTTCTGATTTTATTTCTTGTGCTTTAGGAGTCTTATTGAGGAAATTGGTTCCTAAGCCAACATGATGGAGAGTTGGGCCTACTTTTTCTTCTAGTAAGCACAGGATCTCTGATCCAATGCCTAGGTCCTTGATCCCACTTTGAATTGAGTTTTGTGCAGGGTGAGAGATAGGCATTCCGTTTCAATCTATTACACATAGATTTCCAGTTTTCCTAGCACCAGCTATCTTTTCTCCAATGTATGTGTACAGCACCTTTGTCTAGGATGAGATAAATGTATCTATATGGATGTGTACCACCTATACCTCAGCTAGAGCACTAAAATCCATTTATACAAAGAACTCAAAAAACTTAACACCAGAAAAACAAATAACCCAGTCAATAAATAGGCAAAGAAACTGAACAAGCACTTCACAAAAGAAGAAACATAAATGGTCAAAAAATATATGAAAAAATGTTTAATACCACTAGCAATTAAAGAAATGTAAATTAAAACTACACTGAGATTCCATCTTACTCCAGTCAGAATGGCAATTATAAAAAATACAAGTACCAAAAAATGTTAGCAAAAATGTGGGTAAAGGGGCTGGGGTTGTGGCTCAGCAGTAGAGCGCTCACCTAGCACATGCAAGACTCCTCAGCACCACAATAAAAATAAATACAATAAAGGTATTGTGTCCAACTACAACTAAAAAAGTATTTAAAAAAAAAAAAAGAATGTGGGTAAAAAAGTACACTCATACATTGCTGGTAGGATTGCAATTTGGTGCAACCACTATGGAAARCAATATGGAGATTCCTCAGAAAACCCGGAATGGAATCATCATTGGACCCAGTTTTCCCACTCCTCAGTCTTTACCCAAAGGACTTAAAATCAGCATACTACATGACACAGCCACATCAATGTTTATAGCAGCTCAATTCATAATAGCTAAGCTATGGAACCAACCTAGGTGCCCTTCAACAGATGAATGGAAAAATAAATTGTGGTACATATACACAATTAAATATTACTCAGCCATAAAGAAGAATGGAATGATAGCATTTGCAGGTAAATGGATGGTACTGGAAAATATCATGCTAAGTGAAATAAGACAATCCCAAAAAACCAAAGGCCAAATGGTCTCTCTGATATGTGGATACTAACCCAAAACAAGGGAGAGTGGGGAGGGAAAGAATAGAAATCCATTGGATTAGACAAAGGGGAATGAAGGAAAGGGAGTGGGGATGGGAAATAGGAAAGACAGTAGAATTAACTGGACATAACTTTCCTAGCCTGCACTTGAATACATGACCAGGGTAACTCCCATCAGGTATAACCACAAGAATAGGATCCTAAATAGAATAAGTAATACTTCATGTATGTACAATATGCCAAAATACAGTCTACTGTCATGAATAACTAAAAAAATATATTGACTGTTAAGACAGGTTTTATTAAAACAATCACTGTAATAAATTAAAATTATTAGAAATTTGCCAGAAGGGCAGGCAGATATGTATGTTTAATACCTAATCATATTTAAAGTATTACATTAAAAAGGAAAAAAATGAACCTCAAACAGGTATATTATACTAAAATCTACTCAAAAACCAGCTGTGAAAAGAGCTATTCAGGTTATAGAGAAAATATTCTAAATAACTACTGCACAGTGATTTATATCAAACTTAGGGCTTTCTACATGTACAGATCATAAAATAAATTCCATGATAAAATAAAATGAAAACATGTAAAGTGAAGACATTAGTCAGATATATCAAGATTATTACTCAAAATGTCCTTAAAAGAAAATGTGACAAGTTTTTACCTTTCCTCCATTCTTTTTTCCCTGCTTGCCACTATACCATTAAATGAAAAGAAGATAAACTAATACATTTACCTCACCAAATGGAGTGTAAAACTGCACCATGTTGACATCTTTATCCTGAGTGACTGCTTTCTGAGAGCCTGCCACGGCTAACACACTGCCAGTTTGGTTCCACTGGATACCGACCACATACATGCCAGTGTCAATCAAAACTGGATCTAGTCAAAAAGGGAAGGAAAATGAAGTATCTGTGTTAGCATCTTAGTTGAAAGGACTTGATATTAAGAACAATTTTCGGGCTGGGGTTGTGGCTCAGAGGCAGAGCACTTGCCTAGCATGTGTGAGGAACTGGGTTCAATTCCCAGCACCACACTGAACTGGGTTCCATCCCCAGTTTCCACCCAAAAACAAAATAAAGGTATTGTGTCCATTTACAACTAAAAAAATATATAAGAAAAGAAAAAAAAAGAACAATTTTCAAGTATGTTTTAAATTCTCCAATTTAAAAAAAAAAAACAGAAATTTTACTTACTTTGGTCATTCTCGTGTTTCATTATTTGGCATCTCCCATTGTCAAAACAAATAGCAAGGCAAGGGCAATCAGGCTCCACATAGCCCTCTGTGCCATGGTACCAATGAATTCCTGCAATGCTGATTGCTCCAGTGACGTTCACCAAACATTTCAGCTTCATTTTCATCTAGATAGAATTGGCTAGATTTAATATTTACATTTTGAAACAGAGCAGTATGAATGACACCATAAATAGGATTTAAAAATCTGGATGTGAATGCAAGCTTAATCACTTACTGGTTTATCAACCCTGAACAAATCACTTATCTAACTCTATTTTCCCCGTGTGTAAAGTGAAGGTTAAAAAAAAGGGGGGAGCCAGGCATGGTGGTGCATGCCTGTAATCCCAGTGACTAGGGAGGCTGAGGCAGGAGGATCATTAGTTCAAAGCCAGCCTCAGCAATGGCAAGGCACTAAGCAAATCAGTGAGACCCTGTCTCTAAATAAAATACAAAAAAAGGGCTGGGGATGTGGCCCAATGGTAGAGTGCCCCTGAGTTCAATCCCTGGTACCAAAAAAGAATTTTTTTTTTAAAGGAGGATGTGGGAGACTCAGATGACAAAATATATGAAAGTACTTGGAAAATAGCAAAGTGTCATACAAACGATACCAATTTTATTTTCAGCTATCAGTGGATTCATGAACTATCCCAATCCTCACTCAAAACAAAACTGCCCCATCAGTAATCAGAGACCTACCACAGCTAAATCTTGCAAATCCAAAACTTTTCTCCAGATTATGCTACCTAAGCCTCCTTTTTTTTACCCTTTTTCTAAAAATTTATTTTTCTCCCCTATGGTTTAAGTTTTCCATTCTTTTTACAAACAACCATTAGTTACTACAAAAATAACCTTGGTATCTGCATGTAAACTTTGGCTTCAAGCAGCAGAAGACATTCTCAAAACTTAAATTATACATTATTCTACTGTATCCCTCTACTTCAATGTACTAGCACCTTGTCCCATCCAACTACCAAAAGATCAAACTTAAAAGCTACACTCTAATATGTTGCATCAATTTGCCTTAAAGAAGCCAAGATTTGGTTTTAATATTTTTTTAAAGTTGGAAGATTATAAAAAAATTTAAAAGTCAAACTAAGGACTAATTAGAGGGGCTTGGTGGCACATGCCTGTAATCCCAGTGACTCTGGACACTGAGGTAGGAGGATCTCGAGTTTGAAGACAACCTCAGCAATGCAACAAGGCCCTCAGCAACTTGGTAAGATCCTGTCTCAAAATAAAAAATAAAAAGGTCTGGGGATGTGACTCAGTAGTTAAAGCACTCCTGGGTTCAATTCCCAGCATCAATAAATAAAGAAATAAAGACTACATAAGCCATCATAATAAATAAATGTGTATGCATATGAATGATATATTAAAAATCATATAAAATTATATACATAAAAACAACAAATATATATGCTTACTATAAAATTTCCTTGATTATCATAAATGTGTATTTCACCATTTGCCATTCCAAAAAGTAAGATTTTACTATCTGATGACCATGCTACATGGCACAACTGTACACCCTTCAGGTCTTTTCCCCAAATACGATTGCCTAAAACAAAAGATAAACATAATTATTAAAAGTTCAGATTCATGATCCTCCAACAGCTGCTTTCAACATTTTTGTTTCCCTAAAGAGTTCTCACATTCCTCTCAGCATTCATGCAGTCATTCAATTTATTTGGTCAATAAATATTTACTGAGCACTTATAGGAGGCAAAATACCCCAGAGACATTTAAAATAGCAGCTGTTTCAAACTCTCCCATTTCTTCACTCCCAATTAACAGATGAGGCCATCTTCTACTTTGGAAAAGAAATAAAAGCTCCCGAAAAAGAAATTCAGGACATTTAGAACATAACTAAATCCACACTTATCCACTCTGCTTAGCTCCTGATACAAAGGAAGAGGTTATCTCCCAACCAGACCTCTGTCTAAGGTTAATCCTTCCACCTAATCTATGATCTAATCCATTCCATCTTTGCAAAAATCTCCCTTAGTAAATTATTCTCATTTTCTTTTTCTCATTAAACTTATCTTTCTAGGCTCTTTCTAGTAAACACTTAAATATATGCATATCTTCTAAATCATCACCTCAAATAAAAAACAAACAAAATAAAACAAAAAAACACTTTCCTCAACTCTAAGCTCTCCATCTCGCTACCATTCTATTTTCACCATTCTCTCCCAACCAAACTTCAATAAGTTGTTGAGGCTGACCTCAAACTTGCAATCCTCCTGCCTCAGCGGCATGAGTTGCTGGAACTATGGGAAAAAGCCACTGTACCTAGCTTACATTCTTAGTTTCTAAAACCATAGCTATTGCTCTATAAAGTTCTCAGAAATATTCACTGACTACAATATATATATACACACATATACACACACAGATATGAAAATGACTTTAAAATGTTATTTCTCTATCAACAATTTCATTCACATTAATACCAAGGTGCTGACTTACAGAAGACCCAGTTTCATCTACATATTAGAATCTGAAAGACATAGGTTTTAAGGTTATAAAATACAACTAACAATTATATACTATCTTCTACTGAAAATATCATATATTATTATGATTTTATGTACTTTTTGAAAATAAAATCTATGCATTTATATAGTCTAACCAATATAAAGATGAATTATATGATGGACATATTTAAAATAATGTTGAAAAATTAATTCATTTTTTTCAGTGCCACTGTAGGAAATCAAAAAAGAATAGATTGTTTTCTCGTGTAGACTTAATAAATGGTTAGGACCAAAAGGTGCTTCTTAGATTTCAGCAAAATGTATAGCAACTATTTTCTCTTTTTATGTCTATTTTTCAATCAGAATGCTAACAATTAACTTAAATCTCTAAAGATAAAAAAGTAAGCTAAATGTTGATCTTAGTCCTATATCCAATAAATGCAATTACCATCCACTGAACCCACTATCACAGCCCCATCTTCATACACAATGCAGATCTTCTGTCCATCAGCATTCCAACTCATACTTCGAACCACTGATTTATTCCGATTGTTGATCATTTCCTCATACCAAGAGCCTGATTTCATAAATTAAAAAATTACAAGTCAAAACTTTCACATCTATTAAATGGTACTTAAGAGTTGACAACACTTCATAAAGTACACTGTGCAATAAATAACTGCAAAGTTTTGTCAACCTGAGATATTAAACTAGAAAACCTTCAAATCAACATAAACAAAAGAAAAAATTAACATAGGCCTTGACTAATAATCTTTTCAAAGACTATCACAGAAAACACAACAAATGCCCAGCTCTTTTCTTTTTACTTTTTCTCTTTTTCTTGCTTTCTTCTTGTCAATTAAAAAAGAAAATTTCATTTGCTTTTGCAGGGCCAAAACAAGTTATTTTTCTGAAGGCCTAACTTTTCCCACYTGAAACTTATCTTTTCAGATAATAACTAAGCAGGGGGGAAAACAGAATAACAACAACCTTATATGTATGCATAAACTCTCTGATGACTAGTTTAAGCATATGAGATAAAAGCACATTAAGTAAAACTCTTTAAAAAATTCTTAAGCAATTCATGTTACATCAGTGGTACATTACATATGCCATCACTAATGCTGAGAACAAAGACATTTGAGCTACACAGAGTTGGACAGAGATGTGACTTCTTTCATAATATAATCCAATTAGAAGCAAAAGAACAGGGAATTTTGTCTTATTTTTGTGTTTTTTAAAAACTTTACCACTTTCTGGCCTAGGGAACTCTGGTCATCAGCCAAGCAAATGTCATGTGATTTGAAATAACTGGTCAGCGCAGGGTATTAATAGAATTAGGATTGAAGCCCAGAGATAATTTATCTTGGAAACAAAGTTCACTCCCATCTACTTTACTTTCTACCCCACTCCACTTTTCAAATACACATACTTTAAAAATAATATTCAAGCACTACCACATATTTTTTAATTATAGGTTTGTAAACAACATACCCTGAACCTTTTGAAAACAACACATATGTACCTTTCCCTTTAAAAGACAATGGCTACAGGCTTCAAGAGAACATGTATCATGAGTTGCTTTTCTAGTAATAATGATGCATCTAAACTAATCCTTCTCTTTCCCTCTCTACCTTACTCTGTCTCTTATAGATAAGAGGCAAAAATTGTAGGTCAGTAGCCAGAGCCAAGATAAAATCTGCATCCATGAAAGAAAAGGAAGCTGACTGGTCCAATATAGGAAGTGAATTACTATTGCTGCTGAATTCTTCATAAATGTGCTTTCTTCTAGTGTACTAACTTCAACCACCAGCCACATAGGACCTAATTCTTGGTGGAAATCTGCAGGGGTTAGAGGAAGGAGAAGAAGAGCTATCTAAGAGTAGAAACTATTTTACCAAGTTAATAAGTTCACTTTGGAGTCACTTAATTTGCTTTCTTAATGCAAAGTTACAGCTCAAAGGAAATAAAATAAAAAGTAAGCTACAATAAATCCAGAAATATCATCACTATGCAATCAGCTCTTCTGGTTACCAGGGGTCTATTTTAGAGATGTTATTTCTCCATCCAAACACTGTGATCCAGACTCCAATTTGTGAAAGATTAAAGCAGCTCTCCTAATGTACCTTTATATAACATCCAGACAATGATAAGCCCATTTTGATCACTGGTGGTCAATTTCTGATACTGTTCATTCCATGTTACAACTTGAACAGAACCTAGAACATTGGAAAATAAATTAGACACTTAAAAATGGCTACAATTAATTTCAAATTTGTACCTTTATATAAGCAAACATCAAGAACATGTTAAAATCAAGACTTCCTATGCAACTAACCAGTTTTTCAAGTATTATGAATATCAAAAATATTCATAGGATATAATTACTGAGATCACTAATTTCCTACAACAATGCTTAATACTCTCACATCCATCCCTATTTCATGCCTGCAAAGGCACACTTCATGGAAAGCTGCCAGTAAATCAGATAGTGGAAACAAAAGTAAGCATGATTTACCAAGCTGGCTTGCCTCCCAAGGATAATGATGTCCAAAGGACACCAAGTTGTTCCCTTGAATTGTTTGTTCATTTTTGGTTGAAAATGCCCATTCCCCCTTTCTGTTTCCCTCTTTCCAACCTCCCGGGTTTTACACTCTATTTGTAATACACTTTAAGTATATATTAAACCTGTGGGTGACATTAGTAATTAATTTCTTTTAATTCTTATATCTCTAAATACTTTGTATGTATTTTAAGGATACTCTCTTTCATAACTATCTTACAAATTTAAAAATCTAATCTGATAAAATATCATTACCTAACACACTGTCCACTTTCAAATTTCAATTGTCAAGGTGTCCATTTTTATGTTTATTTTTATTTATGTATTTATTTATTGCCTTATTGGGGATTAAACCCCAGCCCTCATACATGCTAGGTAAGCTTTCTTTCACTGAGTTATATTCCCAATTCATTTTATTTTACTTTGTGCCAGGGTCTTGCCAATCTTCCCAGGCTATCCTTGAACTTGGGATCCTCCTGCCTTAGCTTTCCCAGTAGCTGGGACCACAGCATGCACCACTGTACCCAGTTGTAATATTCTTTATAGATACTTGTTTTTTCTCATTTCAGGATCCCATTTAGGATCATATTGTGCATTCAGTTGTTACATCTTTAGTATCCTTTAATCTGTAATTATCAAACAATCTTTAAAAGGAAAATAATATTTATGTATTATATATACATATATATATCATCCACAGAGAAATAACAGTATTTTTCACAGATAACACCTACTTTTTTCAGGTTTATGGAAGAATGAATGACTCTGGACAATATTAATTATGACTCCATAAAAATAATATCATAATTTTTTAAAATGTTGACATTTCTACATTAAGTAAATGGTTTCTAAATGACTAACTACAATTTACACATAATAAACAAAACTGCTGGACTCACCACTATGACCTTCAAGAGTCTGATTCATAGAAAGATTACTAGGGGCRGCAAGACCCCTCAATTTTGCATCATCTAAAAAAAAACAAAACAAAGAAAACTACCATGAACAATGAATAAAAGGAGAAACAACAATGGGAATTTTGATGAAGGGGATGTTAAAGAGAGGCAGGACTAGACTTCCAGCTTGAGCAAACGAGTGAAATTAATATACAAGTTGAAACAGAACTGAAAAAAGAATTAAGAGATCAAGAGTTCCATTTTGGACATAGTAAATATAAAATGCCTATGAAAGATTCCAGTGGAGATGCCCAAATCTGAAAATTCAGGACTATTCTGGAGATATAAATGAGGGATCATCACCCTACAGATAGCATTTAAGGTCATGGGAATAAAATAACAAACCTAGAGAGCAAATATAGAGAGAGCCCACAAACAAGTTCTCAGGAATTCCAATTGTTAGAAAAGAAGAATCTAGCAAAGTGACCAAGGACTGTTCAGTCATCATAGACAGGAAGGTAGAGTGTGAATATACTTAAATATGTTTAAATATGACAAAATTCAAATTGTTTGACTTCTTCTGTATTAAAAAATGTTTCAAAAAAAAAGAAAAGAAATGGTCAAACACATAGTGAGAAAGAACAACATAGACCTTGTCTCAGAAAAACAGAACTAACACTTTCAATGTTGAACAAAATACATTCATGTCTTAATGTAACTAAAACTTTTACATATTTTAGACAAAATAAGTTGTATATATATAATATATATATGATATATATATTATATATATGCATATATATATATACATCCATACACATTTAAAAAACATACCAGAGATATTTTTCTTTTAACACAGTTAAAAGATTAAACTACAAAACATCAGAAGCCAAACTTTGATACTTAAATATCTATCTTCCAATCTGCCTTTTATTTCACATAATTAGTGTAGCACATCAAAACAATTATTCTATTCTTTGCTTAGGATGTTCATGAGCCCTTTGTGTAGTGTTACTTATAGGCTGTGTGACCTTGGGTAAGTTATTAAATGATCATAGCCCCAATTTTCTCACCTGGAATACACACCTTTCAAGAGTATTTTAAAGCCAAATGAGACAGCACAGGTTAACCATCTAATACACAGGAAATATTTAATAAACACTGTTCAAAGGGTAGTCGGAGCATTAGCAATACCAGCATCACTACAGATGCAAATTCTCAGGCCCTGTCCCAGGTCTACTCTGGGGACGGATCCCAGAAATCCATTTTAACAACCTCTTCTGGTGATTCTTATGCCTGACAAATTTTGAGAGGTCATGCTATAAAGGAACCCAAAATGTAATATAGTTTACCTCATTTGACAAAATAATGAACTAAAGTCCAAAGATATTCAGCAACTTGCTGAAAGTCATTCAGTAATCTTGTGGCAGAACTGATTCCAATGTCAATCTCTTTATCTAGATCTCCAGCCTAGATAGGGATTACCTAGATCCCTAATAGTATGGAAGAGTAATAGTATGGAAGTTAAATAAAAATAAAGTTGTTCAATGTGATTCCAGAGAACTACAAAAAGAAAGAAAGAAAGCTACAAAGATAAGAGATCTATTAATAAAAGGGTAACATATATTCTATTTTCTGTTTGGGGGCACTAGTTGTATAATCACAATACATCTGATAAGGAAAAAAAGATGATATGGACCTGTAAAAAAACTGCCAAAATGTGAGATTTTGTGATGTTACTGAAATGTTGATTGGCATGATTTTTATTAGACTCCTAATAACAGAGGGCAATAATTGGACCTGGCACAAGACAACATAGTGACTTGGTTTCATCTTTCATTCATTTTCATTTCCCATCAATAATTTCAGCAAAAGCTGAATGTTCACATTTGACATTCTCTGACCTTTTCTCTAGAAAAATGTCACAAGATGTTTAGGGTTTTTTGTTTTTAAAAGAATTAGAATTTCATATTGACAAATACCAAGAGCATATGGCACTGAATCAATGACACTTTTCCTTTTTCTATAATTTCAGACATGTGAGCTTGCATTCATTTACCTGTCTGTGTCTCTAATTTCAAAACTTTCAGTAATCCATCTTCACCACCACACGCTATGAACCCTTGGTCCTTGTTCCAGGATACGCATTTTAGCTTCACATTATTGGGAATGSCAATCTGTAAAAGCAATCACAGTCACGTTAGCAACTTTTCACGAAGGAGTTGGGAAGTACGTCTACAGGAGATGAAAAATGATGAAAGTCTTTCAAGAAGAAACACGAAAGCCTTGCAGGAAAAAAAAAATGAGCTGTCATGAAAATGGGCATGTTCCTCTGAAATGTCCCGTGCTCTACAATTTGATAAAAAAGGAAAGAAGTGCACACAAGACAAAGGCGAAGGCTGCGGGGAAAGCTAGGAGGTAAGTCACCTGAGGTATTTTGAAAGGGTGGATGAGGACTGGAGGGTTACTGACCCATTCCACCGGTCTGTATTCCCTTTCCCCCTAGAACACTTAGGCTACCTTTTGTTATTTTTTTTTTTTCTCTTGCGCGATGATGATCCAAAGTCAACTGGATCACCACTGGTGATAGATCACCTAGTGATCTATCCCGCGGGCACCCAAAAGGACCCGGTCGGGGACAGGTATGGCAGAGACGCGTGAGAGGGTTTCTGGCTTGGCTAAGGGGGACCAGGGGTTCCGGGACCCGAAGAAGGTCCGGGGCCCGACCAGGCGGGCAGGTGGGCAGCGGGGCAGCAGAGCCGCGATCAGGGCCCGGTGAAGCCGCTTGGCTTAGCGGGAAGGATGCGGGAATGGCCCATGGGCTGCGGGCACTGAGGAGGAGCGGGGCGGCCCCAGGAAACTCACTTTCTTGCTCAGGTAGAAGAACATCGTGGGAACCCAGAGCGAACGGCCGCAGCGGGCAAAGCCCGCCGCTGGTCACCGGTTCTCCGCCTCCAATTCCGAGTACCAGCGGCTCTGGATGGCTCCCGTCGCCCTGGCAACCGCCGCTACCCCGGCGCATCCGGGGCGCGAAGAGGCACTTCCGGTGTCGTCCGAGCCCCGGACGTCGTGCGCCTGCGCAGGCTCTGAAGACCCGCCACGCCACACCTGGCATGGCTGTGCTTCAGGTGTCCTTAGTGTCAGTACAAACAGGAAAGGTGCCCAAACCAGTGAGGTCACCAGGATCTGGTGTTTTGTAAGCTCCACTGTCCCATCATTCATAAAAGGAAAAGTCATTTATTGCACTTGGTATCTAGTGCCATCGGCCAGGCGGAGCAGATGTGCGTTTTGAGGATTGGTTGCCCTTTGCTTTGGGGCATTGCGGGGCCCTCTGGGGCAATCTGAAAATAGGAGACTCTGTTTATTTTGTTTGGGAATTTTTAAAAGAGCTCCTTATAAAAGGAACACTATGAACTTGGGCTCATTACAGCTACAGTTGCCATTGAGGTATAGCCTCCCTTTTAAAAATATTTGAGCTGTTTAGTGTCTTCTCCCCTGGGATAGACTTTTCGGTAGATACCATTTTTTATTTATATAATCTAGCGTGTACTTTATGCGGCAGCGTTAATTTCCCCACTTGGAGTTTTTCCCCTCCCAGGCAAATAATCTTCAAATCTTTTGATCCAGGTCTGTTGTCTCACCCAGCACATACTAGAAGTAGCATGTACTAATTCTAAATTCTAAATTCCTAGTGGGTTTCCCATCAAATCTGAACTCCTGCTGGGGTTGTGGCTCAGTGGTAGAGTGCTCACCTAGCATGTGTGAGGCACTGGGTTCCATCCTCATCACCATATAAAAATAAATGAATAAAATAAAGGTATTTTTAAAATCCTGAACTCCATCTAAAATCAGATCTCTGGCTCTGGGTGTAGCTCAATGGTAGACTGTTTACCCAGCATTCAGGAGACCCTGGGTTCCAAGTCCAGCGAGACAAAAAGAAAAACAGATCTTTCCATAGTCCTGAAATGTCTTACTGTGGTGCCCCACTCTAAGTCAATTGCTTTCTGAATCAGCTTTCCATGGGCTCCGCTTTCCATGCTATTTTAGATATCCTATGATGTTCTTATTCTCTTTAAAAGAGTCCAGTTGTGTCCAAGCCATACCAGATCAGGTCTACTGAGGAAATCTTTTCAAACTTAATCCTATCCCATTCAGATATTTGTTTTCAAATGTTTGGCTAGATTTCCAGCATTAAACAGTAAACCAGGAGCCTATGATATAAATCAGTCATAGAGTCATAGACTCATGACACAAATCAATATTATCTAAGCTAAGGATTTTCACTCAGGTGGTCAAGACATGATACACCGAAACTAGTTGCTGTGAAGCTAGTTTTCCCTCTTGAAAACTCATTTCTCTCTTTAAATAAATACCTTTCCTCCCTTGCACGAGTTCTAATTATTCCTTCCAGTATTTCTTTGTGATATATTATGATGTGTAACCAATTCTATGTTCAGATATATTTGAAAAATATGGTAGCTCTACATCATTTCCTTTCAAATATTTTGAAAAAATGCAATAGATAATTCATATATGCTGCTTTGGTATTTTTCATTTCTTTAAATTTCATATGTTAGGTTTACATCTGTAGGTTATATTTGCTTTTCAGGAATTTATATCAATGTAAACTTCATCATTATTGTACCCAAATTTTGATATTTTCTATTATCCTTCTCCCACACCATAATGATTAAAGCTTTTCTATTCAATCTGAACTTAAATTTATAGACTCAAGAATGTGAGACTGCCAAGTTATGGAACCAGCCCAGGTATTTGTCAACAGATGAATGGATAAAGAAAATGTGATATGTATACACAGTGGAGTTTTATTCAGTCAGAAGGAAGAATGAAACTGTGCCACTTGCAGGAAAATGGATGGAATTTGAGAGCATTATGTTAAGTGAAATAAGCCACATTCAGAAATGAGGGGTCATGTTATCTCTCATCTGTGGAAGCTAGAGGGGAAAAAGGGTCAGAGTGTGTCATGAAAATTGAAGGGAGTCAGTAGAGGAAGGGCAACAGGGGAATGAAAGAGGGAAGGGAAAGGGGAGATATGGAGGAATTAAATTGACCAAATTATGTTATGATGAATGAAGGTATATATGAATATGTCACAATGAATCCCGCTATTACGTACAATTGTAATGTACCAATAAGAAATTTTTTAAAAGAACTAAATGAACTAAAAAAATTCTTAGGTATTAAAATACAGTTCATAAGAAAGAAATTATATGGGACAAGTAGAATATATATAAATAATGCATTTGTAGAATAAAAGGTATAAAATTTTTAAAAAATTAAGTGTGAGATTAGATTATAGGAAGAATATTAATACTCTGTTCTTTGCCAAGAAGCTGTTATATTTAAATAATTACTCAGTTCAACATAAAGAAATGTGTTCAATAGACAAAATTAATGTGAATTAACAAAAAAATGGTCATGACATTAACACATAAAGATAATAACTTTATTATTATAAACAATTCAAACCAAGAAAGAATTGAGTGCTACACAACATAAAGGACTGTTTTGTTCTAAAAGTTTAAGCTGTAGAGATAAAGTATATGTATCAAATATATAAGTGAAAAATGTTATGCTTATTACTAACATTCAAAAAGTCATTAGATATTGTTGCTTGTTATACCAGTTCTACAAACATATCATGTTATCAGTTGATCCTAAAGGAAAATGATAAAATAAATTTAGGACATTTTGCTCTTGATAAAAAGTTTAGCACCCTAAATTCACAACTAATGCTCTTTAGTCATGCATTTCTAAGACCAGAATGAATTAAAAACTGCATGTAATATTTACTTAATTAACTACATTTAAATATGTGTATTATAATCAGAGTTTCAATAATACTTCTGCAAAAATTAGCAAAAAACAAAAAGTGTTTAACAGTTCTAAATTATATTAATTTCAATTTTAATTATATGAGCTTTTCATGTGGAAATACTGCATACCATTTGCACTCTTGGTAATAAAATGGTTTATTTTATAAATATTATCAAGAGAAAATATATCTTAAGTTTCCATTGTGAATATGATTATCTTACTAATATAAACATTTAAAATTAAATGGATCAATTAGTAGATAATTTTAAAAATTGAACTTTTCATTCTACTTCCTACCATTTCACAGTTAGAGCATAGAAACACTAAAGTTTGCCCTTAATAAGAATATGCACATTTATTTCCTTGGAAAAATGATACCGATTCTCCAGAAAATCGTCATACTATTTATCTGGAAATATTCAAGCATTTATAATGGCAAATAATTAGCAAGAACATCAAAGATACCAGTGTGCAAAAGTATATTAATTGCACCAAGTTTTCTACATTTCCACATTTTGAGCAATCTAACGATGTACTTGTCCATATTCATTTACTTGCAGCTTCTGCAAAATGTCATCAAGTAGCTAGTTGTTAAGGCCAACACCATTTATTTCTACACATTAGAAAACAAGCATACTTTTAAACACTTTTACACAAGATAAAAGAAAATTGTGTCCTAGTATAAGTGAGGAAAAAGAACTAGACTATTTTCTCAGCAAAAGTCTCATCTAACACTCAGAAGTTCAGTTCTTTTGAGATCTTGATAAAGTCAGACCACTGCAGTGGTCTTCAGATATTTTTGCTCATATGAAATTCAATTGGACAAATACTTACTAGTAAGATGGATAAAGGGAGCAACATTTATGAATTCTTGATTAAAGGAATTATTGGTCCTCTGGAAATTTTGCTTTCCTAGAAAATGCATCTTATTAGATTCAGGGTAAGAGAGAGGTGTGCTTTTCTTGTGTAGTTAGGAAAATGGCAATCCTGAAATGGAAGATGAGAAACGAACATGCCAGCAGATTCCAAGTAGCATCTTGAGCAAGTGAAGTATTTGGAAATTGATTCAATTTGAACTGAAAAATCTGCATACTCTTAAGTTGTACCAAGATCTGAATTCTACTCCTTTAAGGTAGCAGAGACAGAGTAGTTAACTTGAGCTGGGCTGAGAAAAAGTACTTTTTCTGTTAGTATTTTGAAGTGTTGGTTTTGAAAGATCCTAAGACACTATCATGTTACATTTTAAAATCTGTTTTTGAACACCTGGCTAGCTAAAGTGTGGAATCATGAAATCTGAGATATCACACCTCATCAGTCAGCTGATTTGTTCTGCACAGATGCAGATTCTGAACTAAGATGGCCATATAAAGGAAGCATAGGATAATTACCTCATCTATTGAGTAAGAGCTCAATTTGRAGCATACATGCCATGGAAAAGCACTAGGAAATGTAATAGTTACACAGCTTTTACAGGTAAATATAAATGGTCTATTAAAGTATTTTAAAGAACTCTAAATTGAAAAAAAAAATGTATATTATTGCTGCTTATCTTAAAACAACAAATAAGGCCCTTGCCTTCATAATGYCCTAAAACATTTAGCTCATTTGTAGTACTTCCACTGGCTTCAAGAAGAAGCAGAAAACCTTCTGGAAAGGATATGTTTGGTGTTCAGTCTCTGGAGATAGGAGCTGACCTTCTCCTGGTAAGCTAATGTGGCCTCACACCCACATGCATCTTCAGTGGAAATAAGTCTCCGTGCCTCTTCAATGGCTACAATGATAGCACATAAAATGTTATGGATACCTAAAAGTATAAAAAATCAGGAAATATACAACTCAATGTTACTTTTCGGGGGGGGAGGGGGTGGTACCAGTAAYTGAACCCAGAAGAGTTCAATCCTGAGCCACATCTCCAGCCCTTTTTGTTGTTGTTGTTCTGGTTTTTTTTCTGAGACAGGGTCTTGCCAAGTTGCTTAGGGCTGTGCTGAGTTGCTAAGGCTGACTGTATATTTGTGATCCTCCTGCCTCAGCCTCCTGAGCCACTGGAATTCAATATTACTATTTTTAAGACTTATTGAAATGCATTTTCCAGGAGGTAAAAGGATATAAAAACAAATGGAAGAGGAGAAACTACTTTGGAATAATGATGTCATGGACATTTTTGTATTAGGAGATACAAGGGAAATGTTTATAATTGTCAAAGTCAGGTGATGATTTTATGAGGGTTCATTMAATAATTCTTTATACTTTCATGATTATCAGAACTCATCAACAATATAAAGAAAATTTCTTTTAAAGATTGTATAGGAGATACAGAGACAAGACAATCTTCTTCTGGTACTGGGTCCTCACTAATAAATGAAAAGAGAACAATAACTCACCACTTGTATGGCCAAAGTACTTCAAAGGTTAAAACCAGGTTATACCTGATTTTCTAYAGAGGACTTTTAATTTATTAAATGGTTTGATGAGAGTTCTAGTTTTTACCCCAAAATACTYTAGTATTACAAATTCAGATATATATTGACATTTAAGTAAATGTGAGAGATTAATAGAGGTAACTCTATTTCTTTCTGTGATGCTGTGAGGCAAACATTCCTGTTAAATATTACAGCCCTTATAATTGCAAATAGAAATAAGCGTAACTTCCCAAGCCTGAAGACTGCTGTCTAATCTTCCAAGTGAAACTATTGCCTGAGGACAGGAAATGCCCCTTGGCKCCCATATTTTCTCTCATCTTCTAGAAAAATGCAGCGTAGGCCTGGGGGACCATAAATCCACTGAATTAAATGCAATCTATTTACCTGTCTGAATCCTATTAAAACCTTTTGGGACCATCCAGCCCAAATCCCACCATAATCAGCCTATTAATCAATCAGTAAGCAGAATATATCTATTGAATATCACCAACATGCCTATCATCCCTGTGCAGAGTATAAAATGGGTACATATGATACAATCTCTTGCCTAATAGACTCTAAGCTCTGGTGGAGGGTTGGGGGTCTGTCTCAGTGTGATATTCTAATTAAAATTCTCTATAGAAAATTGCAAAACAGTGATGTAGCAAATTTGAAACTTGAGAGATGGACTCATTCACAAKAGCATCTAAAAGAATAAAATACATAAGCGTGTTTTTTTTTTTTAAGTAGAAGACATAAACTCCATGTTAATGGATTGGAAGATTGTTAAAATGGCAATACTTCCCAAATTTGATCTGTAAATTCAGTACAATGCCTATGAAATCCCTGCTGACATTTGTGGAGAAATTGACAAAATGATCCTAAAATGTATAGAGAAATGTAAGGGACCCAGAATAACCAAAACAATCCTAAAAAGAAGAAAAAAAAAACTGAAGAACTCATACTTACTGGTTTCAAAATTCTCTACAAAGCTACAGTAATCAAGGCAATGTGGTGTTTGCAAAAAGAAGGCATGAGGATCAATGGAATAGAACTGAGACTTCAGAAATAAACTGTTTCATTTATGGTCACTTGTTTTTCAACAGGGTATCAAGACAAGTTAATAAGGGAAAGAATACCTTTTGAACAAATTATGCTGGAAACCTGCATAGCTATATGAAAAGAATAAAGTTGGACACTTATCTCACACCATATGTGTGTGTGTGTGTGCGCATGTATACACATGTATATATGTAGCTCAAAAAAGACCATAGACCTAAACAATATAGAAGGAAGGAAGGAAGGAAGGAAGGAAGGAAGGAAGGAAGGAAGGAAGGAAGGAAGGAAGAGATAAAACTAAAAAACTCTTAGAAGAAAACACCAGAAGTAAATCTTCATGACTTTGACCTATCAAACAGTTTCTTAGATACAATAACAAAAGCACAAGATGCAAAAGAATAAATAAATTGAACTTTATAAAATTAAAAGCTTCTGTGCATCAAAAGACACTTTCAAAAAATGAAAGGGCGGGCTCGGGTTATGGCTCAGCGATAGAGTGCTCACCTAGCATGTGCAAGGCCCTGGGTTCGATCCTCAGCATCACATAAAAACAAATAAATAAAATAAAGGTATTTTWAAAAATGAAAGGGCAATCCATGATATAGGAGAAAAAATTTCAAATCGCATCTCTGCAAAAATTGCAAATTACACATTCCAACTCAATAAAAAGATAGAAAATCAACTTTTTAAAAATGGGAAAAGGGCTTTCAATAGACATTCTTCCAAACAATATATAAAAGTCACCAACAAGCACATGAAAAGATGGTCGAGATCATCAGTCACTAGGGAAATACAAATAAGAACCACATTAAATATTKCCTTACCCCATAGGATGAATAAAATTTTTTTAAAAAGATAGTAGTAAGTGTTGGCAAAGATATGAGAAATTAGAAGCCTCATTCACTACTGGTGAGATTCTTAAATGGTGTAACCACTTYGAAAAAGAGTCTGGCAGTTCTTTAAAACATTAAACATAGGGCTGGGGTTGTGGCTCAGTGATAGAGCACTTGCCTCRMACGTGTGAAGCACTGGGTYCAATTCTCAGCAYCTCATCTAAATAAATAAACATCCATCAACAACTAAAAATATATATATTAAAAATATATATTAAATATAGAGTTCCATGTGACCTAGCAATTCTACTTCTAGGTATATATTGCAAAGAAATTAAACCATATGTCCACACAAAGACTTGTATACTAACTACTGTTCAYAGCAACATTATTCATTCCAGCTGAAAAAGTGGAAATAAACTATTCATCAACTGAGAAGTGGATAAGCAAAATGGGATATTTCTATGCAATAGAATATTATTCAGCAATGAAAAGGAATAAAGCACTAATGCATACTACAAATATGGATGAATCTGGAAAATAGCACACTAAGTAAAAGAAGCCAGTCACAAAGACCGCAAAGCATACCATCCATTTGTATGAAATGTCCAGAATAAASAAATCCATAGAGGTAGAATTAGTGSTTGCTAAGGACAAGGGGCTGGGAGGAATAGAGGAGTGACTGATAACGGGTATAGGTTTCTTTTAAGGTTGATAAAATTTTCTATAATTAGATAGTGCTGATGGTTATACCCAATTTTTGAAATACTGAAAATCAATGAAATGCATACTTCAGCACAGCAGTTTTTGTTTGGGCATGTAACTCAGTGGTAAAATGTGTGTTTAGCATGCCTGCAGCCCAAAATTTGATTCCCAGAACCAAATACCAAAAAGAAAAAAAAAAGAATAAATGTTGTGATAAGTAAATTACCTTTCAATAAAAATTGTATAGGAAGGAAGGAGAAAAGAAAAGGAAGGAAGGAAGGAAGGAAGCAAGCTAGCTAGCCAAAAAGATGTAGATATAAACATTAGAGCTCTACACCTAGAAAAAATGAACCAAGCCTGATTCAACTTTTCAAGCCCTCGATCACGTCCTCTTTTTTCTGAACATACACACATACACAGTACTTACTGCATGCCCTTTAGTTAACMTTTGTGTTATGCTCTCTCACAATGTTAAAATGTCCCTATTTGGAATTCCTACCTGAAATTTGTCTCCAGTTTCTTCCTCAGAATCTAATAGAGTACAATTTGTTTAACAGTAGCTCCATAAACACTGCTGATGGAATAAATACATGAACCTTAAAAAAATAAAATGAGGTGACAGCCTAAACCATTAAAAAAATCATGCTGAATTCTCCACTTTCCAGGAGGAGAAATTAAAAAAAAAAAAAGATTGATTTTTCTGAAAATTACCCACACTTACTCAAGTTCTAGAAGCAAGCTGATCCTCATTATCCTTGCCCTTCACAAGAAATTGATTCATACTTTATTTCACATGAAATAATACCTTCAATGAAGAAATATCTGCTGAAAAACTACTTTGTGTACTGTGGTACCGGCCAAAAAGTACAGATAAGATCACCACCACCGTTGTGGTTGGGGATTACAATCTGCTAGAGGATGAAAACACACAGTTACCAGGGRCTAGGGGAGTAGGAACGGGCAGTGATTGTTTAATGAGAACAAGGTTTTAGTTTGAGATGATGAAAATGTTCTGGAAATGGAYAGTAGTAATGGTTGCACAGCAATGCAAATGTGTTGMATGTCAGTGAACGGTACACTTAAAAATGGTTAGAATGGGCAGGGCACGGTGGTGCACACCTGTAATCCCAGTGGCTCAGGAGGCTGAGGCAGGAGGATCGCAAGTTCCAAAGCCAGCCTCAGCAACAGTGAGGAGCTAAGCAACTCGGTGAGACCCTGTCTCTAAATAAAATACAAAATAGGGCTGGGGATGTGGCTCAGTGGTCRTGTACCCCTGAGTTCAATCCCTGGTATCCCCCCCAAAATGGTTAGAATGGTAAATTTTGTGTTATGTATGTTTTACCATAATTTTAAAAATCAGACTTAGGTAGAGATAGTAATTAGAAAAAAGAAAGAGAAGAAGTTGGAATCAGATCATGGAAGGTACACAGGCAGAGGAAGGCAGTGTTTCATTATGTAGGCAATTGGAAGCCAGTGGAAGATTCTGGCCAGGAGAACGGTTCAGAGCTTCATATGGAGAGAGAACAGCTTCCTCCTAGATTTTCCTACCCAACAGAATAGGCTTGAAGGGCCAGTCTTCACCTGAACATGTCTTCTTGTCCTCGTTCAGTGTGTAGCCAGGAAAACAGTCGCAGTGGTAGGAGGCTGCCCCGTCACTCACACACACGTGCTGGCAGCCGTGAGTGCCCAGAACACACTTGTTCTGGACTAACCAGGAATGGGGCAGGAGAGAAACAGTCACACATTAATTAAATATGCAACTAAAAGCAAACACTGGGAGAAATCATCTCCAGTTTGGTCCCGACCGGTGCTGAGAATGAATCCTTCAGCAGTCAGCCACAAGCCCCAGACTCCAGGAGAAAGCCTCCTTCCCTCTCCACCTCCCATCCCTGCGGCTCACCTTTGATCACAGACATTCCCGCCAACCCCAACCGCTCCCCACCATCTTCTGCACTCTAATGCTGCCTTCTTTTTTATTCCTGTAGCACTAAGTCTTAATTATAGTCTAGAACTTACCTTGGACATTTCTGGTGACTGTCAGCATCTCCAGTATCTCCAGCTTATCGTGGATCATTACCCAAAAATAATCTATTAGGGACTTTATTGCACTTGGAACTAAGTGTGATGCTACACAAAAAGTACTGCATTGAACAAAGACCTGCTGTCTATAACTTATAAAATGGGACAGAAAACACTGACCTGGAGACACCTAGGAACACATACACACACACTTACAAACACGGAGAAAAGTGATAGCAACATTATTAATAACAAAGGTGATATATATGACTGGACAGTGAAGTATTTATTATCTATCAATAAGGAACATTTCAAGGATGAAGACAGTTTGCCCAAATTTAAGTGGAGAGCAGAGGAAAGTGCCACATCAGTCCCATGTCCAAACTGGCCCAGGACAAATGAAAATGCAACTCCCCTTTAAAAACCAAGTAAGTTTTCCTAGAGACATGGGCTCTTCCTCTGCCATTACAGGGACCAAAGTGTTTTATTTGTTCCCTTCTAGCTCCCCTCTTAAATCCTCATTCCAAGCTCAGAAACCTTCCATGGCTTACTATTGCCTAGAAAATAACTTTGCATGAAATGCAAGGCCCTATGAAATGTATTCATAAAGTGCTTTTCCAGTCTTAACACGGATATTCCCGTCATCGATACATTTTAGATTTTTTTTTTTTCAGCAAAATGCGAAATAGGAGATGACTCTATTTTCCCCTTATCCCAGCTTGGCATTTACTCTACAGATAGATACTGGATCTGCTTCCTGCTCTGGCCCTGCCTTGGGACTCCACATCCAACCTACAAGCCTTCCTATCACCCAGTGCGGGGAAAGCAGGTCCGTGGAGCCATCTGACAGTCCTGTAGACCAGCCTCATCATGGCACTATTCCTTATTACTTTAAAACACACGTATACTAACTTGCTCACAATTTTTTCTCCTCCACTCATCTTTGCTGTCAAGTTCTTTGTACAATGAGATAATGGTCAAAGGCACAAGTAACCCTGGGAACATGCGATCAAACTCTGACTCTACTACTTACAAACCTGAGCAAGGTGACCTGAGCAAGTTTTTCAATCTGCCTATGCCTCAGTTTCCTCCCAAAGTTGCTATGAGGATTAAAGGCATGGCTTTGTGTATAAAATGCTGCAAATCATGTGCAGCCCACAGAAGGTACTGAAAATGCTGCCAGCCATTATCTAAGAGCATTACCTCAAGAGAGGGAAAGTTAAACAAGACCTAAAAAACATTCAGTACGTCAAAACGGGCACTACCTCGAGAGCTTGGAATTTCTCTCCTTTAGGACTGTTCTGACATTTATGAATGCCACCCTGTTCTGCCAGTGAGCCTAAATCAAATTAATGAGGATTAGCAGTCGTGGTAGGGCTCATCAGCCAAGTCATAAGGCTCAGATTCACCGAAGATTGATCAGCTAGAAACTGTCAGGGAATGTCCACTTCAGACTTCCTGGAAGATCTGTGTGGGTCTAATTCAGGCATTTACAAAGTCTCCTTTACTAAAATGATCCAGCTTTAAGATTAACGTTACAGAAAAGTTCCAGGCCAAGTTTTAACTGGAAAAAGATCAGTTCAGCCTATCACACTAAATAGTTACTGTCCAACCGACTTCCTCTAAAGTCTCCTATTCGCTTAAAAGGTCCCCAGTGTACAGGGCTATAAAATTTTCCTGGATAAGGATCTAATATTTAATTAGCTTTTCTCATATCCCCCACTCCCTACGCATTTCCAGTAATTTTCTGAAGTGATCTATGTTTGCAAAAACCAGTGAGCTCACCACCCTCTGAGCATGTGTGCCTTCATCCATCAGCACGACAGAATGCCTGAACCCAGTTGTGCTTTAAATTACCACTAAGAACTTCTCTCCCAGCAAATTGCAAGTCAATTTCACCACAATAGGAAGAGTCAAATATGAAAGAATTTGTTGAGTAGACTTTACCTGAACATGTTTTCTTATCCTCATTCAGAGTGTATCCCTCATAACATTCACAGTGATGGGACCCATCTCTGTCATTCACACAAATGTGCTGACAGCCATGGGCACCAACAGCACATTTGTCTTGAGCTGTCAGTGGAAAATCCAGGAAAAAAGAAAATAAAAAGTGAAAGAGTCTTTTATTACCCATAAATAGAAACCTTCTCATTTGCAGCTAGAAATATATAAGAGGAAAACTTATTGCAGGCTAGTCAAAGCTGTCAGTATTATTTGCTCTTACTAGAAGTTAGCCGAGTTAAATAAAATCCTGCACRCATGATAATTATTCTCCAGTCTTCCCCAGTTCCTTTTCAAAAGTCATCATCATTGAGTTTTTATAATCTAAGATTCTCATAAATATATTSCAAAGGATTTCCTTTTAGGTTTACTGTATTTACCCCATTCTAGAGAGATATGAACAGTTATGTGACTAATTACATTAGATATGGAAAGACAGATTTAGAATTTGAAAAAATTGTAATTCAGTCCTTTCCTGTTTTATTTTCTTTTTTTATGTATCTTTTTGCAGTACTGGGGAATTGAGCCCAGGGATGCTCTATCACTGAGCCACACCCCCAGACCTATTTTTTATTTATTGTATTTTGAGACAGGATCTTCTAAACTGCTGGGGCTGGCCTAAAACTTGCAATTCTCCTGCCTCAGCTCCCCCAGTCTCTGGGATTACAGGAATATGCCACCACACCCAGTAAACCTTTTCTCTTTTATAAATGAGGCAAATAAACAACAAAGAGACCAGCTGATTCAGGGCAGTATCAGAACTCAGGATTCAAATTTTCATTCAATGCACTTACCTCTGTACTAGTAAGTTTTAAACTATTTTTTATTTTTAAACTTTTTATTTTGAGATAACTTCATATTTATGAAAAACTTACAAAAATCCAAATAGTTGCTGTACTTTACCTTGCCTCCCCAAATGTTAACAATTTACATAACTCTAGTATGATTATCAAAAACATTGATATGATATGATTTACTAATATGTATAGTTTTTCAAATTTTGCCAATTGTTCTACTAAAGCACTTTTTATGATCCAGGACCCAATCTAGGATCCCACATTGCATTAAGTTGTCACATGGTCTTAGTGTCCTCCAATATGGGACATATCCCCAGTTTGCCTTTGTACCAGAAAATTATTTTTGTGAACTAAGAATGTCTCGATGTTTGATTTTGTGTGATGTTTTTTCATGGTTCTGAATTTTTAAAAAGAATACCACAGACATGCTGCTGTATCCTCGGTACAGGATGTCAACTGATGCATGATGTCACCGAGGTCATCACTAATGATGCTGGCTTTGATCACTTTGATGACTTGAAGATGGTGGTGTCTGCCAGGTTCTCCACTACAAGGTTACCATCTTTCCTTTCGAAAGCAATAAGTATCTTTCGGGATGTTATTTGGTGTTAAATTACTAAATTGTAGCATTTGGAAGRAGTGTGAGGGCTGGGTAGAGAAAAGAACTGAGTCTCACGTTCACAGGTGACACATACACGTTACTATTTCTAACTCTTCCAATAAGACTTGGAAATGGGAGGGGGGGGAAAAAGCCCAAGGTGACAAGAGAGAAAAACAGTCCAAGTGCAGGGGTGGGACTTGATGCACTCAGTCGCAGTGCCAAGTTCCAACACTGGGTAGGCAGGTAGACAGGTAAGTAAGAAGCAGCAGTACAGGCTCCTCCCCACTTACCTGAACAAGTCTTCCTGTCTTCATTCAAGATGTAGCCTTCGTGGCACTCACAGTGATAAGAGCCAGTCCTGTCATTCACACAGAAGTGTTCACACCCATGAGTGCCGAGAGCACACTTGTCGATAGCTGTCAAATGAGGAGCAGGACAAATGTGAACCCAGGGAGAATAGGCAGTAAGACCTCCTTTTWCAGACCTCACTACACAGAGCTAACAAAGGGGGTGGGGCTCCAGGAAGGGAAGCGGCAGATCTGGAACTGACTGGTATTGGCTTTCAATAACAGACCCCAGGTGTGGGTTGTCTTTTCCCTTCTTTGTTTCTCAATTTCTCATCCATAAAATAAGTAGGTTGAATTCAATGATCTGTWTTCTTACTCTCAAACACTCTTTTCTAAGATTAAAAAGAAGAACCTAATTGTCCTTCTTCATCGACTTGGAATATTCATGCCCCAGGTACCTGAGACCCTCTCTAAATTTCCCTTACTTCTAGAATTCATGAGCATCTATGGTCAGAGAGAGGAAAGGGAGGCTTGTATCCAATTAGAAACAATCGGGGGAAAATGCCAGAACCACAAAAGGACCAAGAGTTTGGGATCTGTATCCTCTTTCCTGTGTCCCTTGTTCCTTTTCAAGGCAAATCATCCATGAGCCACAGTAAACCAGCCAAAAGGCAGTTAGGTAGAAAAGGTGTGGGAGTCAAAGCGCAAGGCCCGTCCCACCCCAGAAGAAGAGATCCCCCAATAACAGGGTGGTCAGCCGCTCTCCCCCAGCAGTCTCACCTGTGCACGTTYTCTTGTCCGCGTTCAAGGTGTACCCTTGGCTGCACTCGCAGTGGTGCCGGCCCTCCCCATCACTGACGCACACGTGCTGGCACTGGTGCGTGCCTAGCGCACACGGGTCCAGGGCTGTGCAGAGGAAGTTCGGGGCCGTCAGCGTCAAAAGGTAAAAACATTTCAGATACTTTCTCACGTGTTAAGAAGGCATTGCTCGGGCTGGGATTGTGGCTCAGCGGTAGAGCGCTCCCCTGGCACGGGCGAAGCCCTGGGTTCGATCCCCAACACCACATAAAAGTCAATAAATAAAGATATTGTGTCCAACTACAACTAAAAACTAAATATTAAATATATATATTTTTTTTTCAAAAAAAAAAGAAGGCATTGCTCTTTATTTCACTATCAAAATTGGTTATTTGTTGTCTGCCTCTGGCTTACTAGAAATACTCTTAAACTAGAAATGTTACTAATTTAAAATTACAGACCTTGCTAGAAACTCTCTCAAAGGAGAAAGATAATTTTGGRCCCCGAGCTGAAGCCAAACACTTCCATCAGTCAGCTGCCTTGATGTTTTACTCAGCTTATCCACATTCCTATGAAAAAGATGTTTGCTTCCCAGCCTCAAGAGATGGGGAGAACAGTAGTGAACAGTGCTGTGAGCGAGTTGACCCATCAAAGCCAGAACTTGGTTTGCAAGGGTTCCACATTTTGTGTCTAAACAGAATTCAATGCAGGCATCCCCCTCCGCTGGAGACACACTCTCACTTGGAGCAAAACACATATTTTGACGTGCACACGATGGGGGCAATCTGGGTAACTGCTTTCTGAACATGCAACATGGGTTCTTGAGATCAGGTATCTACGTAGGCAACTTKGAGACACTGAACTCACATGATAAATACAAACAGGTAAAAAGAAAAGAACTAACTAAATGAGATTATATCAGCTTAAYGGCCTCTCCAGCTTTTTGCTCCTAGAGCCATTTATATCTCATTGAATTTTTTTTTTCCTAGCAGCATGTTCTGAAAGACGAATCAATGGATTTAGTCACTTCTGAGGGATCAAGGAGGCCTGCTGGAGAAGGCTGGCGCTCCTGTGGCAGGTAACCCAGCCTCCATTGCCCTTGGCAGCAGGACAAGGCTAATATTTTCCCAAGAAGGGCCTTTTCATGGAATGATCTTTCCAACCYGTTGACTACAACAAGCTGCCCCTCAGTCTTTTTTCCATAGAGAGGACGCTCCCCCGACCCCAGAACAGCATGTCTTTTGTACCAGAGGAAAAGCTTGCCACTCACCACTTGTTACTTYATGGCCTTCAAGCCCAACCCCAGGTGCCAGCTCTGACACCCAACTGTGCCACAGAGTGGCATCCTGATGCAGCAACTCTCACCCGCAAGCTCGGGGGTTTTCCTGGGAGAAAGAAAGCCACTTTCTTTTTGGAACCCAATGAATACCAAGTAGATACCACCAAGGCCAATGACGGCCTGAGAAGGCACAGTGTCCCAGGACAGGAAAGAAGAGGAACCCAGCCAGGTCTGGTTGAGATGAGGCCAAGCTTCCCTCAGACCAAGGCTGCTGCCCTCATTTCCCAGCTAACTGGTGATGGCTGGGCTTCACGTCAGTTTAGATATAAATCTCCTCAAGATTTACAATTGCAATTATTGGCTCACTTGCTTGTCTCACCCCCAACCCCAGAATGTTAATTGATGGTTGGGAGAACTATATTTTTTTGTCATCAGTTATCAATAAATGCATGCTGAATAAACAAATGTGGAATAAATTATATAGCAAAAAAAAAAACAGTATGTATGTTTAGAAATTCACCTGAACTAGAAATCTGAACCCACTTTCTTGGGTATTTTCATAGAGGGTTTCAAAGAATATTCTCCAAATGATAATAAATAAAACACGAGCCCCACAAATCATCATTCTGATCAGATCAGTGACTAAATATAAACCCCAGCCCCAGATGATTCATGCTGACGCATCTGGCTGTATCATRCTAAAAATCCCAATGAAATTAGCATGTTCATATTCAAACTACATCCTAAAGGAACAAAGAAATAGAAAAATAAAAGAATGTTGTTGTTGTTGTTGTTGTTTTAATCTCTTCTTTTGTCTCTCAGCTGAACCAAAACCCCAATCTTCCTGGTCCCTAATCCTCTTACACCACACAGAATAGCCAAAGAAAGAGCCCAATCTGAAAACAAGTRTTCCCTAACACTGTTCACACTGACAGTAACAGTGGGATATAGTCCACTGACCCTCCCAGGACATACACTGCTCCCTGTTTTTCTACAGAACAAGCAGAGTTCTGTTAAATCTAGAGATGGTAAAACTGAAGAAAGTACCTGGGAAAAAAGTGTACTGGGGGATGGAGACAAGACAGGCATCTTGAGGTTTCCTCCACCCCACCCCATCAGGGAACAGCAGGATTATTTATCTTGGGTATTTCTAGACCTTCACATTTCTAATGCAAACATGAAGATTTTATGAGCAAACCAAATATATAATGCAGCTCTATATTTCTAAACCAACACCATGTGTTTAAGTTGGTAAAAAAACACCAAAAAAGCACTGCGTGCATTTAAGTTTTTCATAAATGTCCACCACCACCACCATCACCACCCCTCAAAAAAAAGGGGTGAAAAATCTCTTTTTCTCTGGGAACACAATGTCTGAAATATAACATCCTTACTAGCTGGAAGCAAAGACTTACCAACTTACCACAAAAGGTTTCCTGGAATCTAGAGGAGAGCTTCTCAATGACCCCGTAGGTCTCCACATAGAACACATGCTCTTCCAGGGGCTCACTGGCCATCATCTTGAGGGACTCCATATCTGCCCTGTCCACACCCACAGCATAGAGCTCAATGCCAGATGCCCGGGCCCGTGCAGCCACCTCATTCACCTGGTCCTGGGGCCTCCCATCTGTCACGATGATGGCCACCTTAGGGATGTTGGAAGTGGGCCCCCGAGCCCCTGCCTGCACTGTGAAGGCTTCATCCATTGCTGTCTGAATGGCCAGCCCCGACATGGTGCCTGTGGACAAGGGGGTGATTCGTGCTACAGCTTGTTTCAGGGACTGCTTATCTGAGTAGGTCTGCAGCTGGAACTCAATCTTCACTGTACTGGCATAGTTCACTAGGGCCACCCGTGTGTCAGCTGCCCCAATGTCCAGAGTGTCAATGATCCGGGAGACAAAGGTTTTCACTTTGGTGAATTCCAAGGGCCGTACGCTTCGAGAACTGTCGATGATAAACACCAAATCCAAGGGCATGCTCTTGCAAACACCTGCAAARAAGAGCATGGGTAGCAGAAGAAACAAGCAATGATCAGATCACAACCAGAAATGGGACAATACTCACTCCCAGACAACTCTGGGATTCCAGGAGGCCAGACAGAGTAGCACCCCTTAACCACAAAGCCGCCACTGCCTGCTACTTTCCCCAAATTCATCCTCTCACGGGTGTTTAAAGCATGACAGCTTTCAGAGCCCCATAGTGAGAATTCACATGAAGATGTGAAGTGTCCCCAGACATCTACCTRTAAGCTGACTGAGTTCTAAAATTTTGCTTAGAAATCTGATTAAGGTTTTGCTCTCAAGGTTCCTTTTGACCCCTAGGAATCAGTGGATCCCAGCCATGTCCTGGGCCCCATGGCTAGCTGAGGCAATGGGAGTTGGGTGTTCCCAAACTGTGTAAAAGGCCCTCAGATCCAGCCTTACTGCACAGTTCCCTGCCCAGGCTTGAAGCAATGGCTGAATTTGAGGCAAGGCACTCTAACAATCTTCTAGTAGCTTCCTTCTTCTATTCCATTTCTAGGGGATGAAAACTGCCCCCCAAAAGCCCTAAAGTCTCCCTCCATCTGGTCACCCGTTCATTCTTGTTTTGGTAAGCTTTGAGTTAGTTGAAGATAGTGGGATGACAACCTAATGTGATATATGCCTCTTGCACTCCCTAATTTTAGCATGTCTTATTGTTTTAAGGAGCAGAGATTGTGACCTGGCATCTATTCTAGTACCTACATCACACTCACATAGTCACCTCTCATTCACTTATTCATTCACCTTTTTTTTTTTTTTTTTGCAGTTCTATACAAAAAAGTCCTATGCAGTCCTATGAAACCCTGGGGCTAAAAAGGCAAATAAGCCACATTTCTCAATCCTTACTGTTTACTGTATTTTTTCTACACAAAAGTACCTGGCACACTGTAGTGACACAAATTTTAGTTTTCTTCTTTTCTTTCCTAGTTTTTTCTACTTCCTTCAACCCTATTTGCACATCCCTCTTCCAGTCAGCAAAATCAAGTTCACAACTCAGGACTAGATAAGAAAGAAGCCAGTTATTACACTTCTTTTTCAAGCCAACGCCAACACATACTCATGCATATACAACACACACATGTAGTCCTAAGAGGAAATAAAATCTTTGGGCATGAAGTGTAAATCAAGGTTCTTCATTTTTCTAACAAAAAAAAAAGARAGATGATGCTTCTCTAAGAAGGCAATTTATTACTCAATGAGTTGGGAAGAAAGGTGGACTCAAAATAAACTCTTAGGCCAAGCTGTTTATGGAAGAAAAAACCTTGTCTAGAACAAGGATCAAGTCTATGTAGTTTTCTTTCAAGAGCTAAAAATTATCCTCTTGGCTTTCCCCTCTGCCTGGAGGTATTCAATTAAGAAAGCAGCACCTGACTTTCAATTATAATCTAGGGATCACAGGGCACCAAGATAATAACCCTKCGAAGTTGTTCAGAGGTTGTTTATATTGTATACATCTAACAGGTGAGATGCTGAGATTCAGGGAGGGGTGAGAACTAGACAGCAGTGAGAACTAGTCAGGACTCAAGTTTCCTGACTTCCAGCAGCAGGGCCTTCCTGCCACACCACGGCTGCTCCCTCTGAGGCAACGTTTTCCACCATAAAAAAAAAAAAAAAAAATCAACATTATCTCATATACCTAGAAACGTCCTGCATATTGACTTTGAGCCACCACCATGAAATATGCTGTGCGTCATGTATTTAGTTAAGTCAAAAGGAATTAAAAATCTCTCTTTTTCAAACTCCTCCAGAATTTCACTTCATCCCTTCAGATTCCCATGGATTAGGGGCAAGGAAGAAGAGCTGTGTTGCAAATCCTGTCTGAGCAGGGGTCAGGTACTTTTACACTATTAGAGTAAAAAGAAGAAGAAAAAAAAACATGATGATGGAACCCTGTAATTACCATGCAGTGGTGTCACTTGGATAAATCATGGTTCATTCTTGTAACCTGCATACATGATTCCTTTCTTCTCCACTGAATCCTTATTGGGGGGAGTTATGGGGGTGTGGTAGGCAGAATAATGCATCCCCCGCAAAGATGTCTAGGTCCTTATCACAGGAACTTGTACATATGCTACTTTTCCTGGCCACAGGGACTTTCCAGGTATGATGAAAGAGCTTGGGATGGAGAGCTTACCCTGTATTATGCAGGTGGGGCCAAAATAATTACAAAGTCCTCTAAAGACGGAGGATGATGGCAGGACAGGGGGTGCAAGTGATGGRATGTGAGAAGGATTCAACCTACCATTGCTGGCTTTGAAGAGGGAGGAAGAAGGTCATGAGCCAAGGAACATAGCAACCTCTAAGAAGCTGGAGACAGCAGACAGATTCTTCTCCCCTAGAACCTCCCAAGGGATAGGGATGCAACCCTATTGGCATTTTGACTTTAACCCAGGGAGATCTGTCAGACTGACCTACAGAACTCTAAGATAATAGTGTGGGTCACTGGGTTGGTAGCTTAGTGGTAGGGTAGCTTGGTGGTAGAGTGCTTGCCTCACATGCATGAGGCCCTGGCTCTACACACACACACACACACACACACACACACACACACACACACACACACACACACACGTGTGCCCCGCCAGCATACACAGAGTGTTGTTTTAAGTCACTAAATTCATGGTTATTTGTTGCAATAGCAATAGAAAACTAATAAAGGAGTCTTTGGCCAGGGTAGCAGGCAATTCTGTGACCAGGTTCCTTCCTGATTTGAACCCCGTCGGCAAGGGGCACTAATTGTTTTTTGAGTCTCCCTCCCAATGACTAAATAGCAGCAATTTGATTCTCAAGAAGAAAGTGAATATCTGAGTCTCCTAAAATGTTTTCATATTCACAATATCACCAATTTTTGACAATTTTGTTAGAAATAAAAGCCTATAGCAAAGTCATGGCAATTCTTGGTTGCTAAAAGGAGAGAATCTGGAAGAGGTGTAGAATGTGGTGTTTATCCAAGAATTATGCTTCAAGATCAGGTTTGAATTCCAGACAGRAAAGATTCAAGGCAGCTTAGTGGGGAAATGGTCACCCAGTGCAGAACCTCACTGTCCCCTCCAGTCCCATGGAGAGGGAGGTGAGCTCTAGAAGCAATTCCACTTCTAGAAAAAGGCTTTGCCAGCAACCCCACCTGGAGCAACCAGCCGAATTGAACCCCTGTGAGCCCCGGCCCCTCTTTGGCCATTTCAAACATGGGAGTAATGCAAGAAAGAGTCCTCTGAACTCCTTCTCAACATATCCAGAAAGGAGGGAATGGGCCAGGCAAAGGAGCCTGACAGGCAGCATTGGTGGCCAGATGAGACAGGACACAGAGAAAATGGTTTAAACAGCCTCTTTCAAACAAGACTGATGCTGGACTTCTTGGTAATGAAGCTAAAATCTCATGTAAACCATATGAAGAGCTTGATAGGTTGGAGCAGTGGAAAGAACCCTCACTTGGGATTTCAGGGACCTGAGTTTTATTCTGAGCTTTGACACTGATTTGCTGGGTCCCTTCGCTTTGATAGGGGTTACCCTGTATCTGTCAGGGGCTGTGTCAGATGATCTGCCGGCTTGGCTGAGCTAGGAACTTTGCTCTGTCTCAGGAATCCATTACTGACCAAAAAGAGAAATAGAACTGATCGCTAAGACTCAGTGTCTTGAGGATCTAAGAGAGCCCAGGTTGGGCCCAGTCAGTTTGAGAACACCTGGTCATGGACGGGAGAACAGGGTTGAGACCAGAATGGTTTCAGGCATTCGGGTGGCTTCTCTGGGTCCCYTATTGGCCTCACAGGGCACCCCCAAGACTTCCCCTCTACTAAATCCCGGATTCCACTGAGGCAGCTTTAGGGCTGTAGGATAGAATCATCCACAATCCTGGAATAGAAGCAGAGGAATTTCAAGAGAACTAAAAGTAGAATTCCTGGAAGGCTTGGTTCCACTGAAGGGTCGCCTTAAACCCAAGTGGGAGGCAGTCCCAGCGCTGCCTTCTCTGCTACCGGATGCTCCCTGCCCAAATCACAGGGGGAGTTCGAGCTTCAGGAAACCCAGATTCTAGCAGGGACACACGAGTAACCTTGAGTGTCTCCCCTCCTTTTTCTGCATTTCAGTTTTTCGGCACAGGATTCTCTGGGACCGGAATTCTTTCTCCCGCACCGCTGCCCGTCTGAGGCTGAGATGCAGGACACTTGCCAGAGGTCCGAAGCTCTCCTTCGATGCCCGGCTCCGCTGCCCACCCCCGTCCTCCCATCCGCGGCCCAGGCTCTCGTTCCCTCGGTCCGGCATTCTGTCCCTCTTCAGCTGTGGGCCGTCTCCCGCCCCTCCCCTCTGTACCTGCGCCGCGATTCCCACCTGGCTCCATGGCTCCGGAATAGGGCGAGCGGGTGGGAGCGGGTCGGCGCCCSGGGCTGCCGGCGGGGCCACGAGTCCCCAGCCTCCGGACGCCCGGGCGGTCCAGGGGACCAGGGCTGGCCGGGGGCGGCAGCAGCAGCACCAACCAGATCAGCAGGAGTCCCGGGAGGTGGYGCGCGGGGGTCAGGAGCGGCATGGTGGGCTCGGCGGGCCTGCAGGTGCGTGTCTGCMGAGTGAGATCCGAGCCCTCTGGGTCAGTCGGGGTCCTGGGACCCGCGCAAAGGCCGCCAATTTAAAGATCCCGCGCTTGCGGCCCCGCCCCCTCCCGCCCCCGGCCGCGACGCCAGGCGAGTTGGGCCACCCCTCCCCGGGCCAACAAGGAGCCTTGTCTGCGCATTCCAGTGGCCGAAGCGGAATGTCTGGGGCGAGGCGGCCAGCRGTGCGGTGGTCACCGCCCGCCCGGTCCGGCTCTGCGCCGTGAGCCGCCTGCGGCTGGGTGGGCTCGGCCGGGTGCCTTCTGGCCTCCTTGTAAAACCTGGAGCGGAGGCAGTCTGTGCAGGAGCGCATGCTGCTCGACCCTCCTAGCCCCGCGCCCCAGGGTCCCAGCTGAGGAGCCCCTGGGCGCTGCCCGCCCTCTCCGCTCAGGTGTGCCTGCCTGGGGGTTCTTGCAGGATGAAACCTTGGTCCTTGCACTACCTACCTTTCCCCTAGCCAAATAAACTGTATTTTACTAGGAACTCTTGGTTTGTTTTTTTTTTTTTTTGGGGGGGGGGAAGAAATAAAGAAAGGGCCTCACAGATTCTAACAGCATGAATAGAAACGCTTTCATTCGCTTCAAACATCTATAAACATTTGAACTTATATTTCCAGGAGTAGAAAGTCAAACATGCATTCGCCCAAAGAGCCCGGTTAGCTGGAAGGACAGGCTGTACCCGCAGAGGCTTCAAAAAGCCTTCCCTATATCTCATTTCCTCTCCTACAGAGTTACCTGCAGCACAGGGCTSGAAACTGCTCAGGAAACCCTCAAGAACTCAGTCTACTGGGAGGGAAATATGCATGAACGGTGTATCTCTCCAAGGGCACATAGTGGATTTAGAAAGAGAAAGGCCTGGGCAGGCTAAGAAGACTTCTAAAATCAGAGGACATTTCAGGTGCAGCTTAAAAGGTGGCATGAACATGAGTTCTAACAGATCCTATCTGGTCTTCCCGCCTCTGCTATGGCCCTTCTACAACCCATCTAGGCAGTTACCTGAAAATCTCKTCTCATACTTATTATACACCATGTTCTTCGTAGATTTTATGCTATACCCAAGAGGTAGAAACAACTCGAGTATCCCTTTTTGGATGAATGGATAAGCAAAATGTGATATCTGCATATCACAAGGGAATATCATTCAGCCTTTTCAAAGGAAGGAAATTCAAACATATTATAACATAAGTGAACCTTGAGGATATGATGGGAAGTGAAATAAATCAGTCACAAAAAGACAGATACTATATGATTCTGTTTATATAAGGTATCTAGGGTAGTCAAATTCATTAAAACACACACACACACACACACACACACACACACACACACAAGTAGAATAGTGGTTCCCAGTGAATTTAGGAGGCAGGAATAGGGAGTCATAGCTTAATGACACGARTTTCAGTTTTACAAGATGAGAAAGTTTTGGAGATGAGTTGTATAACAATATGATTAAACTGATTACATGTGAATGGGTTGCCTCAAAGTTCAAGGGTTGGATATGTAATTCTCAAAGTCATAGATGACCATCGTATTTGGAGGTAGAATTTTGGAGGCAATCAGGATTAAATGAAGTCACAGAAGGGTCCCTGTGTAATGATGGCATTGGTAGCTTTGAAAGAAGAGGGGGAGAGACCCAAGCTAGCATACTTTCTGTGCCTTGCCATGTGATACCCATTACAGAATAGGCTCCAGGAGCACAGAGAGGATGCTTGCATGGTTCACTGCCAGTTCCCAGAAAGTCTACCTTACCACATGCAGGTTCACAGCCAATGATGGGACTGAGACTTTAGGAAAAGGAAGATCCCTGAACAGGGCAGATTTTGAGCCTTACCATTGCAGGGTGGTCAGACTCAATGGATTGTTTGTAGAAGAAACAACCTGGCACTTCTTTTTCCAAGAGCTCTGCTCAGGAAAGGGTTTGCTCTGTTTCACTTCACTGACCGGCAACAGACTGCCCTGTGCTGGGCATTGGCTCCACACAGTGGCCTTTCTTTGGCCTTCTCTAACAGGCAGGTTGGGTCTTCCTCCACCACCAGGCTTCTCGGTTACCAATTTGGACCCCCAACTGGGTCCTTTTTCCCTGTTGGAATTGCAGAACCAATAAACCAGACTGAGCCCCAAATGAGCAAAAAAAGGAAGGCTTATCCTTGGCTAAGAACAGGAGAAACAGGGAGAAAAGCACTCAAATTAACTTCTCAACCCATTGGAGGTAGGGAAGTCGAGATATAGAATAAAAGAAATGAGGGGGAGAGATAGGCAAATAAAAGGAGGGATTGTCGTATCTTCTGAACATGTGGAGATTTTTCCAGAACGTAGGCACCATCTCTTTTTGCTTTTTTTGTGGTTCTTTCTGAGTGTCATTATGGGAGTTGTCAACTGTCATGGAACTGGGGATGGCGTTGTCATTGAGTATACAGATGGGATTTTAGTGAAATTCAAGTTTGTCTGGCCCTTGCTGTGACAGTCATATTAAATCTGACTGGTTTGGGCCAGCCCACCTGCCAAGGGACTTCTGGCCCTCAGGTATCCTGTTCTCCAAGATAAGCAAGACTAGGGAGGGTAGAAAATCAGCTGAGCCACTTCAGGGGAAGGAGGTCAGGGAAGAAAGGGCATCCGGTGTCATGGTTTCTTTCAGCATATTGATCTGTGAGCATCTGCAAAACTCAAAACTAACCAAGGATAAGAAATTGAGCTGGGGATGTCGCTCAGTGGTAGAGTGCTTGCCTAGCATGCAAGAGGTCCTAGTACTGAAAAAAAAATTAAAAAGAAAGAAAGAAATTATTATGGATAGTTTTTCTTTTTTAAAAAACACTAATATCATTATGGTTTTTTATTTGTTCATTTTAGTTATGCATTGACAGTACAACTTCMCGTTTTTGTGGTTATACGTGATGTGGAGTTACACTGGCCATGTATTCATATATGAACATAGGAAAGTTATGTCCAATTAATTCTATTGTCTTTCCCATTCCCATCCCCCTCTCCTTCCCCTGACTCCACCTGGTCCAATCTAGTAAACCACCCCTTCTCCCTGCACCCACCACTGCCTATTGTGAGTTAGCATCCACAAGTCAGAGAGAACATTCAGCCTTTGGTCATTTGGCACTGGCTTATTTCACTTAGCATGATATTTTCCAGTTCTATCCATTTATTGGCAGATGCTATKATTCCATTCTTCTTTATGGCTGAGTAATATTCATTGTGTATATATACCAAATTGTCTTTATCCATTCATTTGTTGAAGGGCACCTAGTTGGTTCCATAGCTTAGCTATTGTGAATTGAGCTACTATAAACATTGATGTGGCTGCATCACTATAGTATGCTGATTTTAAATCCTTTGGGTACATACTGAGGAGTAGGATAACTGGGTCAAATGGTGGTTCTATTCCAAGTTTTCTAAGAAATCATACTGCTTTTTAGAGAGGTTGCACCAATTTGCAGTCCCCCTAGCAATATATAAGTGTACCTTTTCCCCCACATTCTCACCAACATTTATTGTTACTGTGTTCTTGATAAAGCCATTCTGACTGGAGTAAAATGGAATCTCAATGAAGTTTTAATTTCATTTCTCTAATTGCTAGAGTTGTTGAACATTTTTTTCATGTTTTTTTGACCATTTGTATTTCTTCTGTGAAGTGTCTGTTGAGTCCTTAGCTCATTTATTGACTGGGTTATTTGTTTTTTTTTGTTGTTTTGTTTTGTTTTGTTTTGTTTTGTTTGGCGTTAAGTTTTTTGAGCTCTTTATATATCCTGGTATCCTGGAGATTAATATTCAATCTGAGGTGTAGGTGGTAAAGATTTTCTCCCATTCTGTGGGCTGTCTCTTCACGTTATTGTTTCCTTTGCTGTGAAAAAGCTTTTTAATTTGATACCATCCAGTTTATTGATTCTTGATTTTACTTCTTGTACTTTAGAAGTCTTATTGAGGAATTCATTTCCTATAGTAAAATGATGGAGAGTTGGGCCTACGTTTTCTTCTAGTAGGCACAGGGTCTCTGGTCTAATGCCTAGGTCCTTGATCCACTTTGAGTTGAGTTTTGTGCATGGTGAGAGATAGAGGTCTAATTTTATTTTTTCCCCAGCACCATCTGTTGAAGAGGTTATCTTTTCTCCAATGTAATTTATGGTGTCTTTGTCTATTATTTATGTGAGTTTGTCTCTGTGGCTTCTATTCTATACCACTGGTCTTCATGTCTGTTTTGGTGCCAATACCATACTGTTTTTGTTTCTATAGTTCTGTAGTATAATTTAAGGTCTGGTATTGTGATGCCTCCTGCTTCACTTTTCTTGCTGAGAATTGCTTTGGCTATTTGGGGCCTCTAATTTTTCCAAATGAATTCAATGACTGCTTATTCTATTTCTATGAAGAACATCATTGGAACCTTAATAGGAAATTTAAATCTGTATAGCACTTTTGGTAGTCTGGCCATTTTAACAATACTAATTCTGCCTATCCAAGAATATGGGAGATCTTTCCATCTTCTAAGGTCTTCTTTAACTTCTTTCTGTAGAGTTCTGTAGTTTTCATGGTAGGGGTCTTTCACCTCTTTTGTTTTATTTTATTTTTGAGGTTAATATTTTATTTTTTGAGGCTATTGTGAATGGGGTAGTTTTCCTAATTTCTCTTTCAGTTGATTCATCACTGATGTGTAAGAACACAACTTATGGATGTTAGTTTTATATACTGCTAATTTGCTGAATTCACTTATGAATTCTAGAAGTTTTCTGGTGGAGTTTTTTTTTGGGTCTTCTAAATATAGAATCATGTCATCAGCAAATAGGGATAGTTTGAGTTCTTCTTTTCCTATTCATATCCCTTTAATTTCATTCTTCTGTCTAATTGCTCTGGCTAGAATTTCCAGGATTATATTAAATAGAAGTGGTRAAAGAGGGCACCCTGTCTTGTACCAGTTTTTAGAGGGAATTATTTCAATTTTTCTC